GTAGGAGTCTCCTGTCAGAGAGATCTTCAACTCCCACCTCCGGCAGAGCCTCGACCAGATCCCGAGGGAGGCTGTAGATATTGAGTCCGAGAGGACCATGTTCTCCACCTTCACTGTCGAAGCGGCTGCTCAGAGATGTGGCCATAAGGTCTCCAGTGCCTGTAGAGGCGGCAATCCCTGAACCCGGTGGTGGACACCAGAAGTAAAGGATGCCATAAAGCTGAAGGAGGAGTCCTATTGGGCCTGGTTGGCTTGTGGGACCCCTGAGGCAGCTGACTGGTACTGGCAGGCCAAGCGGACTGCAGCCCGGTTGGGAGGAGTTTGGTGAGGCCATGGAGAAGGACTATCGGCTGGCCTTGAAGAGATTCTGGCAAACTGGCCTCAGAAGAGGAAAGCAGTGCCCTACCAACAGTGTTTACAGTAGAGGTGGGCAGCTGTTGACCTCAACTGGGGATATCGTCGGACGGTGGAAGAAATACTTCAAGGATCTCCTTGATCCCGCCGTCACGTCTTCCATTGAGGAAGCAGAGGCTGAGGGCTCAGAGGTGGACTCATCCATCACACTAGCTGAAGTCACCGAGGTAGTCAAGAAACTCAACGGGGGTGGATGAGATCCGTCCTGAGTACCTCAAGTCTCTGGATGTTTTGGGGCTGTTTTGGCTCTGCAGCATCACATGGCGGTCAGGGACAGTGCCTCTGACCGGGGTGGTAGTCCCTCTTTTTACGAAGGGGGACTGGAGGGTGTGTTCCAACTAAAGGGGGAATCACACTTCTCAGCCTCCCTGGGAATATCTATGCCAGGGTACTGGAGAGGAGAATACGGCCGACAGTGGAACCTCTGATACAGGAGGAACAGTGTGGCTTTTGTCCGGGCCGTGGAACACTGGACCAGCTCTACACGCTGGGTGCTGGAGGGTTCATGGGAGTTTGCCCAACCAATCCACATGTGCTTTCTGGATTTGGTGGCCTGTGGAGGGTGCTCCGGGAGTGTGGGGTCTGGGGTCCTTTGCTAAGGGCTGTCTGGTCCCTGTATCACCGAAGCAGGAGCTTGGTATGCAGTAAGTCAGACTTCTTCCCGGTGCATGTTGGACTCCGGGAGGGCTGACCTTTGTCGCCGGTTCTGTTCATAATTTTTATTAACAGAATTTCTAGGCGCAGCCAGGGGCTGGAGGGTGTCAGGTTTGGGCACCATGTGATTTCATCTCTGCTCTTTGCGGATGATGTTGTCATATTCCACCCTCCAGACCAGTACCTTCAGCATGCACTGGGACGGCTTGCAGCCGAGTGTGAAGCAGCTGGGATGAAAATCAGCACCACCAAATCTGAGGCCATTGCCCACTTCAGGTTGGTGGAGAGATCCTGCCTCAAGTGGAGGAGTTTAAGTATCTTGGGTTTTGTTTACGAGTGAGGGAAGGATGGAATGGGAGATTGACAGATGGATCGGTGCAGCTTCGACAGTAATGTGGTGAAGGATTTACCAGTCAATGTATGTTCCTACTCTCACCTATGGTCATGACCGAAAGGAGAAGATCCCGGATACAGGTGGCCGAAATGAGCTTTCTCTGCAGGGTGGCTAGGTGATCCCTTAGAGATAGGATGAGAAGCTCAGCCACTTGGGAGGAGCTCAGTGTAGAGCCGGTGCTCCTCCACATCGAGAGGGTTCAGCTGAGGTGGCTCGTGCATCTGTTCCGGATGCCTCCTGGATGCCTTCCTGGGAAGGTGTTCCGGGCATGTCCCACTGGGAGGAGACCCGGGGAAGACCCAGGACACTCTGGAGGAACTATGTCTCCCGGCTGGCCTGGGAACTCCTCGGTGTCCCCCCGGAAGAGATGGAGGAAGTGTCTAGGAAGAGGGAAGTCTGGGCATCTCAGCTTAGGCTGGGTCACCCTGGATGGATGGATATAAAACTAGAGGTCATATAAGTAGATTTTCCAGTAGTAAATGCATTATAATCACTTATTGTCATAACTGCAGAGACATGATAGTTAAGATCCAAATGCAGCTTTAATAGGGACAATCCAGACATGTAATCCAATAAACAGGCAAAGGTCAAATTCACAGGTAGGCAGTCCAAACAAACAAAACAGGCAGGGGTCAGAGGCAGAAGAATGATACAAAGAACAGGCAGGAAATCCAAAAACCAGGAGAAAGGAAACCAGGGAGAAACGCTCAAGAATGAAGTGTAACAACATACAAAATGTCACCGTGAGTGAATGAGTGAACAAGGATTAAATTAGCTGAGACTAACAGGGTAATGAGACCCAGGTGAAAGCAATCAGTGATAATGAGTCTGGGCTGTGAGTTTTTGGTAATGTAGTTTGTGAAGGAGTGATAATAGTCTGTGTGGAGTCCCCTCAGGTAGCTCTCAAGGGCACTCCAACTGGTGACATTACACTTATTATCAATGCTATTTAACATCAAATGATTGCAATTTGATATTAAATATTACAAAACTCCTCTATTAACCCTATTATGGGCTTCAGGGCTGAAATAGTTAAAGCAGCATTACTGAAAATGAAATGAAAAGGTTGCTATGGAAATGCACTCACTTAATGCTCAAATCTATGTTTATCTTTCAGTTGCAAATGTGATTTATATTTATTGTTTATCTGTGATTATCTTTGTTAAAAAGAGAGGAAGACACAAATTGAGACTGAAAGAGATAGGCTACTTAACAAATTATAATGTGTCGTAAATCTTGACGGTTCACTTTTTATGTACCAGCATGTGTGTAGTGACTGTTCTGTAAAAACTGGCATCATTCCACACTTCCGTTTAACACTAAACTCTTACTTCAGGACAAGCTGGGAGTTTCAATGTTGCAAGACCTCAAGGGATTCCCTCAAACAATGCCAGTACCATGAGACTGCCTACAAATGATATCTATACTGTCTTGGATTGTTCAGCTCTGAAATGTCTTTGTCTTAAACATTTTTTAATGCAGTCGACCAGTGTGAAATATAACTTCCACCACAGTTGTGACACCATTAGTTGGTTATTCACAATAACGTGGTGTCAAACATAAAACAAGTCACTGTTCTATCCTACACACTGCATTCTATATTCATGTGGGGCTATAAGAATGACAGCCTTTCCATTGTCATTTCTGTAACATTTAAGACCAGCATGTGGCATCACTCCACTCGTGGGAACACTACTCTTCTATGTGAAGCTGATAGCCTATTGCCTTTGTGCAATATGAAATTGTTTAAGCAACAGTGACGATTAATTTCGAGCTTGTCTATCAATAGACATTGACATAGTTGTGGGTTTGGTTCGTTTGTTTAGGTCACACAAGAATGCTCCCCACCTTGAAAAAAAAATGTGAAAAAAAAGTTTCACTGAAGAAAAACTCAACTCGCTGTTCGCTGCCACGGCAACCGTAAGTCCAACCTACCTCCATAGTAGAATTACCTGAATCCTCCTCACGTGACCGATCCCCAGACCGGTCGACTAATCAGAAGAGAGGACAGGTGCACTCATTGTAGTTTCGGAGGTGGAATCTCGGTGCTTTTGTAAACTGCGACGGCACTATAAAGTCGTTCACGTAAGTTCAAATTGTGCGTGGTGTGTTCAGAACCTCCTCCAGGTTATGTTGGGCAAAGGATGATGTTACACGTTCGCAGAGACAAAAAGATATCCTTTCATTCGAGTTATGCGTAAAACTGCGTCTCAGAGACTGAAGTCTTCGGATAAGTGGGATTGAAAGATGATTTTCACGCACTGTGATTTCTTCTGAGGATTCAGCGTCTCTGTCTCAACACCTTTCATTTAGAGGAACCTCGGGCAGCGTTTATCTTGTTCTCATCATTTTCTGTCCAGGTGAGTCGCTCAGGCTGATGATCAGGTTCGTTGTTTTGGCATGAATCATCACCTGTAAAATACTCTCTTGGGGTTATGGCGCTCTAAACCTGTTCTGCATCGCAGGGCAATTATCCTTGTTTGTCATGTATCACGTGACGCTCAGTATTGATCTTTGTATGAAGTTATTAAAAAATATGTACAAAATTTCATATGACTTGAATAGTTATTCTATTTCAATTTCTGAATCAAAAGCCATTTGGATTTGTTTGTTCCTAAATTATAAGATGTCAATGTGCATCTTATAATTCTCCAGATCTCTTTGGAGGTTAAAAAACAAAAATAAAAAATAAACATAATCAAACGTTTGCATAAATAGTTTGGAATAATGTTTTCTTATGATTTATTATTATTTCTTAAAAAAACAGTAAAGCACTTTTGATGTAATTGGTGTAATCCACATGAAGGAAGCCGTATTGTTGTCATGTGACAAAATCCTACCCCATGGCCATACCCCTGTATATATAAACAAGTAGGCTACGGACACACACACACACACACACATGCAATATATAGTCTATGCAATATAATAATTTTATATAGGCCTATATATATATAGCATATATATATATATATATATATATATTTTTTTTTTTTTTTTTTTTTCAGAAAGAAAAAAGTTTAATTATAGCTTTTACACTCTGTGACAGGCCCTAGGCCTAACAGGCTTAGAGCCTATTATAATGAGCTATTTCTATCTGTCAAAATTCTGTTTTGATAGAATATGGTATACGCATTCTTATGAAACCGACATGAATGAAAAGTTTACATTTTTAAAAGTTTTCTCCATCTTGGACATTATCTGTCATTGACCCCTAAGCAATTTCCATTTTTGAATATATGGATCCAGTGAAGGATGGAGATGTAGGCCAGGCTATTTCAGTAAAGCATACTAAATCTATTACAGATAAAATATCTCGGATTACACTGCGTTGTTATTCCTGAATAGACATGCTGTAGCTATTGTTGTTCTTACGTCATATGGCGTCATAAGCGTGGGTTAATAACAATTAAAATGCAGCTACACCTAAATATAGGCTAGCTAGTAGCCTATAGGCGTTTCAATTTTTATGTTGAAGTAGTAAATTGATTGTGCTTGTGTATTGATAGGCTATATTATCTGGTTCGATAATCTCACAATGACGGAGAAAACAGCCCCCTGGTGGAGGTCTTTCGTGGGCAAGAGGAGAAAAACAGCCAGAGAATCGGCAGAGATCCTGGAACGAGACCTAAGTAACCAGGAGCCGGACCAACAACCCACTTCACCCATAGATCCAGCGAAAGAAGCAGGCAACTGCCTGGATAGCGACGAAACTTATGACGACTCCGCTGTTCAGCCAACTTTCAACGAGCTCTCCAATCGCCGTAATCTCCTTGTGTCCCGCTCCGGTCGCTTCAAAGAGAAACGGAAGACACGCGCGAGTCTTCCACAGAGCAACGAAGGTGATGTGAAACCTGCAGCTGTCAAATCCTCTGACGTTCAATCAACGCACTGACTGCACCCTCGGTTTACACCTGATGGTAGAGCACGATATACGGCACTACCTCCTGACTGACACTTTTGAACATTTTGACTCATGAATGCACTTAGGACCTATATGAAGTTAAGGGTATAAAATGAATAGCCTAAATTATCCATATCACGGAAGCTTTTTCCAAATCCTGGAAATAATGACATTTTCCTGCTGAAAGTCTCTTAGCCTATAGTCAGGCTTATCATTTTAGAGGTTTTAAAGGGATTTTCTGGGAGACTAACGTGACCGCCAGAAAAAGACCAGAAAACCATGAGCTGTTTTCCCCTCAACAGAGTTATATTATCTTTTTGATAGTTTATCTATATATATTTTGTGAAGGATATAGTCTACAACATAGTTCTTAACTTTTTCATGTGTAATTGCACTGTTTTGTGGTGTTACTGCAATCTTTTATGAAGGAATTTACATTAGAAGGATTTAGAAGCAATTATTTTAATGGTATTCTGTGCACATTTTTGGCATGACTTAGAACTGTTTTAATGTTTGTGGATGTGTGCGGCAGACTTTTTTGTTTTTGTTTGAGGGGGTTAGGGTGGTGATCCTATCCATCCAGAATCAAAGGCTATTTATGCCATGATAGTCATCCATTAGACATCAGATCCAACAAGCCATGCATTTTTTTTTTTGTGTATTTGTTTTATTGAATCCAGGATACCTTGATACCACTGCGAAAGTAGTTGTGCTAGACAAACCAAAGACTCTATTCTTATAATATGTTTAGTTAAATATCTAAAGCTATAACAGAGCAATCAAGAAATGTAATGTAACAACATGATAAGCTGTTAGTTTTGCAAAAAGTGAGTATATCAATACCTTGAATTCTAAATCAAATCCGACCCTGATTACTTGGGTTGAAAAAACTGTGATCAAGCTATATGAGATCTTATCATGTTCTCTTAAATTATGAGCAAAGCTGTAATAGATTTGTGTCCATAAAATATAACCAAAAAAAGAAAAAAATGCATCAATGAAAATTTAGCCAAGGTTTCAGTGCAATAGGCAAGTTTACAATACTTTGGTTTTATGCATTGGTTTGCCAAATTCAGCTTTGGGAAGTGTTACCACATCAGATTTAAATAAACAAATGATTTTCAATTAAATGCGTCCATTTGTTCTGCTGAAGTGTTACTGCAGTGCAATGTGGTTACGTGTATGGCTACGTCAGTGTTTGTTATGGGTGGAGTAAACCGAGAGCAATTGGTCATTATTAGAGTTACAGTATTTGAAACTGTGTGCTATAATGTTCGTCACCTCGCCTAAGGCTGTCATCTTTAACCTCATCAACCCTGTGTCTCAACATTCCTCCCTCTTAAAGGACAGGTTCCTCACAGGGAGTGAAAATATCTATTCTGTCTTTCCCTAATGTAGAAAATATTAGATATAGGCCTAATTTGCATGCATTTATGAGTATAAATCAGATCTTTCTTGTCAGAAATTAGGCCTAGTTGTGACTGTTAGTGTCGTTGCTTAATAGTTCTTTTTCAGTAGCTGATTTGATTTTCACTCAATGAAACATTCAAATACTGTTTTGACCCCATTTCTGATTAAATCTGGTTTGGAGGTCATCTTTAATTAACCATGCCTCTACTACACACACAAACACAACCTTGTCAGAAACTACCACTAGAGAGCGATCTGGTCGCGCACAGCTTTCAGTATAGCCTACATACAGCCATCTGAAGTAGCCAACCATAAAACATTTATTGTGCTGTTAAACTACTATTACAGGCATTGACCTTTTATTTTTATTTTTATTCTATTTTAATTATAGATCCTTGACAAAGTATCTCTGTACATGTATTTTTATGAACGTTGTCTGGTTTAGAATTGTAAATAATAAAAGATATGAAACAGCAAGGCTTATGGTCAAGACAACGAGACAACCTCCCAACACGAAGCCTGCGTAGGCTATGTTGTTTTTTGCACGCGCTCGCGTTGCGCGTGCACCCTGGACGCAACAGGCGGACTGCAAGGGTGCGCGACGCGTACAGTTCAGTTCTCACATAAATTCCTAGCCGAGAAAATGAGGACAGCTTTTGGAAAGTCACGATTCACGAAGTATTTTTAAAAATCAAACATTTCCAGTGGACTTTTTTTTTTTTACCAAGTGGAGGATAATCCAAATGTTGTCTTCAAATATAGTTTGACCTGTATTTTTTACTTTTTGTGCGGTTCGTATCGTACTTAAGGGAAAATTTGACAAAAATAATCGTCGTGAAACCGTACAGACTGCGTCCTCGGCGTCTTCCTAATTATAACACGAGCAGTAACTGTATCTCGAGGGTCAGGTCAGCGCAGCGGCGCGCTATGCGGACCCAGCCTCGCGCCGCGACTGGACTCTGACACCCTGCGTCCACTGGAACAGAACAACGCACGAAAGTTCAACTTTCTAAACCACTAAATAAGGTAATGTAGCCTCTAAAAACTACATTATAGTAGTTAACAGTGAACCACTACCGTTGTGTTTAGTTAAGACTACTAGTGCGTTGCAGCTGGACACTGTTGGTGACAGAGCCTGTCAATGTCAATGACAGAGCCTTAAAACAGCCTGGTAATTTCACAGCTCTTCGAATGAGTTTCGTATAGTATCTGGATTCAGAAATCATTCTAATATGCTGATTAGATACTTAGTTATTATCAATGTTGGAATGTATGTGTTCCAATATTTTTTTTTTTTTGGAACCTGTGATACTTTTTCAGGATTCATTGATGAATAACGGCATATAAGTTAAACGACATTTATTCAATAGATAGGCTACAACTTCAAATATTTTGTTGTATTTTGAAATATCTGTAGTAGGCTACTATCACTTCTACGGTGGCCGAGAGAGTTCAACGTGTTGCAACCTAAAGAAGACGCATGCAAATACAAAAAAAACGTGTGCAAATGGGCTCTATGCACGGCGGTATTTCCGGTGAAGGATTAAGGATGCTCGATAACTTCCGCCGATCGTAGAGTCCAATGCAATACCAAGAATTTATATTGAATTTTTATACTTCATGGTTATAATAAAGAAACGTTAGTCACAAAAACAGATAAAACAGACACCCTTCGTTGTGTTTATGCTTCTTTTTAAAATTATATTAAATAAACATAACTATATATAAAATTACATCTAAACGTATGTACGTTTCGTTTCAAAGACGGGAGGACAGTAAATTGTGAAGATTCTGCGATAATCCCGTTTTCCTTGGTTCTCCTCCGCTTAAATCTCCACAACCGGAAATGGACGAGCATCCTGCGTCAAATTCAGAACTTATTTGCCTATATTTGCATATAGCCCATATAAAAACGCATGCAAATACAAAAAAACATCCGCAAATTAATAAAAACATCTTCATCAGTTCCACAACACACGTGTACTCCAAGTACTCACAACACAACCAAATACACAAAACGCGCTGCAAAACCTCACAACACAACCAAATACAGAAACGCTGCAAGTAACACAGAGCACAACGGAAATGTTTCCGGGGAACCAAATAAGTGACGGACCCAACTAGGACTTTCTTATTGCTCGTGAGCTTCTCTATGCCCTACTCCCTTCAAAGGGCAGACGGCAAAGCTCCTCAAGTGGGAATTTGGCGTGAGCATGACACTAGTGTGTCATTTATGTAGCCGTTTGGAACTTGATGAAGGGAGCAACAACAGACAACGTAATGTAATTATTTTTACCTAGGATGTTCCTGTTCCTATGACAACGCAGCACTTTGTCCATCAGCTGTCTAGCTGTTCTGATGACAGAAATATAATGATTAACATAAAGGTTGCAAATAAATTATTTATTTTTTATTTTTACTTTATAAAAATCTGTTAAAATATCAGTTTTATATATCTGTATGTCAGTGCCATACATTACCTAACAGTTTTAGGAAACTTTTCTTATGAAAATTTAAACATAAAATGAAACTATTTGTATAGTGTAACTGATGTATACATTAATATCTTGCCTTCATGTTCTTCTAGATCTTTTTTTTATTTATTTAGTTTAGTTTTCAGATCATTGTTCTTTTCTCATTTGTATTGTGATGACATTGAACATATTGTTAACACATGTTGTATATTGTACACAAGTTGTATGTCATAATAATTTGAATCTCTGTTTTGCGGGGAAAAGTCAAAAGAAATTAAATAAAAAAAGTAGAATTTTGAGTAAGCAAGGAGTATAGACGAACTATACAAAAATTATAATATTATAATATTATTTATATATACAATATTATTTTAATAGTATAGTTTATTTATAAAAAAAATATCCACAAGTTTCCGAGGGGCGCTCCTGTAAAAAATAAAGTGGGTGAAACTTCCGGTGACGCGGCGGAAGTAGCATTCCAATGGTATTTTGTGTGTTAGTTAGCCAAGAGGCTAGCTGTTTTTCGGAGAATTATTTTACTATTTAAAGACGCAAATCTTTATGAGAGATGTCGTTACGGAGCTCAGGGACAACATGTGCTGTTCGCGGTTGTATGTATAACCGGACTAAACTAATTCAGTGGCTTAAACGTGATTGTTTTGAGCTGAAAACGAAATCAGAGTGATCCTGCCAGAGCCCGTCTCTGATCCTGCCAACGACTGTAGTTTCCATCACCTCCCAAAAGACGACGAATCTTCCTGTGTACATTTGTTTAAATTCTTAATATTCTATAAACTCTATCAGCATGTGTTTGGCTGTTCGCTACTGATGTTACACCTAAACTCAGGATCAAAACCTGTGTTGACAGAATACCAAATGTGCCAGTTAATGTATTCCAGTAGCACATTCATTTATAATTTTGAATAAACTCCAAAGCACAATGACTAAGTGTGTGTTTTTTATTTTAATTGTTTGTCAGCTCACACAACTGTCTGTCACCATGCCTTGATGAGTATTGATTATTAATAATGTTATTATAATACTCCCAATCAACTACTGCGGAGGGTAAAGGTAGGCTACTGTTATTATATAGCACTGTTACTGAATTTCGTTGAGGTTGTGTTCCCACATCGTTAGCTAGTTTGGATCGCTATAACTTGAATGACCGTCAACTGTTGAATGAACGAGTGTCAAGCATGTCAAATCGCGCTTTGTTTACTTCGAACCGGAAGTCGCGCCCACTTTTGACGCAAGGCCTCATGGGGCGTAGGAAACTTGTGGATAGGCTTTGACTTCTTGTCAATAAAGGTTTTTTGCTGTAAGCACCATAGACAGTAAAAGAAAGGTAAGCACGTCTTGTGTATGCTAGCCTATGACCATAGATATGTATATAAAGGCTAGATATGTCGTCCACGCTGCTGGCCAATGGAGGTCGACGTCTGCACCTGGCGGCCATCTTGTCACAGGTAGCTCGCTCACTCGTAACATTGTGTTAATGGTACATGTACTATTTAAATGACCATAACTTGCTAAATTTTCTACCGATATTCAAACGATTTGTTTTGTTATAAACGTCAGAGATGTAGTTATGACAATGCATACTTATGAATAAAAAGTGTATAAATAAATAATCATCCAGATAATTATAGCCACGTTAATAACGTTTGTAAGAAACCAAAACCGTTTGTAAATCCATCCAGATTTCAACGAGATAAGAGTATTTGTGTTCGTGCTGACCACTCATCTTACATCAGCTTGTCTGTGACAAGATGGCCGCCGGTGATGACGATGGAAACTCCGCCGTAACATATCTAGCCTTTATATACATATCTATGGCTATGACCACGTCCCAGTCGGATCCGTCACTTATTTGGTTCCCCGGAAACATTTCCGTTGTGGACCGTGTTATTTGCAGCGCGTTTCTGTATTTGGTTGTGTTGTGAGTACTTGGAGCACACGTGTGTTGTGGAACTGATGAAGATGTTTTTCTAAAATTTGCAGATGTTTTTTTGTATTTGCATGCGTTTTTATATTTGCACATGTTTTTTTGTGTATTTGCATGCGTCTTCATCAGGTTGCAGCGAGGTGAGCTCTCTCGGCCACTGTAACTTTCTACCAATTTAACATCCTTGCTGAATAAAAGTATTATTATTAAAAAGAAAAGAAAATGTATTTGTTACAAAATATTTCCATTGTAAACAAATGCTGTTCTTTTTTTCTTTTCTTTTATACTTTTTATTCATATAAGAATCCTGAAAAAAGTATCACAGGTTATTAAAAAATATAAGCAGCACAGGTTTTTCCAACATTGATTATAGATCAGCATATTAGAATATATCTGAAGGATCAGTAATGGCTAATAACATTTTCAGCTTTGCATTACATAAATAAAATATATTTTAAAATATATTCAAATAGAAAACCATTATTTTAAATTTTAATCATATTTCACAATAGTATTTTTTTTTTCTGTGTTTTTGATCAAATAAATGGAGGCTTATTGATGAGCATGAGAGACTTATAGTAATGTTTCCAAACGTTTGACCAGTGTATGAATTATGCTCACAAACAGAATAGTTATTCTAACACTGGCCAGATATTATACAGCATGTCTCTGTTCCCACATGGGTGGACCAGCTGTGTGTCAACATCATGGGAAAGCTGTTAATGGGACTCTAGAGTGAGAGAGAGAGAGAGAGAGAGAGAGAGAGAGAGAGAGAGAGAGAGAGAGAGAGAGAGAGAGAGAGAGAGAGAGAGAGAGGGAGGGAGGGGGAGAGAGGGAGGGAGGGAGGGAGGGAGAGAGAGAGGGAGGGAGGGGGAGAGAGAGAGAGAGAGAGAGAGAGAGAGAAAGAGAGAGAGAGAAAGAGAGAAAGAGAGAGAGAGTTGTTAAGAGCTGTGCTGTTGGATGAAATGTAAACCACAATATCTTGGACAATCATATCATGAAAGAGGTCAAATAAAGAATAGCGGAATTCCTCATGTGACTCTTAAACAATGTTGGGATTTTACCTATTAATGATCAACATCAATTTGACATTAGAGTTCCCCTCAATGCTTCAACTTGTCATTTTCTGCTTCCAGCAGTAGAACAATAACACAATGTTTCCCTTTTTGACAAGAATAAACATTCCTGGAAATTAACATATTAACTAAATTCTTTCTACATTTCTCAGCTGTGTTTAGCATGTTTCTGTTTCTCAAACCATAGCTCTGATTGGCTGTTTGGCTCGCCAGAAGTTGGGCAACTTTTTTCCTCAAACAACAGACTCCATTGTTTTCTCCGGAGACTACCAGCTCTTGATAAGGTTCCACTTCACTCTGATCTGAGATCATTTTTATGCCTAATCCTTTTAAAAGACAAGTTCAGTGTTAATATGTGAGAGATAGCCCTAGTTCAGGGTGAAATGCAAATTCCACAAAAGATGATCTTTGAAACCTCTTATTGTGGAAGCAGGAGATTGGTTTTCCTAAAAGAGAAGGGAGGGTTCCTGTTGGCTGCATCTTGTGATGGACACATTTCCTGCCAAGAGGAACATGTAGATGACTCATTAAGATAGAGGGGAATGTGGGGGAGATCGTTTTGTCATGTCGAAACCACCATAAAATTCTTTAACACTTGTGTTTAGCTGGAGCTTTACCTGTAAATGAGCATTTTCAAATTGCATTAATTGAATCACTGTATTACAAACAATATATATATATATATATATATATATATATATATATATATATATATATATTAGATATAATATTGATTTAATTATCTGTTTTACAAGTGTTGTCTGGTTTGTGAGGGTCACAGTAATACTGTAACTGTATGTGCTTTAACATGTGTTATGACTTTGTTTCAGGTTCCTAAGCAATGCCTGTCCCTCCTCCACCACCTCCCCCAGCACCCCCACCCCCACCTGCTGCAGCTCTTGCACAAGTGAGATCAGCACACACACAGACACACACACACACACACACACATAGATACCTGTTAATGTAATAGTACATCCGAGTCTAAACATTATGTACATAATAGCTCTTTTTTTCTCCATCTTTGTGTTGCTTTGTCTCTTTGTCTGTCATTCTCTTTGTAACTGTTACCCAGTTCCTCCTGGCAACCACCTGGCCAGATTTACATTATTAATAAGAGATAAAATTACACACTCAGGGATATACAGCACAGGTGTCACATGTTCAGATTTGACTTTCTTGTTTAATGCATGCGCACACTAATGATATTTTTGAACAATTTAAAATGCACATTTGAAACCAACATTAATGGGAAAGTTCCCCCTAAAAGTAAAAACTGTGACTCACTTGCTCACCCTTATGTTCATTGTTCCAAACCTGTATGACTTTTTGTTTTCTTCTCTGGAACAACAAAGATGACATTTTATAAAATATGTCTATATACAGTGAAAGTCAGTGGAGTTCAAAAAGTCATACCCATGTTATGCTGTTTTACATATCATTTAGTCATGCTAGAATCTGTACATGATTAGATTAGACTATTTGTTGTTATTCAGTTTGAGTTTTATTTTGGTGTATCATGGGATACTGTGAAAAACCATAGCAGAGGTAACTAAAGGCATATTGCAGCTCATTAGAATTGCACAAAATGAATTAATTTGCGACTTTTTTTCCTCTGTCTTTTACAGTCAGACCCCCCTAAAGTCCAGCGTTCTGAGGGAGCAGGTCGCGGTGCACTTTTGTCAGACATTCAGAAGGGGACGAGACTGAAAAAGGTCACACAGGTTAAAGACAGAAGCGCACCAGTCTTTGACAGTGAGTTAAAATCTATTTCATTCACAGAAGCTCAATTTTCAATTCAGAACCCTATAATGTAACAAAAGATCAGGTGAAATGAGTCACTTGGCAACAATCTGTCTGTTTGCAAGCATGGGAAATATAAATACTAAACTGATACTATTTAAGGTTCATTTCCTGATGATCTGATTTGGCATATACAGTATCTGCTGTATGATGGCAACACTGGAATGTTGTTTATTGGTGCAATCAACCAGAGATACCTGCATTGCTTATTCATTTTCAACAGTTGTTGATTTAGGATGAGAGCTTTGTACCAGCATTAGAACCTGTATTACTCTCGTGGAAATTAAACTGAAGGAGTTTGAGACAGAAAGAGTAAGGATGAAGAGAAAACCAGACGTCAGAGAAAGTCTGAATGGCTGATAAGTTGCAAGAGCTTATCAGTGGCAGAGCTATATTTGAGCTCAAGGTCTATAGTCAGTGGGTTCTCACACTTCAAAGCTCTCATGTGCAGACAAAAGACACACAAGTTTTCTATCTATATGGAAATACACAGTGGTAGATAAAGGGGCAAGACCTTATGTACTGGAGTGAGGATCACACAGAAACTGAAGGGTGACTTGTCTTCCTCTTTATTGCAAAGGACAGCGGTATACTTTATGCTCAGGACATGCCATGCTCACAAAAAAGTCATTGGTTCACTTCAGCTTGCAATTCCTGTTTTGCAGAGAAAACTAAAGGGACAGTGAAACTCATTAGAATCTGCACAAAGGTGCAGTAAGTGATTTCTGAGAAACCCTGTTGAAAATTGAAATCAACACTCAAACAAACAATTTTGTGAATATTTAATTTTTGTTATGTGTGTGAGCCTGAAAAAAGTGTTTGTACATAGTCCTGGTTGGCAGTGTAAATTAGAGAAAAAAGAAGTGGATTGGACTGATCACCACAACAATTGTAGCCAAATAGAGCCCGACTGATAAAGGATTTTGAAGGCCGATATACAAATATTTGTTGGTTTTAAAATCTGATATTCCGATATATCAGTCGATATATATACAGTATATTTATTTTATTTTTTTTCAGAAACGCGCAACAAAACATTAACAGATTTCCCTAACATTAGTTATTTGTAGTTATTTATGAGTTTTAACTAAAATAATATGATAATGCATTTTAAAAACAAACTTGTTTCTTTTTTTGTCACAACAGAACATAGGAACATTAAAATATATTAAAGTTCTGATAAATAAAATAATAATTAGTCCCTACTACATTGCCTTATAAGTTGCCAACCTGCGGTGCGTTTCCCATACAACGACATAGTTCACTGTTTCACTACCATAGTACGATGCATCGTTGGAAAAATCAACTAGCTAGTCACGACTGTTTCCCGAAACCCACTGTCGCAAAGTATCGTTCAACCACGTTGGTTTCGCACGTGGTGGAGTAATAACTACTTTTAATGAAACTGTTTGAGATCCAATTAACGCTAGATTTTTTTAATATAAATTACAGACATGTCATCTGAGGACTATTTCTAATTGTTCTCAGTTGTTCTGCTTTATTACCAGACTCAATATTTGGCTCGTTCTTACATAGTAGAGCACGTTCGCACATGCGCACTCTTCAAACACGTTACTTCAAATCTTTTGACAAACTAAAAGACGTAAATTACATTTGTATGTATTCTAAATAAAAGTCAAGTCACATTTATTTATATAGCGCTTTTCACAATACAGATTGTATCAAAGCAGCTTCACAGTGATAACATGAAAGTAGTACAACACAGATCAATAATATTGTTAAATATTAAATATTAAATAACCCCGACTAAGCAAGGCAAAAGCAAGGCGACAGTGGCAAGGAACCAAAACTCCATCAGATTGGATGGAGAAAAAAACCTTGGGAGAACCCAGGCTCAGTCGGGGGCCAGTTCTCCTCTGGCTAACATTCATTTTGATTATATATAAATATTAAATATAAATATTGTGTATATATAAAACGGCACCATAACGTATCGCCGGCGTTGAGTCGTCTCTTCACAGGCGCTGGTCCTCTCATCACAGGCGTTGGGCCATCCGAAATCCCCGTGAGAGGCTGGACACAAAACTGGACCTGACGAACGCCCCGAGATAACAGCAGAAAGGCAGATGGGAGATAATTAGCATAGCTGATATGCTGATAGCATAGCATAATGATTTCCATTATACGGGAGTCGGTGTTAGAAAACCACTATTTCACAAACTCTCCGCAACCCAAACTCTCCGCAACCCAACCATACGCGCCTACCCATTTGACTAAGTCTGTCGACCCCCACTGTCGCGGTAATGCGTTTCAGTGGCAAAACGGTTTCGTATGGCATAACAGAGGACTAAAAGGTAAGCATTATGTGAATGCTTGACTAAAGAGATGCGTCTTTAATCTAGTTTTAAACTGTGTCAGCGAGTCAGAGCCTCGGACCGTATCGGGAAGGCTATTCCAGAGTTTTGGAGCTAAATGTGAGAACGCCCTCCCTCCTTTAGTGGACTTAGATATCCTAGGAATGACCAGAAGCCTTGTTACGTAGCTTAGCAATGTTTCTAAGGTGGAAAAAGGCTGTTCTTGTAACATATGAAATATGATTTTCGAAAGACAAGTTGCAGTCTAGTATAACACCCAGGTCTTTTACTGTAGTGGATAAAGTAACAGGACATCCGTCTATATTAAAGTTGTATTGTGAGAGGTTGTGTGAGTAGTTTTTTGGACCAATAAGTAATACCTCCGTTTTATCTGAATATAATAGCAGGAAATTACGCGTCATCCAGCATCTTATATCTTTGAGACACTCTGTCAATTTAGATGAGTTAGTGTTTTCATCTGGTCGTGATGAAATATATAATTGAGTGTCGTCAGCGTAACAGTGGAAATTAATTCCATGTTTTCTTATAATATTACCAAGTGGCAGCATATATATTGAGAATAGCAGAGGGCCTAGAACCGATCCTTGCAGTACTCCATAGTCTACAGACGTTATCTTTGATTTTTCCCCATTTAAACAGACAAAATGATAATGGTCCGATAAGTACGATCTGAACCAGCTTAATGCCTGTCCCTAAACACCAGTGTAGTTTTGTAGTCGATCCAAGAGTATTTTATGATCTATATAGTGTCGAACGCAGCGCTAAGATCAAGTAGGACTAGTATTGAGAAACAGTCTTGGTCAGAAGCTAAAAGTAAATCATTTGTAATTTTAACTAGCGCAGTTTCTGTACTATGATGCGGTCTGAATCCTGACTGGAATTTTTCATAGATATCATTTTCTTGCAAAAAAGAGCACAATTTTTGAGCGGACACAACTTTTTCTAGTATTTTGGACATGAATGGAAGTTATTTGGATCTAATTGCGGTTTCTTAATGAGAGGTTTTATTACGGCCAGCTTGAATATTTTTGGAACATGACCTAAAGATAAAGACAAGTTAATAATATTGAGGAGAGGCTCTTCCACTACAGGTAATAATTCTTTCAGTAGTTTAGTGGGTATTGGATCTAATAATAATAATAATAATAATAATCGTTGTAAAGCGGTTTAGTTGTTCTAGAGGGGCCATAATTGAAGCTGAATCATAAGACACCATAGAGGATTGTACATTTATAATTGTGTTTCGGATGCTTTCTATTTTCTCATTGAAGTAATTCATAAAATCATTACTACTAAACTGTAACGGTATATTTTGCTCTGGTGATGTCTGTTTATTTGTTAGTCTAGCCACGGTGTTAAATAAAAACCTTGGATTATTTTGGTTATTTTCGATTAGTTTGCGGAGATGCTCAGCCCTGGCTATTTTTAGTGTCTTTTTATAACGTGACATGCTGTCTTTCCACGCGATTCTAAAGACCTCTAAATTAGTTTGTTTCCATTTACGCTCTGAGTTGCGAGTTTCTCTCTTGATAGCATGCGTAGCACTGTTGTACCATGGTGCTTTAGTTTTCTCTCTAACCTTTTTTAATCTAATTGGTGCAACAATATCTAATGTGCTAGTGAAAATGGTGCTTAAACTGCTAGCCATTTCCTCTAATTCATCTGTTTGTTTGGGTTCACTTAGCAGCTTAGATAGATCATTTAAGCTATTTGAGAATCTTTCTATAGTGGTTGGAAGGATTGTTCTGCCTGGTCTATAACGTGGCACAACATGACATATTTCAGCAGTACGTATTATGCAAGTCACCATGTAATGATCAGTGACATCATCGCTTTGCGGTATAATATCTATATCAGTTGGAATGGTTCCATATGATATAATTAAATCTAGTGTATGATTTAGACGATGAGTGGGACCACTGACGTTTTGTTTGACCCCAACGGAGTTCAATAAGTCTGTAAACGCAGCCCCTAAAGCATCATTTGTATTATCTACGTGTATGTTAAAATCTCCAACAATTATTGCTTTATCGACATTCACCAATAGATCCGAGAGAAAGTCTGCGAACTCTTTTAGGAATTCAGCATATGGCCCTGGAGGTCTATATACAGTAGCCAAGGGTAGAGATAATATGGATTTCCTTCTTACATCTAAGAGTGTAACATTTAACACAAGTACTTCAAATGAATTAAACCTGTGACCTGTTTTCTGAGTAATACTACAAATATCTTTATAGATTGTCGCAACACCGCCGCCACAACCGACCAGACGAGGCTCATGTTTATAATAGTTTCCTGGCGGAGTAGATTCATTTAGACCGAAATACTCATTTGGTTTAAGCCAAGTTTCAGTAAGGCACAGAACATCGAAATTATTATCTGTGACCATTTCATTTACAATAACCGCCTTAGGTGTGAGAGATCTAATGTTTAGAAGACCTAGCTTTAGAAATTGTTTTTGTTCACTGAAATTTAGATTTTATGGTTTAATTACAATAAGATTTTTGCTAGATCCTGCACTAGATTTATTGTTTGGCTTCACTAAACGAGGAATACACAGTGAGTTTCTATATAATGTTCCACACTATGCATATTAGTTAAGTTTGGACAGCAAAGGCTGTGATTTGGACTTTGACTTACTAGTCATCTGGTCCGTAACGTCTTGGAGATGTTGTCCGACAGAACAGCAGCTCCGATTCTGCTGGGGTGGAGTCCATCTGCACGGTACAGCCTGGGTCTCTCCCAAAACAGATGCCAATTATTTACAAAGAGCAGTTTCTGTTCATTACACAATGACATTAACCATTCATTTAATGCAAATAGTCTACTGAACCTTTCCTGTCCTTGTCTGTAAGGAAGCGGTCCAGACACGATGATCATTGCTTTAGGCGCTGTGCTGAGTACCGTCTCGATCAGGCTCCTGTAGTCCTTCTTCAGAACCTCCGTCTGCCGCAGCCTGATGTCGTTCGCTCCCGCGTGCAGCACAACAGATCCGACGCGTTCGTCCCCGTTAAGGATCTCGGGAACCTGTGCAGCGACATCAAGAACACGAGCACCAGGAAAGCCGTGAGTGCGCACCTTACCTTTACCCGAGGTAGCGCGGACATGGCGGACCATGGATGTGCTGATGATCACGGCGTCGTCGCGTTCCGGCTCGCGAAGAGGGGAAAAGCGGTTCCGAGTGGAGATCTCGAAGACCGGGAGGGGCGGAGAGGTAGCTCTGGTCCTGTCTCGTGTCTTCCGCTGTGTGATCCATGGTCCATGTTGTTGTTTCGGTGCCGGAGTGAATGAAGCCTGAGATGATCGCGTCCTCCTGGGCAGAGGAACACATGGAGTAGACGAAGTCGGAGTCAAAGAGTTAACGTTACTAACCACTGATTTGTGAGCATCGGCGCGTGATGCTTCAAGCGTTGAGTGCCGATCCAACAGCTCGGCTTGCTTCACCAGCAGACCACGGATCTGTTTCTCGACGTATTTGTGAGATAAAAGGCACCGGTTGTACTGAATGTCAGCTTGCTTATTTTGCTCAAGATAAGGATTTATTACCTTCAAATGTCATCCAATATAGAAACGATGCCTCTAACCACAGGCCGAGAGCTGTCGGTTAAACCAACTTTGCGATGCTGTTTGCGAATGTTCGTTGGAACGATGGTTTCGGGAAACACCGACTCGTTAAACTATACAGATAACGACGGAACTTGCGACCATAGTTGGCTAACGATGCTTTCGGGAAACGCACCTCAGGATCAGCAGGTTGTAGGATGTGTGGTGCGTTATACACAAGTGTTGCCAACAGGGACAGTGTAGAGTGCCCTCTGGTGGACAAACTATGCAACTCCAACACTCATGACATGATTGAAGCGTGTTTCGTCCGTTTTTATTTTTTTTTTTAAATACTAATTTATCGGCCATTATAACTGCCGATACCGATAGTTTGGAAAATGCCCAATATCGGCCGATAATATTGGCATGCCGACAAATCGGTCTGGCTCTACCAAATAGCAATAGGAGAGAGAGAGTGAGTGAACGGGACATTTGTAGAAAGACAGATTGTCAAGATATTAACAAAGAGGAAAATGTCAAAGAAATATATTTGGCAAAAAACGGGTTACGATGAGACGAGGACTTGCATTAATATTGGAATAGCTTTCCAATAACATTTCTGGGGAGTCCTGAAAACTGAGGTCAGGGTTGCTTTGTTTATGTTCGATACGTGAGTAACATTTGTTTTGCTACGGTATGTTCGAACCAAGAAATGCTATTGTTGTTGTTGAATCAAAGCTGATTTATCCATCCTTGCGCAGGCAATTTCCTGTTTCCTGTGTTGCATAGTGTGTCTTTGAGTAGGGGTGTGTTTGTTTGGGTGTCATTTTCAAATATCAACAGTGTTTTTCAAAAATTGCTTACTGTACATTTTAAATAAGTTACAACACTCACTTTCTTTTAAAGACAGACCCTCCTAAAAAAAAACCTACACTATATTATGTGTGATAATGTACAATATACGATAGATCCAGGAACATACTTGGTGCATTGGCTGTAAACATAATGGTGATGTGTGTATTTGCAGAACCTAAAGTGAATAGCGTAGATGACGGTGGAAGAAATGTGTCTGCTGGGAATTCTGCAAACACAACAGGATCTACTCCATCTGCAGTGGGTCCAACTCTGGGTGGACTGTTTGCTGGAGGATTTCCTGTGCTCAAACCAGTCGGACAAAGAGAGAAACTGCCACCTCACAACCCGGGTATTGAAGTCAGATCTATTTATTGTCATGCTGAATAAAGTATTTCAGTGCTGTAAAATTTTTTGAATGACTTTTTGGACATGACGTGTTTGTGTTTCAGTGTCTCGTTCCGGCTCTACCGCCAGCCTGAAGCAGCCTCTCTGGAACCCTCCATCACAAGGAGATGGTTTCAGAGGAAGCGCCCCTGATCTTTCCCCTTCCCACAGGCCTTTGGAGAGAACCTCCTCACTGTCTAGAGCTCGGCCTATTTCCTCATACACAGCTCCGCCCTCCCCCAGCCAAACTACACATCCTACTTTTAAACTATCGTCTACTCCTCCTTCCTCTGCCCCTCCTCCACCTCCTCCTCAGGAGCGACCCAATAATAGACCACCTTCTCTGCCCTCCGGCCCGCCCCCACCCCCTCCTCCTCAAATGGCCAAACCCACTTGGTTACCTGTCCAATCACACTCCATTCCCATGCCCACAACTCCACCTCCTCCACTGCCTCCCTCGGTTCCTCTGTTCTCACTTCCTGACAGATCATCTGGTGTCTTCTACCCTCCGCCCCCTCCACCGCCTCCATCAATCCCTCCCTCCTCGGTGCCCGACAGGTCATCTGGTGTCTTTTACCCACCGCCTCCTCCACCACCTCCATCTTCGCACCCTAACCGCTCATCTGGAGTCTTCTTCCCTCCGCCCCAGTTAGAAATGAAGGACAGTACATTAGGACCTCCTCCCCCTCCACCTCCTCTTCCTGCTTCATTTGCGTGCAGTCACCCCTCCTCAGCACCTCCTCCGCTACCTCAGAAAGTATCTCCCATGCCTTCACCTACATACAGGCCCAGCGTACCACCTTTGCCACCGTCCTACCCCTGTGGTGCACCCAGTAGGCGCCCCCCTGCTGTGCCACGATTTGCAGGTAGAAGATCTTTGTTGTATATATTTGCAAATATTGTATATATACACTACCATTCAAAAGTAGGGATGGCTCCATACCACTTTTTCATGTTTTCATAATGTAGGGCATACCTGAACTACACATACACTTACACACACACACGTGACATGAAAGGCTCTAACACAGAGCGGCACAAAAGTGCTTATGTGAATCCCAGATGCATGCTGATGCAACTTGGAGTTACATGCAAGCCTCACTCCAGCCTCACTACTACAATGAAACAATCATAACAGAGCACAAAGAGTATATATTGTGTGTATTGAACATTTTATTTCAATAGTTTTTCTGGTGCTGATTGTCGTAAAGGCCACGTGAATGTAAATGTAAACAATGAAATATACTACTGTCTGTTCCTCAAATAAAACAATGATATGGCTTCAGAATACTTGAAATATATAGTGCGCTAAACCTTCAGTAAAAACCATGGGTATCGCACAGTATCGAATTTCGATCGTTCCTGTGCTGACTGATACATGATCCAGCAAAAAAGTTCCATATCTGACCGATACCGATACTGAGTATCGGATCACCATATCCCTTTTCAAAAGTTTGGTGTCAGTAAGATTTTTTAGGAATTTCATGAAAAATATAAACATTCTTAAAGGGATACTCCACCGGGTTTTCATATTAAACTATGTTATTCCCTTAACTAAGACGAGCTGATGCATACCTCTCTCGTCTCAGTGCGTGCACTCTATCGTTCTGTATTGCCGCAAAACTATGTTAGCACTTAGCTTAGCCCAGTGCATTAAATATGGGCCAAAAAGAGAAGCGACAAAACACTTCCTCGTTTTCCCTATTTAAACACAGTTACTCGATTAGTGTAACTCGACCTAGGCTGGTGACACAAAATAAAACGTTGTGTTTTTCTAAGCGTTTAAAATTGATGACTAAATTGTATGGCGGAATACCATAAAATAGTGCTGTAGAGCACTTCAACTTGGCGCAATAATACCTCGCTCTCCCCCTCCCTCTTATTTCTGTCAATGCAGCCAACATGACATGCGACAAAGCGGGAGCCGGTAAGAGGACTTTTACATTTTTTCATACAATATAGTCATCAAAACATCAAAACGCTTAGAAAAACACAACGTTTTATTTTGTGTCACCAGCCTAGGTCGAGTTACACTAATCGAGTTTAAACTGTGTTTAAATAGGGAAAACGAGGAAGTGTTTTGTCGCTTCTCTTTTTGGCCCATATTTAATGCACTGGGCTAAGCTAAGTGCTAACATAGTTTTGCGGCAATACAGAGCGATAGAGTGCACGCACTGAGACGAGAGAGGTATGCATCAGCTCGTCTTAATTAAGGGAATATCATAGTTTAATATGAAAACCCGGTGGAGTATCCCTTTAAAACAAGAGAAATCTATGCTAAGAAGCACAAAGATTCATAAGATTCTAACACTTGTTTTCAGAGAAAATCTAATACATTAATTTACATGTCAATTTTATTTACTGTTGGCTTTTGATTGTTTGAAAAATGTGTACGAAATAAAACAAAAGTACAGTAAAAACCATAATATTGTGTGAAAATAACTGTTATTTTAATATATTTTAAAATGTAATAATCCTTTGATGGCAAAGCTGAATTTGAAATTGCTCCAAACTTCTGAACAGTAGTCCATTTGCAAAAAAAAAAAAATATATAGGCATCTATCATACATATATACATCTAAATATGTACATAATGTAAAAAAAAAAACAAACAAACAAAAAAAACAACTGAACTGAAACCCTGAAAACCTAAAATGAATTGTAAGTAGTAATTTATCAAGGTTTTTGGATTGACAGGTGCTCCACGGATGGCTCCACCCCCTGCTCCCCCGGCTCGCTCTCCTAACACTGAACTCTCTATTAGGACTCCGCCCCCTCCTCCTCTCCCACTGTCGGCTCCGCCCAGCTCACTACGCAACGGACACCTGCACAGTTTAGGTGAGACTACAGGTCGGCATTAATGATGAAGCTAAAGTCCTAAATGGGCTTTTACCTTCTGATGAACAGGAACAAGTGTCAATATGCTTCGCTAATTGTATGTTTATGATTACCTGCAAAGCAATTCGATTTACCATGGCATTTTTATTTTCAACTCACAGAAGTGTCTTTGTCTTCTTTTCAGATGACTTTGAATCAAAGTTTCACTTCCATCCGATAGAGGACTTCCCCCCTCCTGAAGAGTTCAGGCCCTTCCCACGTACTTACCCCAGCAAGGAGAACAGAGGTACAACAAACTCTTTGTGTGTGAGAGTGTATGTGAAGAAAGGTGAAGTCTTTTCAATGACAGTGCTCACAATGTTGCCTCTGTTCATTTAGGCTTGAGGCAGATTACCGTTATATATATATATATATATATATATATATATATATATATATATGAAGAGTTCAGATGCAAAAGCCTCTAAATGCCATTTGAAATTTTCTTCTTTAATGATGATTTTTGTCAAACTTGCATATTTAAGTTCAGTAATTTCATTTAAATAACAATTAATAGGTAATTATCATTGCCATTTAAGTGAAATTACTGAACTTAAATATACAAGTTTGATAAAAATTATCATTAAAGAAGAAAATTTCAAATGGCATTTAGAGGCTTTTGCATCTGAACTCTTCATATACAATTGAAAAAGAGGTGATATAAGATGGATGTTTTCATAACAAAGTCCAGAATATATTTATAATAATATGCAAAATTTGCATATTAAAACACTATAGCTATGTTTCCACCCACCTTATTTTATGCATATTTTGGGATATTGCAATAAAAATTGTGCTTTATTTGCAAATGTTTCATGCGATATTCCAATTTTGCTTGTAAGTTAAATTCGCAACTTTGGATGCAAACATAGCTTGTGATACAATTAATAAGATGTCAGTTAGTTTGTGGATGAACACTGACCTAAAGGTAATGTTTAAAATGATGGGGTCAGTAAGATTTTAAAGACAGAAATTACTATTCAGAAAAGACGCATTAATTGAGGGTAAAGACAATTATAATGTTTCGAAATATTTCTATTTCAAATAAATGCTGTTCTTTTAAACTTTATATTTATCAAAGTATCCTGAAAAAATATGTATCACAGTTTCCCCAATATATTGAGTTTCACAACTTTTTTCAACATTATTAATTATAAGAAAGTTTCTTGAGCATCAAATAAGCATTTTAGAAAAAAAATCATGTGACACTGAGGACTGAAGTGATGATGCTGATTAAAATTTTTTTTTTAATATCACAGATAATATATAAAATATATAATTAAAAAAGAAAATAATTATTAAAAAAAAAATAATATTTAAGTTATATATTTCTGTTTTTAATGTAATATAATAATGTAAATGTTGATCAATTATATGCAGGGAGCACAAGATACTTATTTCATGAACATTTAATACATTAACCACTGTAGCGTAAATTGTAAGCCTCTTTTTTAATGCAAATTGCTTGTTTCAGAACCAGTTATTATCAGATTCAATTATCAGATTCAAAAGTTGAAACAATTGTGCATACAAAAATTTTTTCTCAGTTCCTCAGTTGATTGTTTTTTATTTAAAATACAGAAACGACCTGTCTTATTGAAATTTAACTATTCCTGTTTTGTTTTCAGTCAACCCACAACCTCCTGCCATGAGGACTCATTTAAGATGAAGCTTTGTGCTAACCTTTATCAGGACACTTTTGTAAGCATCATTTTCATGGTAGAACAGCAGCCAAATCTGTTGGTAAAATCAACTCACATTATCTGTGAAAACATTTTAGCTTGATGTAAAACTACTCACCCACATTTCAAGAATGAGTTTCCCCATTACAGCTGCAGCCTTCTAAAACTTCTGATTCTTATTGAAAATCGTTTACCTGTCTAAATTAATCTTCTTCATACATTAATAAGTGCTTTAACATTTGATATATCTGGAACAAATGTTATCCTAATAATTTCTATTTATTTTGCTTTCATTAATTTGATTAATTATCCCATCAGCTGTCAACACACACTGAATGGAGTAAAAGGGCAAATTAATAACTACTAATAGAATAAAAAATAGTAAAAGTTTAATCATGGCTTAATAAAGCAAAAGGAAAAAAAAGTGATGAATCTGTGCATACAGATTTGAGAAATCTCCACTGACTTTTGGTTTCAAATAAAAACCACAAATCTGTTTTTGTAAAAGGGAAGAAAGTTCACCAGTAAACGTGAAACAGTGTGTTTTAGACCTAAGGTGGTCTGAATAAAGGGTTGAAATGGATGAAACCACAGTTGGAATAGTATGTAAATGGAATTAATTTGCTAAAACTAACATGTTTTTAATTTCTTGTGGCTGCTGGAGCCCTATGTAGTCTTCATCAAATCAAGACTTACTGAAACACCAAAGAAAAAATACTCTTAGGTTTCCCTCAATGTATATTTCTTTTTTTTTTTCCAAATACTACCTGTATTTGAAATCTTTGCCAGTATGAAATATTGTATTAAAGCTCTGAACCTGAAGGAGGAAGACACTGGGAAACAGTGCCACCCACTGGACATGCTTGCAATTTATTGCTCTGACTGAATAAATTATTTAACCCAAGGAAACATTACAAGACATTACTTTTTTTCTGTGAAAAATTATCAAGCAGAGAATTATTAGGTATCATTTCATAAAAGTCTGGACAGTTCAGTAAATAAATAAATAAATAAATACATACAATGAATACCTGCTTTTACAATAGATACTTTACAAGGCATGAACCAATGAAATACTGCTTAGTCTGTTGTTCCATGAGAATAAGAACATGTTACATGTATGGAAACATGCACAAACTTAATCATGCATTTGCAATACCAAACAAATAAATAAGTTTCATATAAACATATTATGCATTCATTTAAATAAATATCATTTCATTACACAGCTCCAAACTTTAAACAGTAAGCCCTCGCTCAGCTGCCATTAAAACATACTAGCATCAAAGAACATGTGCTGCAAATAGTCCAGTACCGCTGAGTTGTACCTTATAGTGTAGTGAGTGTGTGTGTGTGTGTGGATGAGAGTAAGGGAGACAGAAAAAGCCAAATCCTCTCAGATCATTGCTAAATACTGTTGATCTCAGCAGACTCTCTCTCATATCTATGTGTGTGTCTGTGTGAAACTTTTGTAGGCCTCAGGTCCTGTATTTACAGCTTGTTGAGTCGATGAAACAGGAGTCGGTGCACCTGAGCTGCCCAAAGGTCCTTTGTGTGTACAAAAAGATAGAGACGTTAATTATATTGGGTGTTGACATGAAATACTTTTGGGTATTTGGCATGTCCTGAGGGGTGACATGCTGTACTCCTCTTACAACTACATTGAAAAAAGGATTTCGCATCTCTAAAATTAAGGATAGAAATTTGTACGTTTAAAATTTTAAAGTTGAACTTTTAAAAAGTGAAAAGGTAAAAGATTATCAAAATGTCGTTTATAGTTACATTAAAATTACAAAGAAGTACATTTTAGCTCAAAAAATCTGTTGTTTACAAAAAGTCTACCCAATATTTATCTTTGTATACATACCCTGCCAAATATGATTTGCAGGTCTGGTAGCCAAAGTCTTTCCCATCACACTCCTCTACACCCTCATTACGATATCCATCACCACAGTAAGCCTTCTTACAGCCTACTCACAGAGACCGAGATAAATAACAGGAAAGAGACGGAAGTGGAGTAAGGGAGCTGCTTTTCTGTGTAAAATGTAAGTTATCTACACACTTTAGAAACATATGTATATGTTTGTTTCAGATGAATATAATACGGCTAATTAATGTTATCTTTAAGCATTATTAGCTACAGTATGTGATGGTTTCTGGGATCACGTGACTCACCGACACAGTCGTCCGTAACAACCTTGTTTCCATCGTCGCATTCCTCCCCGTTGAGTTCCTGCAGCTCTCCATCACCACAGACTCCATTCCCGTCCCTCATCCTCTCTGTCGCCTGCAGTGGCATCAGCTGGCATACAAACAGAAAAAAGCTCCTATTGTTATAATTATTTAATTATGTTTCATGGCATTGTATTTAAACCAGTCCTGTACCTGAATGGGCTCCCATCCATGTTTATCTTTGAAGTAAAGAGACCTCTGATCCTTTCTGAATGCGAGTGCATTATCTTCGTGGAGACCTTTTAGCTCTTCCTCACTGCTCACAACGAAAATCTGACCAGGGAGATCAGGAAACACAAACTGACGTAAAGAATGAACAAACAAGCATACTGATTCCGTTAGAAACAGGTAAAATGTGTGTAGGAGCAAATGTACCCACAATGATCATCTGGAGCTCCTTGCAATGAAAACTGCTCAGATAAGGGACTAAATACTGTCATAATAAAAATGTAAAAATACCAAAAGGTTTCTTTAAAGGAACACTCCGACTTTTTGGGACTTTAGCTTATTCACCATATCCCCCAGAGTAAGATAAAGGCCCGTACACACCGGGACGAATATCAGCGCGCGTTATTCATCAGCGTTTTTCAACGCGTTTTTTGTGTTCACACCTAAGCGTTTTTCGCTGACGATGAGCCGAGTGAAGATGCAAATTCATTCCTTGACATTAGATGGCGCTTAATGTAAAACAGAAATAATAATAGAATACTATACTAGGGTGATCATATTCATGACTCAATGTTTTATTATGACAGATAGAAAAAAAACGAATGAAATAATGATAGAAATAATGTCTTCTGTATTAGAAAAATAAATATATAAATAATAAATAACTAAAAGAAATGCCTCCAAATGTAACAAAAAATATCTCTCACAAACTTACAAAAACGAACTAACAAAATCTATTTATATCTTTAGTTTTCATCCTCTTTATCTTGTTTTTCTTCCTCGTCCACCTTGTTTGCCCATCTATATTTTGCTGTAGAACTGATCTTTCCCAGCAGTTTTTGTTTGAAAACCAGGACATTTTCATCACTTAAAAACAGTCAGGACAGGACGTGGAAACAGGACATGTGCAACGCAAAGTTCAGATGTTGCCCAGAGATAAAAACATAGCAGATGTCGGATGAACAGATGCACGAGAGACGAGAGTTGTCGTATTTCCCCGCGTTTAATAAAACCACTCAAACACTCGTCCTCCTCGTATGGGGATCGAGCGAGAAAAAAAAAAACACAAACATCTGGTCACAATAGAAAAATAAAATAAAAGAAAGAATACAAAGAGTCGGCAGAGCGGTTCTCCTCTCCTCACTTGTCAAAATCTAACTGACATTACGCACACTATGCGCAGTTCTCAGCTCAGATTTCTACAAAGCACAAAGTGACCGTTTTACACATGTCCCGGGAAAACAGGACTGTTGGTCACCCTATATAATATTATTACAGAAATACTAATATAAATATTATCTTATAGCTCTTTATGCTCCGAGACCAGCAGCTCAACATTCATCTTGCCCATCTCTTCTTCGCCGTATGTGTGCTCGGCAAGACCGTTTTGTGTTTGAGCGCCCTCAAGTTGTGTTTTACTGTAACTTCAGAAGTACCAGACACGTGAGCAAACCCGCCAATCTCGTTGGTCGGATAGGTTTTGACGCGGCACGTCAAACCAAAAAAACGAACCCGAGGCGTTTTTTTAAAAATGACGCTTTTACGCGTGGCGTTTTTCGCGTCGGTGTGAACACTCACATTGGCGCCCATTGTTTAGTCACGAGGCGTTAAACGTCAACGAATAACGCGCGCGAAATTCGTCCCGGTGTGAACAGGCCTTAAGTCCATACATACCTTTTTCATCTCAATGCGTGCTGTAACTCTGTCAGATGCACCCACCGCTAGCCTAGCTTAGCACAAAGACTGGATGTAAATGGATACAGCTAGCATCCTAATCCCAATAAAAGACAAAATAATGCAAGCATTTTCATACACAGCCATCTTTGAATCATTTAAATATTGGGAATTGCTACTTGGGTGGAGTGATTACGAGACGCACCGTGATGAGGAGCAGAGAGTTCATTCAGAGTTGGAGTAATAGATAATAAAAGCATAGTTTACAGTCATGGGTGTTTGCTGTATTGTAAAGAGCTGCGACAATAAACAGGGGAGACCAGGTAATACCATGATGTTTCATAGAATTCCAACCAAAAACATCACTTATTTGTAATTAGTATGCTAGCTGTATCCATTTACATCCATTCTTTTTGCTAAGCTAGGCTAGCGGTGGGTGCGTCTGACAGAGTTAAAGCACGCACAGTGAGGAAAAAGGTATGTATGGACTTATCAGCAGCCATATCTCCCTGTAGCCCAAGACTGGTTGCCCACTGAAGCTTAGCAGGGCTGAGCCTGGTTAGTACCTGGATGGGAGACCTTCTGAGAAAGCCAGGTTGCTGCTGGAAGAGGTGTTAGTGAGGCCAGCAGGGGGTGCTCACCCTGTGGTCCGTGTGGGTCCTAATGCCCCAGTATAGTAATGGGGATACTATACTGTCAAAGAGCACAGTCCTTCGGATGAGACGTTAAACCGAGGTCCTGACTCTCTGTGGTCATTAAAAATCCCAGGATGTCTTTCAAAAGAGTAGGGGTGTAACCCCAAAATTTGCCCAGTGGCCTCTCTCCATCATGGTCTCCAAATAATCCCCATCTATACCAATTGGCTTCATCGCTCTGTCTCCTCTCCACCAGTAAGCTGGTGTGTGGTGAGCATTCTGGCGCACTATGGCAGCCGTCGCATCATCCAGGTGGATGCTGCACACTGGTGGTGGTTGAGGAGATTCCCCTTTCCCCATCTAAAGGGCTTTGAGTGCCGAAAAAAGCGCTATATAAATGTAATGAATTATTATTATTATCTAACTCTGGGGGATATTGTGAATAAGCTAAAGTCTTAAAAAGTCGAAGTGTTCCTTTAAGGACTAGGTGTAGTAGGGCTAGTAATTCAGGACAGCATGAAACTAACCCTGTTTACTTTGCATAGATATTTCTGGTCATATTGTGAATGAATCATCCATGCATTTTTTTCTAACGCACTTCCAAAGGAAAAATGGTTTGTCTTCGTTGTGTTTAAAGGGTTAGTTCACCCAAAAATGAAAATTAAGTCATTAATTACTCACCCCCATGCTGTTCCAACCCCGTAAGACCTTCGTTCATCTTCGGAACACAAATAAAGATATTTTTGATTGAATCTGAGAGCTGGATCAGTCCTACATAGACTGCCTAAGGGACTGGCTCTTGACGGCCCATAAAGTCATTAAAGAGAAGGTTTAAATATTCCATGTGCCTACAGCGGCTCAATTATAAGTTTATCAAGCGACGAGACTACTTTTTGTGCGAAAAAAACATAAATAACGACTATTCAACTATTCTATTACTTCCTTATGGGCGCATGCGCGAGAACTGAAGACGAGGACGTTCTCCTTCGACTACCGGCTGCTCACCGCTTAGGAGTATTACCGCCACCTACCGTATAAAATGATGTGCTGATATAGCTGGAAGCGCAAAACTTTCTGTTTACAAGCAGAGGAAGATGCGCGCTGTACATGCGCTTTTCAATTAGCGTATTTTCCGCACTATAAGGTGCACTTAAAAGCCTTTAATCTTCTCAAAAAAACGACAGTGTTCCTTATAATCCGGAGCGCCTTATATATGGATCATCATTTTATACGGTAGGTGGCGGTAAAACTCCTAAGCGGTGAGCAGCCGGTAACAAAAAGTAGACGAATGAGAACATCTTCGTCTCAGTTCTCGCGCATGCGCCCATAAGGAAGTAATAGAATAGTCGAATAAAGTCGTTATTTATGTTTTTTTCGCACAAACAGTAGTCTCGTCGCTTGATAAACTTATAATTGAGCCGCTGTAGGCACATGGAATATTTAAACCTTTTCTTTAATGACTTTATGGGCCGTCAAGAGCCAGTCCCTTAGGCAGTCTATATAGGACTGATCCAGCTCTCAGATTCAATCAAAAATATCTTTATTTGTGTTCCGAAGATGAACGAAGGTCTTACGGGGTTGGAACAGCATGGGGGTGAGTAATTAATGACTTAATTTTCATTTTTGGGTGAACTAACCCTTTAACTAAAATGTAATAACATGCTCATCCTCTGAAATTACATTCCTTTTAGCAAACTTGCATTTATTCGGGTTTCTTTCTTGTATGTAGCGACCACTTCTGAATGGACTTTCTTACTGAGTATCTTTAACCTTAAGAAGCAAATGGAAAGTCCTCAATATAAAAAGATCATTAGTGGGTTTGTGTGGCTTACCACTGGAACTTTGTCATATGTGTTACGGTGTTGTAATGGGGCACTGGCTGGACTGGAAGAAAGCAAGCTGCAGTCACAGACTCCAGGAGGACCGGGAAATCCCTTCTCACTTTTTTCTCCAACTACAAACAGTCCTGTACATCATGAAATGCCAACAAACAAAAGGAAATAGATCAGACATTAATATTAATCTAAAGCAGTAATGCATTGATTTACTTATTAAAATCTCAGCTGAAAAGACCTGTATGTAGAAAAACTGCCTTCAAAAGTTAGCTAAATTTCAATTTCAATTTCTAAATTGAAATGCATAAGGTAGAAGCTAAGGGGCAATTAAATAATGGTCTGTAGTAATTATGATTAGCTTTATATAAAACACAACAAAGCCCTCAAAGCACCCATGCAAACATGAATGTTATGTCACCTGATGCAGGTACCCCAGGAGGTCCTGGGTGGCCCCGAGGTCCAGGTGGACCAACGGGACCCACTGGCCCTGGAAAACCGTTCTCTCCATCAGGCCCCTATGTCAATAAGATTTAAAAAGAATGTTTTTTTCAAATACATTTTTTCTCACCAAATCTGCTGAATGAAAATATTTCTTAAAAAAAGTAAAAAGTACTGATCCCAAAATTTTAAATGGTACTATACAAAAAAAGTCATCAAGCTAGTTGCTGGTGTTGAAATGACATTCAAGTCTGAGGCCTGTGCAGTGATCTAAGGAACATTAGATGTGCATGTGTCACAGCATTGGGCTGATTGATAGTAGGAATCGAAGGCCTACGGTAACAGTCCAGGTATTTCCCAGCAGTTAGTAAAGACATTCCCAGGAAGTGCCTATCCACAGTGTAATACAAGAGCTCGGAAACACGATCGGCAGGGCTGGACTCAACATCAGAGGCCCTGTTGGTCCAAATCCAGCAACCAGCATGATGAGATTTTCAGCTTCTCAGGTTACTTACGAAATTACACATACACTCACAGACTGACCTGCTAACTGAGGTACACAGGTTAACTGTGTGCGCATGTAGGATTTATATGCCTGAAGCTTCTTCCGCCAATAATCCACTCCCTTATTATCACTTAAAGACTCAAGGTCTCAATATCAAAACAAACTAGAGGAGATCTGATGCGGTGTCGAATGCTGTGTGGGTCCTCACCTGTTTGCCTCTCTTGCCTGGTCGTCCTGTAGGGCCGCGCTTCCCTGAGACGCCAGGCTCACCCTTGGGTCCCATTTCACCCTGGGGGAGTGACGAGGAGGGGGACGTTCAGAGAGAGTCAAGCGAGTCAGATCAGTGACATCCAAAACATATTAGCGTTACATATATCACATTGATTTTAATGGTTAAAATGTCACATCATACCTTCTGCCCCAGCATACCAGGCAGTCCATTTGCTCCCTAAAAAGAGCAGACCAGATAGACCCGTGAATATGACTGTAAGTGTAATAAAGGCAAGCCAGTGAGAGCTGTATGTGTAAACCTCACTCCCCTGGCCTCAAGAGGTGCACTAGAGACTGACTCTACAGCTTGATGCTAGATACTGCAGTCTTTGGTGTCCTTGTAAGAATGCTTGTCTCCCATTCTGGAGATGCCGGTTCAAATCGGAGTGGGTTGATTAGGACGGGATTACATTTGGTGGCCTGACTCGGATCGGAGTGAGGTTTAGAGGGGGTGAATGTAACGACGGCAAGAAAGTAAGAGCTGTGCGTGTAAACTTCACTCCCCTGCCACGAGAGGCATGCTAGCCAGAGACACCTGCTTGGAGTGGGTTGAGTGGGACGGGTTACATTTAGTGCCGTGATCCGGATGGGAGTGAGGTTTAGAGGCGGTGAGTGTAACGAAGACAAGATAGGAAGAGCTGTGCGAGTTAATCTCTCTCCCCTGCCCCAAGAGGCACTAGCCGATGCCGGAGACGGCGGTTCGAATCTAGCTTGGAGTGGGTTGTGTGGGATGGATTACATTTGGTGCCATGACCCGGATGGGAGTGAGGTTTAGTGGGGGTGAGTGTAATGGAGGCAAGTTAGTAAGAGCTGGGCGTGTAAACATCACTCCCCTGCCTCAAGAAGCGTGCTAGAGACAGCGGTCTTTAGTGTCCTTGTTAGCATGCTCACCTCCCATGCTGGAGACGCCGGTTGGAATCCAGTTTGGAGCGGGTTAAATAGGACCGTTTACATATTCTACATATTCATTTTGAACAGAGAGATAAATCTTACATACATGTATAAGTGATTTAGGAGCTACTGGTTGCTACAGTATCTGGGTGATTGCCAGTGTATTCGCTACGTTCACACTGCATGCTGAAACGACCTAATTCCGATTTTTTTGCCCCTATGCGACCTGTATCTGATTTTTTCATGACAGTCTGAACGACACAGATCCGATCTTTTCAAATGCGACCCAGGCCACTTGGGTATGTGGTCCAAATCCGATATGTATCCGATCTTTTGAAATGCGACTTCAATCTGAACGGCCAGGTCACATATATCCGACCCGCACGTCATTGCACGCACCTGTAGCTAGCCAAAACACGCTAACTCCATCGCGTTTCTGCACTGTTATGGGCCGCTGCAGACGTGTCTCTTCCCCAGTGTTGTGCCTGAACGCGTTCATATACTGTATTACTGCCTGATGAACATTACTGTGAACACGTTCATTCTGGTGTCTGTGAACGTGCGCTCTCTGTCAGTTTAACTTCGTACAGTAGGGTGCCAGATTGATTTCTATAGAGCCTTCCAGGCGGAAACCTGGCTAAAACACATGTAAACATGCCTTAAAATGTAGCGAAAAAACACTCAATCTGGCAACACCAGCCACCAGTGTCGCACCGCGGCCGCCGGTGACAAAGCAAGGAGCGCCGAGGGGCGCACTATCAATTAAACGGGGTTTATGACGAGCCTCGGTAAGGATCGGAAAAATCTTACATTTATGTGCAAACTTTGCCCGTCGATAAAATAATTGTTGTCTGTGTTTGTATATGGGCTATGGCAATAATAATAATAAAACAAAAGCTCGCAACATATATAATATGGAAAAAAAGGACTATTCCGCAAAAAACAAGTGATGTCGTTGACCGTTGATTACTCTTCTGCGCATGCGGGTCACTTCTGGGTCATTTCACGTTCACACAGGAGATCACAAAAGGTCGCATTTAATTGGAAATGTGAACGGCCTTGCAAAAAAATAAATTTTTTTCAAAAAATCGGAATTGAGCATTAAGCCCTGCAGTGTGAACGTATCCTAAGTGCTTTAGAGAGTTGCTATTTGGTTGCTAATGTGATCTGCATTGTTACTAGGTGTGTTTAAAATATTTTAGTACGTTTCTCATCAATTCTTTTGTTGGTAGGTTGTTTTGAGAGATTGCAAGGTGATTGAAAGCATATTGTAAGTATTTTCTGTGTTGCTATGTGATTGCTAGGGTGTTCTGGGTGTTCGCTAGGTGGTTACTAGCATACAGTATTTTAAGCATGTTGCTATGGGGTTTCTACTTGGTTTCTCTTTTATTCTAAGTGTTTTAGAGGATGATGTTCAAAATGTTTGTGTTGCTCTTTGATTTCTAAGATATTCTGGGTGATTTCTAGGGGATTGCAAGCATGGTGTGAACATTTTTAAGTGTTGCTATGTAGTTGCCAGGGTGTTCTGGTTGGTTGCTAACATGTTGCTCAGGTGTCCTGGTGTGGTTTCTAGATGGTTGCTACTGTATTCTAAGTGTTTAACAGTGTTATTATTTTATTGCTATGGTGTTAGAGATGGTTGTTATGTTGTAGATGATAGCATGTTGTTATTTTGTTGGAGTTGCTAGGGTGTTCTGGGTGGTTGCCAGCATGTTGTAATGTTGCTAACGGGTGGCTCGGTGGTTCCTCTTGAATTCGAAGTGTTTTAGAGGATCAAATTTAGAGGAATTGAAGTTCAAAATGATTTAATGCTATGCTCTTTGGATTCAAAGGTGATCTGAGTAATTTCGAGGTGGTTTCAAGCGTGTTGTAAGCATTTTTAAAAGTTGCTATGTGCCTTCTGGTTGGTTGCTAACAAGTTGCTAGGGTGTCCTGTTGTGATTCCTAGATGGTTGCTGCTGTGTTTTAAATGTTTAGGAGTGTTATTATTTAATTGCTATGATGTCGTAGATGGTAGCACGTTGCTACTATGCTTCTGATTTGCTGCTAGGATGTTCTGGGTTTTTGCTATTGTGTTTCTATGTGGTTTTTAGTATGTTCTATACATTTTAGTGTGTTTCTATTTTATTGCTAGGGGAAACACAGTTAATAAGAACAAATTTTGATTGCATCCTTAATTTCAAACCTTGTCTCCTTTTGGAGCTGCAGGTCCAAAATCCCCCCGTGCTCCCTGAAACCATAAGAATAAGTTCAGAGAAGTAAGTCTGTTAGAGTCTGTTAGAGTTTAGTTCTATATTGTACACAGGTAAATAAATATTTTATTTGAGTTTAACAGACATACTGTACCTTCTCACCCTTGTGGCCTGACAAGCCCTAATGGGACAAAGAAGACAATTATTAATTCCCTGTTGAAAAGGTATTTCTGTAATTACCAAAAAAGCACAAAAATAATAAGACTCCAATTCCTTTACTGTACACCAATTACACCTGATGAACTTGACTTACTTTAGGTCCGACTGGTCCCCTCATTCCTGGCATTCCCATTAGTCCTGGGTCTCCTTTCTCTCCCTGCCAAAAAGGTCATATAAACAGTCAGGAGCTCTAGTGAGATATTTAGTAACCTGTTACCCTACCCCACACCCTGAGAGACGGCTTTCTCCACGCCCCAAACTTTCGTCATTTTCGTCAAACTTATTACGCAATTTCTAAAAAAAGTAGAGAATATCTGGATCAAAACACAAACAAAAGAGGAGCAGAAACAAGCGATAAAAGCATTGCTTATGCATGTTGTAGTCTTTGAAAAAAGTGATTTTGTCATCTTTTTGTGCAAAATGTTGCTTTTTTTTTTAAACTTACCCACATTCAAGTGTTGATATTATTACAAGTGTTCTCAATATTAAAGAACGGCTGAGTTCACACCAAAGCGATAACGATAATGGCACAGAAAAACGATATGGTTGGGATCACTTTCAGAGCGATTTTATTCAGCTATCGACAAGTTTCCGAGGGGCGCTCCTGTAAAAAATAAAGTGGGTGAAACTTCCGGTGAGGCGGCGGAAGTAGCATTCCAATGGTATTTTGTGTGTTAGTTAGCGAAGAGGCTAGCTGTTTTTCGGATAATTATTTTACTATTTAAAGACGCAAATCTTTATGGGAGATGGTGTTAAGGAGCTCAGGGACAACATGTGCTGTTCGCGGTTGTATGTATAACCGGATTAAACTAGTTCAGTGGCTTAAACGTGATTGTTTTGAACATATGTTGAAAACGAAATCAGAGTGATCCTGCCAACGACTGTAGTTTCCATCACCTCCCAAAAGACGACGAATCTTCCTGTGTACATTTGTTTAAATTCTTAATATTCTATCAACTCTATCAGCATGTGTTTGGCTGTTCGCTACTGATGTTACACCTAAACTCAGGATCAAAGCCTGTGTTGACAGAATACCAAATGTGCCAGTTAATGTATTCAAGCAGCACATTCATTTATAATTTTGAATAAACTCCAAAGCACAATGACTAAGTGTGTTTTTTATTTTAATTGTTTGTCAGCTCACACAACTGTCTGTCACCATGCCTTGATAAGTATTGATTATTAATAATGTTATTATTCTCCCAATCAACTACTGCAGAGGGTAAAGGTACTGTTATTTCACCCTTTTGAATTTCGTTGAGGTTGTGTTCCCACATCGTTAGCTAGTTTGGATCGCTATAACTTGAATGACTGTCAACTGTTGAATGAACGAGTGTCAAGCATGTCAAATCGCGCTTTGTTTACTTCCAACCGGAAGTCGCGCCCACTTTTGACGCAAGGCCTCATGGGGCGTAGGAAACTTGTGGATAGGACTACAAAAACATTGACAGCCAATCAGAATCCATCCTACTGTAACAAGCTTGAGCATTTAAAGAGGCAGACAAGCACGAGTTTAGAATAAACACTCAACAGACCGAATAAAACGAATAAAAGGTTTGTGCAGAATGATTTCATTCTGCAGAACAGATTTCAGAACAGATCGTGCAGAATGGATGTCATGCACAGACTTAGCTACCCCGGATTTCACAGGACGTTTCAGATTTTTGTAATTTTGAAATACATCCTAGATACTAGGGGTGGGGGAAAAAATTGATTCTTAGATGCATCGCGATGCGGACGTGGACGATTTTGAATCGATTCATAAATGTCAAAAAATTGATTTTCAAAAAAAAAAAAGTTTTTTTAATATATATTTATAATAACGTAATATTGACGAAACGCGAAAGACTGAACTCTGAAGCGCGGAAGTGCAATGGCCGGACTGTCTGCACATAACAGAGACGCAGACGCGATGACTGAGCGCCGAATCCAAACACCCTCCTCGTTAAAAGCTGACGTGTGGAGGGGTGTGCGATATCATGATTTTTGACCGTGGACGATTAAAATGTCTCCACGATCTGCATTTGAAGAAATATCGTAGTATCGTGTTACAGTGCATTCTATCAGTTCAGTTCTGGCGTCTCTGTCTCAACTGTAAAACGCGACGTAGCCTATCACACTTTAATGAATAGGTACGAGACACGGCAATTCACTAATGTTCATTATTTGCATAAGCCTTGCCGGTTAAACATTTAATTCACGCGCTGATGCGCTGTTCTAACGTGCGCTTTCCTGAGCGCATACCCCCGACGCTCACAGGCACCAGAAGCCTACTGTCAAACAGCGCCTGAATACTGGACTAAGTTATCTTTCGTGTCTTATTATGCAATTGCTAATACTGTTAAATACACACAATGTTTACATTAACAGAATTGGCTATGTCTAAAGTGAAAGCAAACATTTGAGAGAAAATCTGGTGTAGGCCTAATGCAAACACGTCACGTGCTGGTCTAAAAGCGACAGGAGATACAATGTTATTCACCATTTAATTGTGATATTTGTCTGAAAACTAAAGTAATAGAAACCAAGTAATCGATCACAAAACCGTGGTTAATTTTCCTAAGGAGGAATGAACTGTCTTACAAAAGCAAGAGCTTACAAAAGCAATAGTGACTTCATAAGATCCGGGAAAACCGCGTTGTAGCCCAAACAAGCCATTCGTTGTAGTTCTTGAAAAGGTGATTCTGTTGGATTGGACTTTGCAACTAGGCAGATCTTTTTTATGCTCAAACAGCAACATTACAGACTAACTTAAGTTGATTAAAGGGTCAGTTCACCCAAAAATAAGACCTTCGTTCATCTTCGGAACACAAATGAAGATATTTTTGATTAAATTTGAGAGCTGTATAACTACCACATAGACTGCCTAAGCGACTGGCTCTTGACGGCCCAGAAAGTCAATGAAGAAAATGTTTAAATATTCCATGTGACTACAGTGGCTCAACTATAAGTTTATCAAGCGACGAGAATACTTTTTGTGCGAAAAAACAAACAAAAATAATGACTTTATTCGACTATTCCTTTTCTTCCTTTCTTCCTTTCTTCCTTGCTCTCAAATTTAATCAAAAATATCTTCATTTGTGTTCCGAAGATGAACGAAGGTCTTACAGGGTTGGTACAGCATGGGGGTGAGTAATTAATGACTTAATTTTCATTTTTGGGTGAACTAACCCTTTAAGTGGAAAAGCTCTGTTCTTTCTTGTTTCTTTTCATGTTCAGATATTCATACAGCAAAATATTCTGGGGGCAGTAGCGAAGTGGCAATCGGGAGAGTCGGGAGTTTTCCCGGTGGGCCGGTAGTGTTACGAGGCCGCGAGGGCCGGCCCGGTCTGATAAAATGTATTTATTGGAAGTTTGCCATGGCCCAAGCTAAGGGAAGAAAACAATTTTTTTTTTTTACATTTTTTATAACGGAGCATATATTTGCACTAAATGCCTGTCTTTACAGCAAAACGACACCAGTCTTAGAACAGTCTCAGTGTCGTAGGGCGTGAAGTGTTTGAATGCAGCTTTTTGATGCGCTGAACGCGAGTTCGAATCCGCCTTGCCGAACTCTCTCTTCTCCTCCTTTTTCCCAACACAGATATGTAAAGATGTAAAATGTAAAACCTAATTTTATATTTTATGTTATATTTTGCCAACGAACTAAAATTAAAACCATATGGCGTTGCGCCATTATAATAACTGACATTAGAATAGCATCCAGTTTGTTCTGCGTGATTACTTTGCTCTCGCGATCATCTGGTGTTTTCTCCTAAATAAAAGCTCAAGGGTTAATTTCTTGCAAGTGAAGAAATTAGGACAAAAGTATTTTAATTTTCCTATATTATAGTGTAATGTAGGTTAAAATATACTTTTGAAATACTCATTTTCATTTACACATTTATAGGCTATAAATGGATTTTACAGTACGTCATAGGAATAATTATAAATCATTATTACATTATTATAATAATTGTTTGGCATCCTAAAACACCATTGATAATGTAATGCAAACTGAGACTCTCATAACTAAAAAAATATTTGAGCCCTCTTTATTGTCCGGGTACAAATTAATGTTTTTTCTTTGTTCAACGAGCAGTTCATGGGTCTTAATTTCGATCTCTCAGAGAGCATGAGATTGATGCATTATAACCTTAAAATGTCCCAAATTTTCTTGCGGGGGAGCATGCCCCCGAACCCCCCTAGAGGCACAGAGTCCACCCAACTACTTTTAGAAAGTACTATGGGAAACAACGACCATTTATGAACTTTACTCCAGCATAGTACAACAAAGTTCCCTTTAAATCAGTAAAACTGTAAATGCTATTGGCTAATCGTGCCGGCGACGAGGGCCGGTGGTCTACGAAATTTCCCGGTAGATTTTTTGGTCCCACTCCGCCCCTGTCTGGGGGGCATGAAAGTTTTGCGAAAACTTAATGTAAGACCTAGTGGTTACTGTGATACAGTCATTAGCAATGTTGAAATGCAAACACTCCAAAGGAGACGATGATAACAGATATTTGTCATTTTAATAAGGTTAGCGCAATGTATGGCTCGATTACATCGGTCAGTAGGAGTGCGGAGGCAAAACTCACCAACCTTAGGTCCCTCTGGGCCGAGCAGCCCTGCAGCGCCCGGTTTCCCTGGCAGACCTGGACGCCCAGTACGACCCTACAAAGACAAAGGGAAGAAATAGTTGTGTGCTAGTTTGCTTTTATACACCCACCGCAACCACAACCCAACCAGATCTGGCAGTGTGGCTGAAGTGCTGAGTGTTCAGAGCAGCTTTAATCAAACACAAACCATCTACTCAGCATCCTCTTAATTCCTTTAAAACGTCATGCAGCCTATCTTTCTGCTTTTGAATGCCTTCCAGGTTCTTTCCTCAAACGCTCTCTTTCTCTCGCTTTTAACTCTAGATATCTCTATCCCCCTCTGTACTGTAAAAATAATTACTTTATTTCTGGTCTTGTTTTCCAATGAAAACATCTAAGAATCCTTAAAACAAAATACTTTACTTGATAAGTAAAATAATAAAGTAATAGGCGATGAGATGTTGGGGGTGTTCTTAGCATAACGCAAAGCCGTTACCCATGGTAAAATCAGTGTAACGCTCAGACATAAGTAACATAAGCTAAAAAAGGACAGCAACTGCATTATGGTCAAATGCATCAATGTTCATATTAGACAGAAATCAACAGTTTTATTCAGCTCTGACGCATTAAATTGATCAGAAGTGTACAAGGCTTTCATTTTATAGCTCATTAGTTACAAAATAAACCCCACAAATATAAAAGCACAACTGTTTTTAACATTAATAATAATAAATTATGCTAAAGCACCGAAACAGTATTATAATTATTTCAGGATGACTGGAGAAATTGCTGCTGAAAATTCAGCTTTGCCCTCACAAGACTATTTAACATATATGCAAAAAGAAGGCTTATACAGTCTTGGTGAGCAGAAGACACATTAAAAAAAAAAGTAAAATATTATTTTTCTCACTAATTTTCTTACCAAAAAAAGCCAACAATAAACAAAAATGAAATTAAAATTAATGAATAGCCTACATATATTCTTAAAGATATTTAAGTTTTAGCCTATAATCTTATGCAATTGTGCTTCTCATAACTTTTCATTATTCATTATATTAACTGTTTATTTATATTGGGAATCAAAATAAAAACACTTATTAAGATAAAAAAAACTGCTGTGTTCCAAACTCCTTCCCCTCTTTTTGCTTAAGGTGCTTGAGAGTTCAGTGCAATTAAATAACTGTGTGTGTTTAGACAGAGAGCAGCAGTGCAGGACTGAGATTAATGTCTGAGTTCAGCACTAAGTGATATTACAGGGCAGAACTGCAGTGGACTGCAGCCAATCAAACAGCAGCCTGTAAAACTATTACATGCACCAAGAGAGCGTAAAGGACTGCAAAATGCAACCTGTTCTTATCATAAACAGACATTCTATATAAAAGAAAGGAACTGTGAACCAAAACTTCTGCTCCATATGTACTCTATGAAGATAGGTAGACATCTGTTACTTTTTATCATTACTGGTGGTATCCATGCATCTTCTACAAATATAGCACTTCAGGAGATCAAAGATGAGAATCTGACCTTTGACCCTGGTCGTCCTATGTCACCCTAAAGTGAAAAGAAAGAGCAATTCATTAAGTTTCATAATAGATTTCACAACTAGCAGACCCTGAAGCAACTGGCTCCTCTTAAAGGTGCAGTACGATTTTTGAAAAGCGATTTTGGAAAAACGCTGTTGAAAGTGGATCGGACGGACAGAGCACCACAACAAACTTGTAGCGAAACAGCGGTAGGGGGCCAACTCACGATGGGGGAGATTTGAAGAAAGACTGTTGAAAGAGTGGCTGAGAGACTTCACAAAAGAGAAAAGCTCAGAGGAATATCACTGGAAAAAGATGGCTTATCAGGCAAGAGCTTTACGATCCGCGTTAATATTAGGAAAGCTTTCCAGTGCTGGAGATACCTAAGCGGGAAGGCGTGAAAACGAATGCCGAGATCGCGTTGTTTCTGCTCCATTCGTGAGTAACATTGTTTTTGTATGTGCTTCTGGCGACTAACAACAAACTCTTACTTTATTTTGCTTCGCTTCAGTTATGGGAAAGAGATATTCGCTCTTGCATTGCATGTTTGTGCATTTTGGGGGCGGAGTAATGAAGGGAGGGGTGTGTTTATTTGGATTTTAAATATCAGCAGGTGCTCAACAATCACTTACTGCACCTTTAACCAGATGTTTAACCGTCTCACCTTATCTCCTTTAGGTCCCTCCATCCCTGGGATGCCACTGCGACCCTAAAACAAAGAAAAACCTTTGAATGCATGTATGATGAGGAGTTGTATTTTGTTCTTTATCTTCTTTAGTTGTCTGGCTCGGGGACCTCAGTGCCTCTTCTTGTTCCTTACCTGTGGTCCAACGGGTCCAGAAGGCCCTGGTGGTCCCATCACACAACATTCCTTCACCTGCTCCTCATCCTCCTCTCGCTCTCTTATCCTTTCCACGGGACTGGGCAAGGCCTTGAAAAACAGGTAAATGGTAGATTAACAGACATATTATGATTTCTTGCGGCTGGAATTATAATATTCTGTCACTCACAGGCTCTCTTTTCCAGATACCAGGAGGGGGCGGGAACAAAGGAGGAGGAGGCGGGGCCAGCAGACAACAAGGGTCAAATCTTTTCAAAACATCATATGGATTCCGAGCTAAAGAATAAACCACGCAACCAAAAAGATGACCAAGAAGAATACATGATAATCAATAATCTTATTGGCAAGCATACTTGGTGAAATAGCGCTGTGTGGTGAAGTGCTCTTTGATGCACCATCGATATGGAAAATCACCATACCACACAAATCGATGACTTAACAGAGAATGGACCGGATGCATAATGGATGTGCATTTATGAATGACAATAGATTTAAACATGAGACTCAAACAAAACTTAATTCCACTTCTGAAATATTAAGCCATGACAAAATCTTTACGTTGAAATATAAGAATTAATCACATGCTACACATACTGACATACTAATTATTGTAAGCATACATTTTATGAAGGTCATGACAGAGCGGACATGCAGTGCAAATAGAGGAATGACAAGCCTTTCAATAGCTTTATTTATAATAATTTTCAGTAATGGGAATCAATTCATGCCTGCAAAATAAATGTGAATATACATTAATACAGGCTACATATAAAATGTAGGTATACGGAAGGGTATTTAAATTATGTTTAATGAATACAAAAATTTCAGATTTAATATTCCATTTTTAAAATTTAATTGCACTGTTGCACTATTTTGCACAAACTTGTGGCGTTCATGCAGCTGTGAATAAAGCAAAAAGGGGGACATAACAGCAATTAATGTGAATTGTTCAGTTCAACAATATAGCATAGGCTATATATTATATCATATATTTTTGGAAAATATATGTAAATAGTGTATGCACACATACACAGTATTTACATCTATTTTCCCTAACAATATGATATAATATGCATAAATAAGTACATACGTACGCAAAATTAAAACAAAACTGCACGTTCTCAATATCACAAATTGACAATCACTTAGGAACGCGCACACGCATCCGCGCTCTCGATCTCTTCCATACCTGCAGGAATCGGGAGGATATTATCCAGATTGTACGGTGAAAGGTAGGCTGACACAGAGTACAGCAGAAACTGCAGCTGTATCCCAATCCTGCTCATGGCCATGTTCCTATACGAGTGTGTCAAAAATACCTACACGGATCTGAGTCGGTGCCTGCCCTCTTACTGCTCAATCCCTCTTCCCATCCAGTTTCAAATACCAGCAGGTCTCCCTCTCTCACACCCTATTTACTGCTGCCTTGGTCTCGTTTGTCATTGTAGCTGTTATTAAGTCGTAAGAATGCTTCCCACGGAGTCTTTGGGAATCTCCAGGCGCGACTGCTGTAACAGTCAGAGATCTGACATCTGATCCACCCTCTCCAGCCCCTCATGCCAAGATTAGACCCCCGTATTACCACTATACACTTCAAACCACACGCCAACAAACTGACCAGCTATAATTCAGGGCAAGCATGCGATGAACGGCTCTCTTAAATATATTTGTAAAACGCAGTTTAAGAAAAGAAACATATCACTGTACGAACTGCATCTGTCGATCACCACAACGTCATTCACATCCTAAAAAGGCACCAAGTGATGGCTGTGCACTGTGGAAACTTTCGCAAGGTTTACTATGGAAGCATGTCACATGATTTGTAAATTTAGTGTCTATAAAATGAAGTAGGCTCTACTCGTAGTGTTTTTTTTCGTCTAGGCCTACATGCATTGCAGCTCTAAAGTTTGGGTGGGATTTTTTTAAAGGAGGTATCTAATGCTATTTTATGATCAACATACAGTAAAATACAGTAATATTTTGAAATATTATTACAGTTTTCTAAAGTATTTTTCAGTATTCTAAAATGTTATTTATTAATGTGATGGAAAAGCTACTAGAAATCATTCTTGATAAGTAATATTACTTTTTAACGGAGCTAGCGGTCACACTTTTTACTTATTTTTTTTGTGGCCATTTATTGGAATAGGTTGACACTACTTGGGGTAAGAAGAACCAAAAACAAAAAAACAAAGGAAAACTTTTAATAGTTTAATAACTAGCTCTAATCTCCCTTAAATATGTAACATAAATCAATCTATTCAATGTTATTGAATGAACCCAAAATGATTTTCAATGTATTAAAATTCTACAAACACATTTGAACACAATACTTTTAAATTATTCATATTTTTATTTGTATACAACAATATTACATTTAATTGCTAATCTTAAAAAAGCCAAGACAAGGAAGTTAGTTACATTTAACACATCTCTAGATAAAAATGTATCAACTAGATCTGACATCATAGGGAAAGCCAAGAAATTTCAATGATTATTTTTGCTTGTAAAGAGTAGTAAGCTATTTTATTGTTATAGTTGTGTTACTAAGTAACTTCTGCATTGTCTAGTGCTCAACACACCTTTTCATGATTAAGTGCAATCAGAAATTTTCAAAAACACGTACTTGGAAATAAAAATGAAACTTTCACTATAAGAAACCCATTAATGTTGTTACCTCAAGGCAAAGCCACCAATTTATGAAACACAATTTTATGAAAAACGGTTAAAACGTCTGCTTCTGCCAAAAGATAGGAAACTTAAGGCAAGTCTCTTGTAAGAATTGGCATCCACTGGAACAAAATGACACTTTCCAATAAACCTGTGTAAACCATATGTAAAGCATGACATAATTGAGAGGGACCATATTCTGAATACAAACATTAATGATATCAGCAAATTACACTAGAAAGCACCATAAAATAATTCATACACAGAGCCGTAGCGCACCAAAAACATTGGTCCCAAAAGAGGCATTTGATAATATTCAGACTCTTTTTTTTATAAAAGTTCATTTAATTAAATAGTATAAAAGGCTACATTAAATAGATCATTTTTACGATAGCTGCAAAATAGTTTCAGTGCAAGTAAGCTTAGTGCATAAACAACTTTCATAGTAAAATATTTTCATATGACAAAAAAAAAAAAGTGTTGGTAAAACCTACTTTCATCTGAAAAGAGGTACATCCTCAGCCACATCATGAATTAATAAGGTGTAAGCCCGCATAAGATCGTAGTTATAGACAATCTCTAAAATCGTTTTTTCTTCTCTCCCAAATCTAATCTATCATTTTCCTCTTCCATTTCAAGACCACTACTGCTGACAGCCATCAAAGGTCAACAGTGCAAACCTGTTGTCCAAAGCACTGTCATAAGACGTCATTCCTCTGCTTCCTCTGCTTCTGTGGCCCCTCCCTCCTCCTCCATTGCCCCGTCCTCTCCCTCCATGGCTCCTCCCTCTTTGCCCCCCTCCTCTACCCTTGCTTGCTGCTGATACTGCAGGACCTGTCAACGCCTCTAGCAGGATGGAATAGAGCTGCCAAGCAACAGAGTCCCCTGCAAGCAGAGACTCACACTGGTGACCCCCTCTTATGGCAGCCTCAAGCCCATGCAGCAGAGTACCACTGAAAACCCTTCGAGAAAGAGAGAGAGAAATATAATACCATACATTTAGAACTTACAAAAATACATTTTTAGGGTAAATCTAATCATCTGTACATGTAGTGATATAATCAATGTGATTTGTTTTAAGATATGACATACTTTTCATGTAACCCTTTTCAATAAGATCTCATTTATTAATATAGATTAATGTGTTAACTAACAGTGAGCAATATATTTTACAGCATTTATTAACTTTAGATTAACTAACATTAACAAAGTGTACACACTTCGCATTAAATAATGTTATTTGATACAACTTTTTGAAAAAAAATATTAGTAAATGTTTTTTTATTATTTGGAAACAAACATGAACTAAAATTAATGAATGGTTTAGAAGGCTATTTTTTATTGTTAGTTCATGTTAACTAATGTTAACAAATGAAACCTTATTGTAAAGTGTTACCAACATTACTAAAAAAAAGCAATATTGGAATGTTACGGTAAATACTATAAATGTATTGTTATTACTTTATATTACATATATTATATGAGTATACATATTATATTCACATTGATGAGCTAAAACGTTATGACCAGTCACAGGTTAAATGAAGAACAGTCTTGCCCACATATTAAGGTTTGAATAGATTAGATGGTAAGCAAACAATCTGTTCTTAAGCGACTTTGACAAGGACCAAATTGTTATGGGAAGGCAACTGGGTCCGAGTCTCTTTGAAACGGCAGTGCTTGTGGGTTGGTCCTGGTCAGCAGTGGTGAGAATATGCCAACTGTGGACTGAGAAGGGACAATCCAGTAACATGTGACAGGATGTTAGGCATCCAATCGTGATCGATATATGAAGCCAAAGAAGGCTATCTCGTGTGGTAGCCAACAGAACGTCTACTGTGGCACAAGTCACAGAAAATCTTAACGATGGACATAGGAGGAATGTGTCACAACACAAGTGCATCACACTCTACTGCGTATGGGGCTGCGTAGCCACAGACCAATCAGAGTGCCTATGATGACCCCTGTCCACCGTCAAAAATGCATTCAATAGGCACACACGTGTTGGAGCTGGACCAGTGGAAAAGGTTGTCTGTTCCTGACAACCTATTATAATGAGTCCTATTTTCTTTTACATCACGTTGGACGGCTCCGTTTACCTGGGGAAGTGTGACACTCTGGGAAATGTTCTGCTGGGATATCCTGGGTCTGGCCATTCATTTGGGCGTAAATTTGACACATGCCACCTACCTAAACATTGATGCAGACCAGGTACACCCAATCAAGACAATGTTCCCTGGTAGGAGTAGCTTTTTTTAGCAGGATAATGCACCCTGCCACACATTGTTCAGGAATGGTTTGAGGAACATGATGAAGAGTTCAAGGTATTGTCATAGCCTACAAATTCATCAGATCTCAATCCAATCTGAAGGTTGTGACACACTAAAAAGTGTCGATGAAGGCTCAACCCCGCAACCTACAGGACGTCTAACATTGTGGTGCCGCATACCACAACATCTTTCAGAGATCTTGTAGAGTCCACGAGACAGCGCTGTTTTGGCAAGTATATTGGGCAGGTGGTCATAATGTGTTGCCTCATTGGCGTGAATATATATGTATGTGTTCCAAATCATTAAGCAAGTGACATATCAGTAGGATTTTAGTACAAAACGTTTATCTTTGTGAGCTTTGGTTAGAGGTGGCTGAAATGCAACATTACGCACGACTGCCAGCCTGCATGGAGAGATTCTTGAGACTCCAAAGACACAAGCAGCTTCAAATACCTGTTTTCTGCTCAACAGTGGCTTTTGTTATAGCGGTCCTTATAATAGAATACATTTTTTGACATGAACTTTTCTTAATAAGCCTTTATCTGACCAAGTTCTCTTGTGCTGTAAATTACGCACAAACCTTATGATAGTTCGATATTCTCCAGTCAGTTTTCTTTTCTTTTCTTTTGCATAACACTGCACAATTTCGTGCCTTTTATTTTTAGAAAGATCTTTATTTCTCCCCATATTGCATGAAAACTGTGACTTGCTAAGCAATGTGCAACAACCTCTTTACATTGATGCATTTGGCAGATGCTTTTATCCGAAGTGACTTCAAGGTCAACATGACATCATGACTTTTGCGTAAACATACACGCCACTTTCGAGTCAGGTGGCGTGTTATCTCTACGCATTTTGAGCTATCCGCGTGTATCCGCGTGTTTGTCTACACCATTAACGTCCGCGTCATTCCGCGGGTCTGTACACATGGTCAAATCACCAGTCATAAATGCCATTAACCCCATTGACGGTTAGGTTTAGGGACGGGGTTGAGGTAAGTCATATATTTATATAACGTTAAGTCAACGGCGTTCATAAACACGCTGAAAGGCGATTATGCGTCTTATGCGTTAGCGCGCCAAAAATGGAAATACGAATTGGCGTGGCATACACACGCTACTTCATGAGATCAGTCTGTCAAGGTACACATTTTACATCTTATCAGTTCCTGCTTTCCCTGGGAATCGAACCCGTGACTTTGGCGTTGCAAGCACCAACCGCATGTTTGAGCTACAGGAAAACAAGTAAGGTTTTAAGTAGGGTTTCCATTTACCCATTTTAAGTAGACCTACCAAACTATTTAACAAACAGGTCTGAGACGGATACTAGTCATCTAAAAAGATACACGAAATAAAACAAACAAATACTTTCTTTAAAAAAAACTAAAATCCTACTGATATGTCACTTGAATAATAATTTGGAACACAGTGTGTGTGTGTATATATATATATGTATAGTATATATGTGATTATGTACAATTATGTTACATAAAATCATGATTAAAAAAAACTGTATTTTTCACCTCAATATTGTACTCTTTTTACTGTAAATCTGATGAATAAAGAAGACGATGATTTAATCAAAACAGCAAGGATGAGAACTACAAAATGTTTCAGTGGGATCATTTTTATGGCCATACCATACCAGGAGCATTGAGGTTCAGGTAGTGGGAAACAAAGTAACTGGTTCAGGACCATCGCCACCCACATGCAGGACTGCCATTGGCTGAGCAAATGGGCTACACCTATATCTAGGCCCCTCCTTTGTCCTGGAATGACCCTCAGCTGAGATAATCGCTGACATACAGAAGCAGAAGCTTTGCTGCCAAACAGTGGGTCTGCAAGATAGAGAGAGCAAAACAATATGGCTCAAGGTGATTAAAGCTTTAAAACTCAAGTTAAGCAAGTAAAGTATCAGTATCTGAGACAGATGTTGAGTAAAAAAAGGGATCACCATTAGGATGGGCCCTTCTCCAGCTGAGTTCTCCATACACCATTCCCAGCAATATGGCCTGAAATAGAGGGTGACTGGGCTTTGGTTTACAGTTATTCATCCAGAAATAAGTCACACACACTGGAAGGCAGAGGTGAGGGGGTAACGGCTGTAAAATGTGGTCCATCACACCTAGTGTTCCCATCAACACCTGCAGCTTCAGTTGTGCAGACGCCTAAAATAAAACCAAAACAATTTGGGGGTTGGATATTTGGAGGACCGTTTAGACAAACTTTAAAGTGCATTTACATCCAGGAAAGGTTTCTCACCTTGTCAATAGTGGCAAGATTCAGCTGTGACACAGAGTTGGGTCGGTCAACCTCCACTGAGTTTTTCTTTAGAATCAGTTCATGTCTGTCATACTCGTCAACGCATGGGGTGTCACACTGTTGCCCTCCTTTAGCCTGAGATTGTCTGTTTAGGTCTCCTCTTCCCCTTCCTCTTCCTCTCTGGGTGACCGCCTGTGGCGTTTGACAGCCCTGTCTTGGCTTTTCAAGCAGCAGGCTGTAGATGGTCTTTCGGATACTCAGTGAGGTTGTATGACTGCTAGGCAGGTTACTATTCTCCACCTGCACAACCAGCAGAACCTTCTGGAGTACAAGCACATCCAAGACAAAAGATGACAGCTTACCTGATGCAACCATCCTTAAAAGCCACTCTGGCCGATAAACCAATGCCGCTGGGAGCCCCTGGGCATCTGGAAGTGCAGGTTGAGGACTTGAGAAGTATTGAGCCAAACCGCTATTATGAGGAAGCTGGTAGTCCTGCATTCCCGCAGAGAGCTGCGAACGCAAGTTTCCTTTCTGTTGTCCACCCAGAATCTCCAGAACTTCCTCCAGAGCATCTACTGGGCTGGTAAACTGAGACAGCCAGAGCAAAAAGCCCCCGATTCGAGGACCGGAACTATGTCCGGTCTTCCGACCAGATGGTACTCTTTCAAGCTCCACGCGGCTGAAAAAAATCTCGGTTATTTTGCCAGGTGTGTAGTCATTCCCAGTGACGACAGCGAATAGAGGGAGGAGATGCTTGTTCATGTGGTTGAAATGCGAACAGAAGCGGTTCACAGTGTAACGCTGGGCGGGAATGTAGCGTTCTGTGGCTTTACCGCTAACGTTATTCCATTGGAAGAATGAAAATGGTAGGTAGCCACCTATCAGGTCGAAGATGTAGAAGTCACTGTCGTTAGTCAGAACTGGACATCCCCAGTGTTTGGCAAGAGAGGCTATCTCAAAATCAGCTTCGGAAATGCACTGCACTAAGGGCACGCCAAGCTCGCCAAGGACCTGTTTGAAGACTTCACAGACAAGCAGAGGGAGAACGCAACCACGAGATCCTTTGGAAAGAGAGTGAGCCTCTCGAATCTTGCTTTGGGTTCGTTCCTGCAGCGTTTTGAACTTCTTGTCCGTCTGGTCCATTCCGCCATCTATCACGACGAACGGCTGCACACTGCATTCAAAAAGTGCTGCAAAAAACTGTCGAACCAACTCCGCGAACATGTCGTAGTCTCCACCTCGTGCTTGATCCAATCCAGAGTTGAAATACAATCGAAAATACAAGCTACACCCATCAATCACAAGGCGACAGTCTCGCAATCTCATATCTGTGAAGAATTGACGATTTCCTTCCACAAAGCTCGTAAGTCCATGAACCCCCATGTTATCACAGAAATACTGCAAGTGAAACGAAAAAGGTTGTTAGTCGAGCCACATTTGAAAACAAACTACTACACAATATTATGCTTGTTTTTGCTGAAATGTAATGAGTAACAAAATGGGACAGTGAATTTTAGTAAACAGTGTATGCAGCTTAAAAACAGTGACCATACATCTGTCTTGGTTTTTGATACATTTTTAATTCATACTTGTTAATCATAATCAATGAATCATTTATTTTTATTATATTAATATTATCCTTGCTGTAGTAGTGTCTTATGATTGTGTGGTTTTAAAGGATATTTGTCTTTACAAGTTATAGATCCATTTCAAGGTTTGTGAAGCCGGAAATTTCCACAGATTTTCCTTTGGTATGACAACACTTGTCGCATTGTTGCTGGATAGATGAAATCTAGACTATGTAGGGATGAAGATCAGACAATGTCTGAGCATTGAATCATACGCCACTAAGAATATAATTTTTTTTTAATAATCATCATCACTTTGTTTCCTGCTTCATGCTTTTTCACCGCTTCCTCTGTCAACTCCTCAATAGGCTATTGTGAACAATTTTTTGGGAAAACATACAAATAGCTGGTAAAAAAGACTGGATCTAATATTTCTGATGATTTTGGCAAAGGCTTGGCAGGATGTTGGCATAATCTAACGTTACTGGTAATCATCACTTGATAATGTGTGACCTACTTCAGTCACAACATTACTGACTTTGTAATATGTGCTTTCGACTACATTGGCTAATATTGCAGAATGCAGACATATACTGCATAGCCTTATTTACCTGAATTTCACCTATTTTAAAACAATATATAACAAATAAAAAGTCAAATAAAGTAAACATGGTTGATAGCCAAGTCATAATTTCATAAAAATACAGTGGATATTTACTAAAGTATTATTTTTTGTCAGTTTATTGTGCTTATTATGTAATTTAGACATTTTAAGTTTCCTCATCTTTGAAGCTGATTTTATGTCTTCAGTGAAAATAACTTGTAATTTGTAAATGTTAATAATACTTCAAACCAAGAACCATTTTTTTTGTTCACATAGCATTCTTAGTCTTGTAAATTAATATTAATAGTGCGTGTAGAGTCGTAATCGGAAAATATATTTATGACTGCGACGTGTCTTAGCCTACATGTCTTTCTGCACAAGTTTTGAATAAACAAACAGTGGTGCCGTCTATTTGATATAACAAGCACCAGTGCAACGTCTAAATAGCGCATAAGTATTTTTTTTTCAGTATTTGGTGTTTAATTAAATATCATTTTCTTGTCATACTCACCAGTGTGCTGTTTATCACGCCGTGTTTACTTCCTTTTAGATTTGCTTCGCGTTTGTCTATGGTTTTGTTCGTTTTCTGGTTTTGTTTTGCTGTTGTTGGGAGAGACAGCGCATTAGCGCCACCTATTGCTGACTTCTTCATAACATCCAACTTATTGGTGCATTTCCGCCACCTTCTGCTCCGGAGTGTGGAACAGAGCCCTCACACACCCACACACAAACGTCCTCATCCCATTCATTCTGCACAATAACAAATATGATAATCATAATAATAATTATTCTTATTATAATAATTCCAACAGCAATAATAATTATACTTTTAATCCTCATAAATACTACATTTCTTTATATCCTATTAAAAACCCCTGTTTCTCTCAAAACGTAAGAATTCTACTAATCTGAACCCTATCACTGCTCAATAACCCTTTTAATGTGATATTCTGAACTCCCATCTCCTTCAGCTTATTCCTCATCATCTCTCTCTGTGCTCCATACCTAGGCTACTATATCTCAAAATAAAATGCTCTACAGACTCCTCTTCCTGGCATCCTCCACACAGACCAGTATTATGTTTCCCTATAACTTAAGCATTTTATTTAATAAACAATGTCCCAATCTTAACCACAATTTCTTCTCTCATATTTCCACTTCCAACCTTTGTATCTTTAACTTCTGTTGGGGAAATTTTAATCTCACATGTATTACATATGATTATTGGGTCATGTAATTGTCTTCTCACCTCCTATATGTAATGACAGAGGAATGTCTAATGGTTTTGCTATCTGTGAAGGAGGTTATTTGTCTTTCCTTTATCAGGAGTGGAGTGAGGGGGGACCAGAGAACCGGCTGGTTCAGAGGTCATCTTAGACTGGGGAGGATAGAGGGGGTTAGCGGTAAAGCTAACCTTGCATTTGAATCCTATTGCTTGTGGAATTTTACAGAGAGGCTTGGCCTGCAGTGAATAACCTTGGGAGAGCTAGCTATATAGACAGACTCTGGCCTGTGTTCTGGGCGTCACTCTCTTCACAGTGTACCAATCTGTGTTAGCGACTGAGCCTTGTTCTTGCAAGAATAATAAACCTTTCTTTCTTTATTAATTTGACTCTGAAGTGTCTCTTATGCAGTGTTGTCTGTTTATAGAATTTTTGCCTCAACACTTCCCTTTGAATTTGATAAGTGTCTGCCTTTCCCCTCTCTATCCCACCTTTCTTGCCACTTTTGATTTATTTTCTTTCATATCACACTTTTAGCCTCTGCTTTGCTATAATACCAACTTGCATATTTCCTTTTGTTAATGCCCTTTTTGCTAATTGATCTGCATTTCATTCCCCCTTACCCCTACTGGTTCCCATGCATATAAACTTTACCTGTCCACCTTGATTTAATATTCTTGTTACTGACTGGAGTATTTAAAACAGAATATCTCGACGACTTTTAGTTTTGAATGACCTAAGGCTTGTTAAAACTGTTGATGAATCTGAGGATACTAATACTTTTTTCTGTCTTGTCCTTTCGTAATGCAATTAATATTACGGGCAACAAATAAATAAATAAATATTTAGGGCGTAATAATTAAGATTTATGTAATTTGATTGCATATAAATTTTCCATCCATTTTTTAACGTAAACATATTAATAAACTCAAAGTCCTATATAAATGAAATGAGTAAGAATTAGATTTATGTAAAATTTTCAATAAATCCATAAATGAATAAGAAACGGGCTTATGTAATAAACCTAATTTACTTAAAATGGATCACATTTAAGTAATTTTTATAAATAAAACTAATGTATTTTGTAATTTACTTATTCATCACCATTTCCCCTCCCCAATCACAATGTACAACACAAATAGCAATGGCCAGACCACCTCATTTCACATTTTTATATTAGAAATAAGCTCAAAAGGCAGCAAAAAGAGGAGCTAGCAAGAAATAAATTAGTCCAAAAAGCATCACACATCCAAGTGTGACACTTGGCAGGTTTTGCAGACCTTCAACATCTGAAGGTTCTTCTTCAGGAGCAGAGCCCTCCTCTCGAATGACATAGATGCCCATTGTTGTCTGTGCAATGAGAGACTCAGCCTCTCCATTTTCAGAGTCCTGGAGGATAAACTAAGTTGTGTCCCAGTGTGTTCCAAGATTTTGCAGCAGGCAGAATTTTTTTTCCTATTAATTCTAGACTATGATGCCAATGAGAAAAATAACTCAACTATCAATGTAAATATATCATAAGAAATTTTATAACATGAAGACAATAGGCTGACACACACTTACCACATAGGCTATTGTTCTTCAAGTGTCTTGATGCCTTTGTTGAAGCATCTCAGGAAACAATCACGTCTGGTGTTTGTCTTCATTCTCAAACAAGCATAAGAAGATCCCAAAAAAACATGTCATTAATTATTAACTTACAGTTTAAGTAAGGCTAAACTTTAAAGGGATAGTAAATCTGTCATCAATTTTGTTCAACTTTAGTTCATTTTCAGAACACAAATGAAGATCTTTTTTGATGAAATCTAAAAACTTTGTTTCTTCATTGACAGATACACAATCACCACTTTGACGCTTCAAAAAATTCATAAAGAGATTGTAAAACTATTCCATATATACGACGTTTAGAAGATGTCTTTAAGATGAAATGATTTAGACTGTATCTTAAACTGACATCTTAAATATGTCTATCAGATGTTTGTAAACAGCAGGTGCTTTCCAGATGAAGTGATCTTTAACAGACATCTTGCAGACATACATGTGCTATCTGGGATAGCTATTTGGCTAGAAAAAAAAATAGTATTTTATAATATATCTACTATTAGTATAAATTAGTATTTTTGCTAAATATATGCACTATAGTACATATTTATTGTATTTTTTACTTATCATTAAAATATTATAAAGTGGTGAGATTTCTTTTGACCTGAATAAAATTAAATTGAAATTGTAAAATTGGTATCAAGCAATAATAAAAGCAGCAGCCTTCCAATTATTGCACCATGCTGTCACAAAAATTAATAAAATGTTTAGTTTGGTTAATACCAAATGTTTAGACAATAGCAATTGCCTTTTTTTGTTTTTTGACTGGATTATCCACCCCCCAGATGTGAGATTGAAATACAAGTAATTTTTTACTTTGAAAAGTAAGTATGTGGACATCATGACGTTTGTTCATGATGTCCAAATGAGATGCTGTCCCCCCCCCCTCTCTTCCAGTTATCATTCACTTCGTTATATGGCAAAAAAACTGTACGAATAGCCTACAACTACTACTAAATAGTAATCAGACCATCTAAAAGCGTCCGATGATGACACTACAAAACAATTTTGCAAATAAATGACTAAAATCCATCTAAAACCACATCCTTTGATTAACTTTAGGCTGCACAGCGCGAGTCCTCTTTGTGCTTGTGGAGCCCTCTGTCGGTAGGGAATAGAAAAATGGCCTCGCAAACACTTCAATTCAATTTAAACACTTCACTGTGGACTGAATCCAGTCATTGCAGATCAGTGGTTGGCACTGCATGGGGTGAATAAACGATGATATATATACAAATATATAATTTTTCTTCCGGCTTTACTAATACTGTATACATCTTTAGGACAAGTTAGGCAGAAAATAACATGCTTTGATAAATCGTTAGATAAAAAGTCATAATTATGAAAAAATGCTAAATTATGAGATACTAAGTATTAATTATGATCTAAAAACTGGAAATTATTTCAGAAAAAGTAGAAATTTCAACATAATCATAATTGAGACGGTCGAAACCGACAACTCGAAATTTAACTATATTTATTACTCCATTTCAATTATGACAAAAAGTCAATTATACATCAATTTTATCTCATAATTTGGCTTCATCTCATACGACTATGACATATGATTTACCAAAGCATGCTTTTTTTTGTGGCAGGAAGTAAATACGCATCAAGCTTTCAAAGTTCTCATTTATGAGTTTATTCCTTTTATTACGTCCGCATTGTGAACATCATGTCCTTTTCGAATAGAACTTCCATTTACTTGAAACTTCTTGTGTTTTGTTGTATTCTCCTACAAACTGATGATTTTATTCACCAACACTACCCCCAGCAGTAGATCTGACTAAATCACACACACACACACACACACACACATCACACTTTCTTTAACACAACACACACACACACACACGTCACCTGGAAATCAAAAAGAAGGAGGAAAGACAGAGGTAATGTCTAGAGAGCATGTAACGGATTTTAAATGCTATGATTCATCGGCAGTATGCATACATCTCCACGGGATACATACAACACAACATATGAATAAAGTAAGTAAGTCACAGAAAATGACCACAACGAGGGTAATATGTAGTGCCTTAATAAGGAGATCAATAACTAAGAGCTACTGTATCAAATGGGGTTCGCCCTATGTTGTCACCTCTTGATCAGAAAAAATGGTTAGAGCTCAAAATGTACTGACTGAACTAAAACGCAAAATGACAGACTTTAGGCAGGTCCAAAAAAAAGAAAAAAAAAAGAATAAACAACAGAAAGACACCATCTGCTCTTTTTGGGGATAACAGCAGTCAGCTCAAACAGCATCTGTAACCGGGGGCAGGCTGGTGAAGAAGACTTGAAATGATGATGAGGAAGGACTAGAGATGCTCAATAGGAAAACTGGGCTGTTCTTGGGCAAATGAGTGAGGGTTTGAGGGAAGATTATAAATAATAGGCTCTGTGGTTTCATGTAAGGCTCCAGAGGATTCAGGGTAAGGACACACGGTGCTCATGGTTAGATAAATGGGGAGGACAGGGTCATGGTTTTGTTTTCATATTAGAGAAGGAAAAACGGCTGGACAAATAATGCGCTATGATAACGGAGAGGACGAGTGGAAGGAACGAGGAAGTGTGGGAGATTCCTGAGCTGTAGAGACTGTCGTCGGGGTGGCTGGTTTGCAGGACAGCATGTGAAGAGTGGTTCGCTCGGTGCCTGAGTGCTGCTGAGGTGGATGAGGGGTCATCGGGGAGAGCTCCAGGCTGCCCACAGAGATGCCCGAGTCCGTGCTTTGGCTGCGGCCGCTGGCGGTGCACGGGTCCTCGTCAGGCTCTGCCTCTTCCTCCTCCTGCAGCCATTGAAGTTCTGACTCCTGCAAGGGGAACGACCGGCGTTCCCATGGCAGCACAGCCTGCAAATGCAAGAGTGGATGATGATCCTTTTAAGTTTTTAACTTCAAAACCCTGGGTTTATATGCATTTATATTCTAGTACAATGTAAAGAATATTAAACGCATAAATCTTTCAAGAATCACAAACAGCCCCCAAAAGCAGACTTGAGGATTTTATGATAAATGGAGAAGTAGAAAACAGCAGACTTTTTTTTTTTTTACTAAAGAATGTTCCTCCAGCTAAATAATTACCATGGTTACAGAAATAATGAAGTGTAATAGAACATCAAGTCTTCCACACACACACACCTGCTGTTCTTCCTCAGCCTGGCTGAAGGGATCTTCCGCTCCAGTACAGAAGGGGCTGCGTGGCGAGACGTCTCCTTCAGCAAAATGACTCTGCCTGGAGTCTGGAGAGCCAGGTGTCTGCTCATATCCCCTGGAGCTCTTCCCATCCCCATGGTAGGAGGAAGAAGATCTGAGGGAGGAAGTCAAGCAGAGAGTGAAATTTCGAGCAGTGGCCGCAGCGTCCTGCAGTTTCACATGCTATACTTAATCTAAAACAGTTTTAAAACAAGTTTTATGGTCACATATTAAATGAGAGAGTACATGGCTTATGTGTAAGCTTCAGGAACAAACCATATTTTAAACATTTGTCAATTTTAACCTATATCCTTGATGTTGAAAAGGTTCATGTGTACACAAATTTACGTATTTTATTAACTTAACTTAGACTTCTAATATATTAGCATTGAGTTTGGGGTCAGTAAGATGTTTTGAAAAGTCTCTTATTTGTTTAAAAGACAGTAAAAATAGTAATACTGGGGAATATTATTACAATTTAAAATAGCAATTTTTCCGTTTTAATATATTTGAAAATAAAATGTAATTTTGTGATGGCAAAGCTGCATTTTCAGCATCATTACTACAGTCATCAGCGTCACATGATCTTTAAGAAATCAATCGAAGCTAATTTTCTGCTCAAGAAACATTTCTTATTACATCAATGTTGAAAACAGTTGTGTTGCTTAATACTGTATAATCGTAGAAACTGTGATGCATTTTTTTTCAGGATTAATAGAAAGTTGAACAGCATTCATTTGAAATAGAAATCTTTTGTAACATTATGAAAGTCTTCACTGTAGTGTTAACTGATCAATTTAATACATCCTTGCTGAATAAAAGTATTGATTTATTTTTATGCTAATTTGATATTTTTAAAATTCATCATCATGAGACCTGTAGCTTATATTGGTGAAAGTGAACTAACTGACAAACCAGCTCTAACTATAAACAGTATTTGGAAAGTATTTCATTACAAAAGATCCCAGTTTAGGAAAAAACACATTATTTTAACACAGACAACAGTTTAAACATTCTTCATCACATATGCTCTTCTTTCACACAAATTAATCTGACCTGCCCCGGCGACGTCTGCGAGCCCAACTCCCCCAGCGACTCCTCTCTCGGCTCTCACACACTGCATGGCGGCTCAGAAACAGAGATTCAGAGAGATCCTCCACCTATAGTTACATTGTAAACAAGTATGCAGTGATCACTTTGAATGCTCGAGAAAACCAAGACACAATACCAAGTGTCTTCATTAGAAAGATTGTAAAGAAAATCCCGCCTTTTTCCACTTAGAAAAACCTCAGGCTGATGATTTCCACACACTGCTTGGCTCATTTGACCTCAAAAGAGTATCTACTGCGGCTACTCACAAATCAGGTAACCAATTGTTTATTTACACGAGCTACTGCTCCACTGACCATACCCTGGTCACTCTGCTGCACACCTCAGGTCACTTCTTGATCACTCTCAACCTGCCTCAGAACACAACACACACTCCTCCACACTTCACCTTTCAGCAGAACCTACGCTCACTTTCCCCCTGTCGTCCATCCACACTTCCTTTCCCTGATCAGCTCTACACACTAGATGTAGATACTAACAGTGCAACGGATACTCTTTTCTCCACTTTAACATCCTGCTTGGACAACTTCTGCCCCCTTTCCTCAAGGCCAGCCCGGGGCACACCCTCTGCCCCCCGGTTATCTGATGTTCTCCGCGAACATCGTTCTAAACTCGCAGAGAGGAAGTGGCGCGAATCAAAAGATCCTACTGACATTGGTCTTTATCAATCCCTCCTCTCTTCCTTCTCTGATAATATCTCTACTGCTAAAACGACTTAGTATCACAACAAAATTATCAATTCTTACGACTCTCGCATGCTTTTCAAAATCTTCTCTCTTCTTAAACCTCCTCCAACCCTAACAGCTGACGATTTTGCCACATTCTTCAAAGATACAACCACCACCATCAGCTGTCCATTTACCAATTTACAAACAGAGACACATTTTACCAGCTAACGCACACGCTCTACCCTCCTTCTCTCTACTTTGAGAGGCAGAAGTCTCCAAACTCCTCCTTTCCAATCACCCTGGAACCTGTCCGCTTGATCCCATTCCCACTAATATACTTCAACTCGGGAGCCGTACTCCAATGGTTCAAGTAGGTCAGGGGTGTCAATCTCAGTTCCTAGAGGGCCACAACCCTGCAGAGTTTAGTTCCAACCCTAATTAAACACACCTGATCAGCATATGAAGTCCTTCAGGCTCATTTGAAAACTGCAAGTGTGTTTGTGTTGAAGCAGGGTTGGAACTAAACTCTGTAGGCCTGTGGCCCTCCAGGAACTGAGTTTGACACCCCTGAGTAGGGTGTCGTGGAGGGGTGTGGTGTCTAAGACCCAACATCTAGCTACTGGGGTGCCTCAGGGCTCAGTGCTTGGACCACTTCTCTTCTCCATCTACATGACAATCACTAGGATCTGTGATTCAGAAACATGGCTTTTCCTATCACTGCTACGCTGATGACACACAACTCAAACTCTCATTCCAGGCTGATGATCTGACAGGAGCTGCTCATATCTCAGCCTGCCAGACAGACATTTTAGGCTGGATGTAGGACAACCACCTTCAACTAAACTTTGCGAATACAAAGCTACTTGTGGTCACGGCCATCCCAACACTTCAGCACAACTTCACCATTCGGCTAGGCTCGTCATCTATAACTCCATCAAGGACAACCAGGAACCTTGGGGTTGTAATTGATGATCAATTGAACTTCACAGACCACACTGTTAGAACTGCCCGGTCATGTAGATTTGCCCGGTCATGGAGAGGTCACAATATTAGGAGGATCATGCCCTTCCTATAAGAGCATGCTACACAACTCCGTGTCCAAGCGCTTGTTCTATCCAGACTGGAATATTGTAATGCTCTCCTGACTGGTCTTCCAGCTTGCTTCGTCAAACCTCTGCAACTTATCCAGAATGGTGCAGCCAGAGTGGTCTTTAATGAGCCGAAGAGAGCACACATCACTCCTCACCTCAGAAAATTGCACTGGCTGCCAGTTGCTGCTCGTATTAAATTCAAGTCACCGACGTATTCCTACAGAACAACCACTGTCTCTGCTCCCTTTTACCTAAACTCATTCCTTCAGACTTGTGTGCCACCCAGAAACGTGCGCTCTCCAAGTGAACGTCATCTTGTGGTGCCATTTAAAAGAGGCACAAAAACACTTTCTCTGACCTTTACCATGACTGTTCCCTGCTGGTGAAATGCCTAACTCAACCAGAGCTGCTGAGTCTGTAGCCACTTTCAAGAAAAGGCTGAAGACACATCTTTTTCGGCAGCACTTGATCCAGTAATACTAACACTTTTTCTTCTATTCAATTTTTTTTTTTTTTTACATGTATTGCACTTGCATATTGTTGTCCTACTGTTAGTTTAATGGCTTATATTGTTCTAATTTGTAAGTCACTTTGGATAAAAGAGTCTGCTAAATGAATAAAAGTAAAGTAAGTAAATGTAAAATAAAATAAAAACATGGAAAAGTATACACACCTCTTCCTCATTGTCCAGTCCTTCCCCATTGGGCTGGTGCTGTATATTATTGTTATTCAACGACAGGGCATGTGGCCCCTCCTGGTATTTAGAGACCCCTGAGAGAGAGTCCAGCTCTCTCCAGCTAAACACAAAACACAGTTGCACATTTTTCATCAGAAACCAAAATTAACAATAGTGCTATACGAATATATCAGCCAACATTTTAAGATGATCAACATCTGATCAAAATCATAGATCAAAATCTGCTGGCTTGGGTTTCTTCAACTTACAGGGTTCGTACAGATACTGTAAAATGAAATTTTAAAAAAGGACTTTTCAACTCAAGCACTACTTTTTTGGTTTTCAACGACTGAGATCTCAGTTATCAAACAATATCTTTTTTATCTTTTAAATTCTAAAAAAAATGTAAAAAAATAAAAATAAAATAAAATTAAGATAAACTAATAAAACAAAATGGTACAAATAATAAAGTGCAGCACATGCAATGACAGTGGCAGATTTATTTCCCTGAATATATGATTGACCTGAAGAATGAAAACTGTATTATATACGTAGATATTTATATGAGCAATAAATATCACGCTCATGAGTCATAGCCATGCAAAATGGCTCTATATTAGATTGGCTGCAGCATTAATTCAGTGTGAAAAGATTGTTTTATCAATAAAATTGAACATATAATCTTACATATATTATCCTTCAATAATTCAAGCAATTTTCAAGTATCTTTTCTTGAATATAGCTGTTGTCAAGGCAGGGTTTATGCAGGAATCATAGAATCATAGAGATGAATTTACTACCTTTTTACTACCTCCAAAATATTTTTTTACTACCAACACGACATGTATTCTATGTAACGTTACGATTTTTCTCAATATAATTCATAATCCCACGTTTATAATGAACAACGCGCTATGGTTATAGTGTTATCAAAACTGTGTCCGCAGAGGGGCGGGGAGACCAAAGCTCATTATCATTTAAAGGCATGTGCACTGAAACGGCGTGCTGAAAAGAGCTGTTTTTGAGCTGGTAAAATGAGTGTTTTCTTAAAATACTAATGAAATTTTTTATAAAAGTAAAAGTATATTACAAAGTTTTCATTTAGACCCTAAAGATTCATATTAACTTCTACAAAAATTGCATTATATGACCGCTTTAACCCTAGAACTTTAGTTATCCTAACCATTACGTTAGCCCTTAGCCCTAATAAGGTGAATAATTACCTTGGCACTTAAAAACAAATGACACTTAACAGCCATAAACATTAATAAATATTAATAATAAAGTGTGTCACATCACACACACTTACTCACAAACACACATTCTATACACGCAGACTTAAGCAGTGAAATTACTATCCCAAAACAGCAATTTATTTCATCACATCTCTAAATGTGCTTCAAATATGGCACTTGTTTGCTCCCCTATTTTCAATTAGGGATGCACAATACCACTTTTTGCAGAACGAGACAGAGACCAATACTTTCATTTTTGGTACTCGCCGATATCGATACCCTAACCGATCCCTGAATTTTCACTGCATTTGTAACTATTAAATGTATTAGAATAATATCAGTTGGCTTAATTTGTACATCAAATATATATTTCCTTCAGATATTTTCATGCTTAATTAATCCTGCTAAAAAGCATGCTTCTGTTTCTGTCACTGTTCATTCTATTTGCTCCATCATATGATCTATCATTTATTAGCACAGCACATGTTTAGAGCCGCTCTAGTGCTGAGGATTGGGTCAGTGGTAATGTTTAGACACCAGTGAAATATCAATTATTTTAACTAATTTTGATACTACAACAAAAACTACCAGCCCAATTAATATGAATTTAAAACATTATTAACAGTAAGCAGTCAGTAACAAAATAAGAACAAATAATCGAATTACAAAGCGGACAAACAAATACAATAGAACAAATAAAAGCTACAAATAAAATAGTGTTTTTAGAGTTTTTTGGGGGGTAGATTGGTACAAACATTTGAATAAAGTAATCAAATGAGAAAAAATTGCATATATTAGTGTATAAATTAAATATAGATGGATATTTTTGTAAATTTGAAAAGGGTAGACTATTTAGTCAAGAGCAGTGAGTAATGTATTTGTCCTTGACAATTGGTATTTGATTAACATGAAAACACAGTAGCAGGTTTATTAAAGTGCTGCCCCTTTAAGACCAAACGGCCCCATTTAAACATGGCTAACTGCGTTTACTTGAGATGTAACTGACTTTTGTTTACTAGGATACTCGCCAAGACGGCCGTTTTTACATAATTTTGTCTGAATTTGTCCGTACAAGCGCAAGACAATTTTCAGCAACGTTATTCACGCGCTGGTTTGCGCGGGCGCGCAATTTGGATGTTTGCGTTCATGGAACTTCTTGACCTGCACACGTCCAGGAATAATGTAGGGAACCACTTCATTTGTTATACATAAATCAGGTAACAGGTCATGTTACTTGCATATTATACGATTTAGTTTTCATCCAAATAACATGCTGAGAGAACGATCACGATTCAACAGAAGTGCGCGCGCGATCTCTCTCTCTCTCTCTCTCTCAAGCTAGATGATTCGTTTTTATTTTCTTTGCCATTGACATCCTCTCACTCTCTCTCTCTCTCTCTCTCTCTCTCTCTCTCTCTCTCTCTCTCTCTCTCTCTCTCAGTTAATAATAAGCTAGATGATTCGTTTTTATTTTCTTTGCCATTGACATCCGACTGAACTACAAACATTCCACTGATGTCTGTTTGAAGGGATGTGCTCGACCAGCTCGGCCGTCTGTGCTGCTGCGTGCTCAATCCACTGCGCGTTTCAGTGCTCGCGCACCACAGCTAAGTTATGTTACTATATTGCGTTTAATATTCCACTAATAAGACACATCTACTTCATAGACAGTCTTATTTTTTTGGAATAAAATGGAAACATATACATTAAGGCAGTGATGAAAAATTTACTACCAAGTCAAATTGCATTTCCTACCTTTTACTACCTTTCAAGGGCCGTAATTTTGGTAGATTCTATTTACTACCTTTTAATACCGTGCGGAAACCCTGCAAGGGTTTTCCAGGACTTCAATTTTAAAAAGTAAAATTCAAGTACTTTAAACGAACCCTGAAATTAATAGTTCCTAATTCTTTCACATACCAAATCTACCAAACCAACTAACAGCCACATTTTTAGAAATGTATTAGTGGCATGAATATAATATATATATATATATATATATATATATATATATATATATATATAAAGATAAAGATAAAGATAGAAAATAATTATTTATGATAGAAATGCTATTTTCTATCTTTAAGCTTCCTGTTTGGAATGTAGCTTTACTACTTTATGAAAGACGGGACACAAGGAAACAGTGGATACTAGGCACAGTGTTTGAATAATTGATGGGAAATTACTTGAAAACAAAGCTACTTTGCACAATGGCTATCTGACAGAAGGAAGGCAACTCAAAGCTAAATGTAGTAAATATAATCACTTCTTCCTGTTGTAATATTTTCGAGCAAGTACATATTCTCTGTGCTGGTTTTGAAGGTCTGCATTATCTGTACCTTGGGGTGATAATTTCCTTGTATTGCAATTTCTGTACTCGTGCACCTAGTCCAGCCAGGCCCAAAGGCATTACCAGGTTGTCGATGTCAAACGAGCTTTCCGCTCTTCTCCTTCGCAAAGGCTGAGGAACAAGAGAGAATTAAGAAGCTAACAAAGAGAATAGTAAGTGACAATTGACCTTTTTAGCCTGATTTACCTGAGCAGGTGTGTCTGTCGCTTGGGGTGTTGCCGGCAAGATTGGCAATTCTGGAGCTCGTGGATGAAGATAGTTTGGAATAATAACACCTCGCTGGCTTCTGCACCCGGAACCACCTACAAAAGCAATTTTGTTAACTTGAAACTTGAAAACAGAAAGACTTAAAAAAAAAAAAATCATCTTATCCTCACCAAGGCTGCATTTATTACACCAATAATACAGGAAATGCACTGATGCACTGATTATTACAATTTCAATCAACTGATTTCTATCATAACATATTTTAAAATGTAATTTATTCCTGTGATGGGAAAGCTGAGTCTTTAGTGACACATGATCCTTCAGAAATCATTTTAATATGCTGATTTGTTGCTCAAGAAACAATTTTTATTATAATCAAATTAATGTTTAAAACAGTTGTCCTCAATAGTTTTGTGGAAATGTTTTTCAGAATTCTTTGATGAACAAAGTTTAAAAAAAATCTTTGCTGTCACTTTTGAACAATAATTTGATTTAATGGATCCTTGCTGAATTTAAGTAATAACATCTTCAAATGAAAAAAATAAAAATAAAAAATGTGTATATATATATATATACACACACACATTGTGTGCTTAATGATACAAGTGTAAATATACATTTCACCTACCAGGTGTGTTAAATAAAGGAGGCAGTGCATTAGGCGGACGGGGACAAACTAGTCGCCGCCTCACTCTCCCAACTCGTCCCTGGCCCCGCCTCCCCAGCCAAGAGGACGCTGATGACATGTCTGTCCACTGCAGTGAATCATGAGAATGGTGCCCGGCCAGCGGGCGTATCCCACAATGCAGTGTGAGGGGTGAATCTGCAAAGGAGGAAATTCAAACCATGAAGCCAATTCATCCACAGTAGCCCCATAAAGTATAAGTAGACTTAATGCACACTTACAAATATATAGTTCCTAGTCATATCAGCCAAAAAAAAAATCGCAACTTTACATTTTCCGTCTGTCTTAGTGCACAATGTAACTATAGAAGAGTCAAGTTTTAAATAGGAAAAATATCGAAACACTTTGGTAATTTTTTTTGGAAGAAAGGCTAATGGTCTTGTGCACTTCAATGATGTATGCTAAGCTATTCTAAAAGTGGTACCGCCAGAACCGGAGATCGGCTGAATGGATTCAAAAACGGTAAAACTCAACAGTTTTGGGCTGTTGTAAAATGAGCCTGTTTCTAAAAAAAAGTGGAGTATCCATTTAATACAAATCCAGCTGTTCATTGTTTGTTCATGTCATGTTGTATATGAAGAGCTCTTTTCCAAAACGCTATAAATCCATTTCAATAGTTTTCAGGAAAACTACATTTTTTACCTAGACCCACACATTTTGTGAATATTCAAATTATCCTGTTTAAATGTTTTATTGGTTCAGTCTGAACATTTTGAACAATAATTATTAAATCAAACAACAATATTGTTAATGATAATTTAAAAGTTAATTTTATTTTTTTCCAAAACGCTATAAATCCATCCATTTTTTGTATCATTTTTAGTAAAGAGTCAAACCTCAAACAAATAGTACCAATTTCAACAAATGCATGAAAAAAAAACGAATTATTAAAAATGATCAATATATGATAACGATATTCAAAAAAGGGATGGGCACCCCTCCATCACATGCACACACACACAGGCTACATAACATGTGAGCAAAGCGGAGCAGCATGACGCTTAAATATAAGTAAAAAAAAAAACAAAAAACAAAATAAACATAAAATATACGTTTCACATTTGTTTTTAATAATATTACATTACTTATTTTTATTATTTCATCTATGTTGAGTAGGCTATGAAAAGGGAACCGCATGAGATGAGTAAGATAGGATCAAAATTCAAAAGCTGCCCAATATCGGAAAATATTTGGAGTGCGTCAGACATGATTTTGACCACTTATTAAGTTTTGTTTTGTAGAAAGCTTGTAAATTTCGTTTCATATAAATTGTATCTTCATTTTAATAAATGTTTCATCGACAAATTGACTGGATTAATACATTAGAAGTAAATATCAGACAATATAATCAGGACACAGAGGCGCGCAGGTGAACCGGAGCGCGTCTCATAATATGAACCGAAACACCGCGATGCTTGCCTCACACAGGCCTGAGAACTAAGCTACAGAAAGCTTTAAATATTTACTTTTAAACAAAACAATTAAAAACTAAAATAAATTGGCAACTCTCTGCGTATGTAGGCTAATTCGAAGTATGCGTTTCTATAGGCCTATGCGCGTTCACTGCGAAGATGGCGAGTAAGCATCATCAACTTTATCTTTGTTGATGACACTGACAGAAAACACTAGTTTATTAATAAACAATTCAAATGTTTCATGCATAATCATTACTTTTTGCCGGTTCTTTGTGGCAAGCTTTATGCATACGTTGAAATGCGGAATAGGCAATTAAAAACGCTCATATGGTTTCTCTCCCATTTAATTAAATCAATATATGTGATTACTGATAATACAAATGGCTTAAATGATCTACTACTAGTCGACTAGAAAACTAGGACTCATTTTGAGGAATAAATGAACATAATAAACCTCTGTTCAGAGTGCCGCCGTGCTGATTGTGTAGAGCGCTCATTGAATTTGAGGATTTATCGTGTTTAGGCTAAAAACAGGGCTGGCGCTTATCGCGGCTTGGAAAGAAACTGTATCTTGCAGTACATTTTAAACAAGGAAATATAGCGATTTGGCATGAAACGTTGATGGAGCAGTGAAAGGGTTCTGTCCACAGCAGAATGACACGACAAACTCATTTTTTTTAAAAATGGCGTTTATCGCTTTTTGGAAAAGAGCTCTTCATATATATATAAATAATTTGTTTTAAGGGTCACTGTAATGTGAAAGCCACATCTGATGATTACTTTCAAGGACATCAAATTGACATTTAAAATCTCGTACAGTGAGTACTGTTGAAGTACAAGCTAAATTTAGATGGCAAAAAATTAGATAAATGATATGCAAAATGAGTTGTGTGCTTATACAATAATAATAAAGAGATGAAAGAGATAATATAAGGATCTCACCAGATGGCAATGAGAGGACAGGGTGAACGGACATATCGAGCAAAGTCTGATGCATCCACAGACCCTTCTCCTTGTCTGATGGGGAGCGAGGAGGAGCACCACCACATAACACACACACAGTTTGGGGTTCACACCAACACTGTAACGAAACCGGCTGAGAGGGAGGGACACACAAAAGAAACAATTCGGTTTTATTATCCACCTCAATGCATAATATAAAATGTAGAGCAACCGATAAATTAGTTACTTTGCATAACAGAAAGCTAGTAGCAAGGGCAACTCTGAGACTGTCTTCACCTTTGACCCCAATGCTGCACAATCTTCTAGGCGAATGAGTCTGTGACGCCGTTGCCTGAGTAACGGTCGAACCCGTGCAGCAGAAGAAGGTGGACAGGGCACTGTTTGCGGGGAGGTGGATTCTTCTGACTGCCACTTCCTGTTAGAATCCCCAGCAGAGGATAACCTTGGGGGTTGCACAATGGTACATTAAATGTCAAATCCAAAAATCTATCAGTGTGTGTTTTATGCAAGTTAAGAGGTCTACTGACTTGCAGTGTGATGTGGGGGAGGAATTTGATGCTCTGAGTGGTGTGTCAGGGCAAGAGTAAGTGGACCGCACCTGCATGAAACAAACAGTACAGATGAACACTCAAAAACAATTATTTTTGCCTCAATTTAATTCATTAAAATAAGCTAAAATAACATGATTTCTTCATTTTAATTGTGTTCAATCAACCTAATATATTTAAAAGAGAAGTTTATTTTATTCCTTACACTGTAAAAAATTAATATACTTTATCTAATCAATAGAATTGTGGCAACAGATTACAAGCAATATCATTAATTATATTTAACAAATTAGAATTGAGTAATAATTAATCAAATTATTCCTTAAAATTTAACCATTTAAAAGGGTACATATCATGCTTTTAAATCATTCATTTTTTCATAAAAATCATACCGTTGTGGTCTATATAAAACATAACTGCAATGCTTGGGTCTGAATTCCTCATTATTATAGCTCCACAAGCCCCTTTTCTACCCCTTTTCTGATGTGCGTCTTTGAGCGACCCGTTTCAAAGCGGCCCCTTTAAATAAAAAGGAGATGCGTCATACCCCGCCCGCTCTCCAGGTCGATGAGTTCACGGTCAGTTCAACTCCCCACGTTCGGCCATTATTGTAGTTTGATTAGAGATATACGATTATATACGATACCTTCAAAGAACATTTTTATTCACACGTTAATAAAATGTCAACAACAGAAGACTTGTCCATCAAGCCTTACATATTCGAGCCGGAGCGAGCGATTTGATAAAGACGACGACGAACCTGCAGAACAACCTCTTCATATGGATGTATTGGTATGTGAGTTAACTGTTTTGTGTTATTAGTGAAAGTCGACTATTTCTCTTGTTAAAACAAGCACACTGACAAGATAAATGACTACGGTCTAATCTTACCACAAACAATCTGTATTAATAATATGATACGTTTAGAAAAGCATCAGAAAACAGCAGCTAAATGACCATTGATGAAACTCAAGAAAAGTAATACTGCAGACGTGTAACGTTTCTTCAAAACAAAGAAAGACAAAGGTACTGCTAAACCATGACCACCATGTGTTTTAAGAAAGTACTTTATTTTTATTAACAATATTTACAGCTTATCAAAATGCTCTGTTCGTCGTCTCCAAAGATAGAAGGAATTTACCTCTCATTCAGACAAAGTCAATCGGTAAACCCTTCTGTATACTGGCGGAGGTTGTTGAAGTGGGAATCCTTGAAGTGCTTCAGGTCACTACATCCAAAAACCGAACATTTTGACTTGCCTTCTCGTAACTTCTGCATCATTGAGCTCGGACTACAAAATCGGAGCGAGAAATAATAATGGCGGATTGCTCGAAGTGTTGGACCGGTAGTCAATGCCCTTATTTGTCAGTTCCGCTGCAAATACGGTGACGTTATAGTTCAAAAAACATCATAGATAACAGAAAAATCTGAACAGGTTGAAAAATATGACCAAAACAGAATATAAAGATATAAACGAATCACCTGAAGAGAATAATTTCATCTTTTCTGTACTTATAAACACTCCAAATATACAACAAAATGCATTTAAGGGCTAAAAAAGTGGATTTTGCATGATATGTCCCCTTTAAAATGAGTAGAATTTACACCAAAAAATGTAACAAAAATATCTCACTAACAGACAGATGTCAAAGATAAAATTAAGAACTATTTATTTTTTATTGCCAACATTGAAGACACCTGATGTTAACAAGCAGACTCACTGAAGGAGAAAACCGTAATTTTAAAACAAACCTAAAACTACGGAGCCCGGGAAGTCACCTGTGGGGGGAAAAAAAAAACAATCCAAGGCGACGGTTTTGCAATCCGTTCCCCTCAGTTTATAAACTGTACTCACAGATTCTTAAACTGTTCTCTCGGTTTAACAATTCGTGCCCACGGATTAATAAACCGTACCCACGGATTTGTGGCTCGTGCCCCAGAGTGTGCCGCATGATTCAACCCTCCTGTTTAGATGCATTGTTTTTAAAAGGACTTCACATACAAAAAAATAAATATAACACAAACACAAAGTTATAGGCCTATAAAAATAAAACATTCATAAATTGTTTTATGATTAACATAGGCCTATTCCTGTCTTAAGAGAACTCATTTAAAGTTATAAACGCAAATAATAGGCCTAATAATAATGTTTAGGCTATTATTATTACATTTAATATTATTACATATTATATCTAAATAAATGTATTACATTTATTTAGATATAAGATGCTTTTATCAAAAAAAGAAACAAAGCAATTCGTCAAATGTCAGTCATAATACAGGTTAGACAATAATAATACAGGGCTGAGATTATCACAAATGCATATCCAAGTGTTTGTGCACATAAAAAAATAACATTGACTTTTTGCCTTTATTAAACATTTAAAATATTCGCAAACTAATATGAAAAAAAAAACAAACAAAAAGATTTTACTTTCTAAAAACTATATTTTGCCCGCAGTGCTAAATAAGAAGAGCATGTCTCAGGAACCATATAGAGAGACTTCACACAAACAGTTGGATATGCATTAAAACCTGTGTTCGTAATCTTAGCCCATTATTATTGTTTAAGACTGACATTTGACAAATTGCTTTGTTCTTTTTTTGTGGATAAAAGCGTCTTCTAAATATATGTAGCCTATGTAGCCTAAATGGATTTTTGATAATTATTATTTGCAGCATGTATTACTATGAATGAGTTCATCGAAGACAGTAATATGTTTAACATAAAATAATTTATAACTTGTAACCAAATCTTTTACAGATTTTGAACTGTATGTTATTATTAGCCTATTTTATTTATTTTTTTTCGCTTATTAGGCTATACTGAGCTTTTTCCTCTAAAATGGACTTTAAAGATAAAAAGTAGCCTAAACGTATTTTTTTTTTTTAGAAAATGCAAGAAATTATCCATTTTAAAAAAGGATTTTAAAAACAATGCAATGCATCCCGCATCTAAACAGGAGGCCATGGTTGAATCATGCAACACACTCTGGGGGACGAGCCACAAATCCCGTGAGTACGGATTACAAACCCGTGAGTATGGATTGCGAAAGCATGGGCACGGTTTACGAATTTGTGGGTACAGATTGCAAAAACAGAGGGCACGGTTTACAAATCTGAGAGCACGGATTAGGAACTCGTGGGTACGGTTTATTAATCCGTGGGCACGAATTGTTAAACCGAGGGAACAGTTTAAGAATCCGTGAGTACAGTTTATAAACTGAGGGGACGGATTGCAAAAACGTCGCCTCGGATTGTTTTGTTTTTTTTCCCCACAGGTGACTTCCCGGGCTCCGTATAAAACAAACACCGATCACCATAATGGTGACTCAAATTTATGTGTTTTTTTTGGTTGTTGTTGTAAGTTTTACACATTTTAAATGGTTAACTTTTGGTTAAATGGTTAACAATTCTGATTTGTTACATTTAATTAATAATATTGCTTGTAATCTGTTGCCACAATTTTTTTTGATTAGATAAAGCATATTGATGTTTTCCTTAACTGAATTAAGTTCGCTCAACAACTTGTTTTTTTGAGTGAATCAAACAAAACAAATAACCCCAAAACACACATGAATACCCAGAATACCTTTCCCTGTCGAAGATGCGTGTAAAGCTCCGTCAGCGCACGGATCCGATACTCCAGCTCTGATACTTGAGTCTGAAGCCACACCCACCTGCTGCCAAGCCATGCCCTCCTCTCCACCCACTGCCATTCTTTGCTAGTGTCACTGAAAGAGGAGAAAACAAATAGAGTATATATGATGTAATGTGTATAAAACATTTACTTATTTGGCAGATGCTTTTATTCGAAATGACTTGCACTGCATTGAACACTATGTTTCTCCTTATTGTGAAGAACAATTTTTTATCTAATAAAGAACTCATGCAATGGTGCAATGGTAAGGTTCCATGGTTAAAGTTCTTCATGGAACCATAAATGCCAATAAACAACCTTTATTTAACATTGAAGGTATTCATTTTGTCAGTTCATGTGATCGAAGCCATGACCTTGCTCTACTGTTTGAGCTACAGGAATGCAAAAAAGCTTTTGCTGAATTGACGAACCATCTTCTGACCCATTTTATTCTCGACAGCCCAGAGAGAAAGGGCTTTGTAGCCTTTTAATGTGGCGGGGCATGAATCAACTGCCAGTACAGAATTTATATTGTACAGTACAGTGGTGATTCAAAGGAACAGCAACATGCAATGACTCATCTTGAAGCATACTGTAGGTGTACATGCATCTGTATATAAGAAGGCAGAGTGTTTGAAATGGATAGAAAAGGGTCATTTTTTACATGGATCGTCTACCCCCACAAAACAATCCCATTGGCATCATCATTTACTCACCCACATCATTCCAATCCTGTATGACATCATTTCTTCTTCCGAGCACACAAAAATTATATATAAAAAATATAATTAATAATTATATAAAAAAATATACTTTGAGGAATGATAACCAAACCGTAACCAATAACCAAACAGTTATGGTTCATTTTGAAAAATACACTGGATGTCAATGGGAACTGAAACGGTTACAGGTTTAGAATACACATGAGGGTGAGTAAATGATGACAGTATTTTAATTTTTGGGTGGACTGACAATCCCTTTAACTCTGGACATTTTGCTCCATCACCTTGGGCTTTTGTTTTTTTCTTTTTGGCATATCATAATGAAGCACTGCTGGCTCCTTTGAAAATTAAAACATGCCTTAGCTCAGGTTTAAGAGATATTAACCTGGGGCTAAGGATAATGTGGAAGGCTTACATTGATTTGTTCGACAGGGGTCTAAAGCGGCGACCTCTATTCTCCAATCCCTCATCTTCCTCACTGTCACTGTCGCCTCCAGAGCTGCTGGCCGTGTGGTCCGAGTCCAGAGCACTCTCAGCAGTCCGGAGGATCTCGCTGCAGCTCCGTGCCAGCCTGCTCAGCTCAGTCGAGTTTCTGGACATGACACTGGGCCTCCGGGGGCAGCTCAACCCCGTGCTCCTGTATAGGCCACACAGTTGCTGTGTGACATGCCTCTCCACCTGCTTCACCTGCACGGCCTGCAGGCGCCTCCAGAGGTGTTCGGTACGACCCTCCAGCTCAGCCTGTCTGCGTTCCGCTTCGCCCCTCACTGCCTCTATCTGCTCTGTGCTGGGGCCCTCAGTCCCCTCAGCATCAATGCCCACACCTGTACCGTCACTCTTCTTTGGCTCTGGCTCTGTCCCGTTAGGAGGCCCACTACCAGCCTGAGAAGGACTGATAGAGAGGGCAAACATGGGCTTTTTTACGCAGTCATACTCAGGCTCGGGGGCTTGGGGGGAGGGTTGCGATGGGAGGCTATTGTGCGGGGCACCGTTTCCGCTGACCCCGTTGTTATGGCTGGCAAGAAAGGAGCGCACCCTGTACAGTCTGACGCGCCCCTTCGCCGTCCTGGATGTGGGCAGCTGGGCATTTTCATCAGGCGGGCACGCTGCAAAATTCATTTTTTGTGCCCCGGTAGTTTTCACGCACTGGATGCGACGTAAAGATGTGCGCTTAAAAGTCTCGGCAGTGCTCGCGGAGCTCTTCACGTGAGCCACACCATTGGAACCAACGCGGGCCGCGGCGACCGAGCTGCCGCAGTACGTGCCCGAGAAACACACTCTCTTGGAAACTCGAGTGAAACTGCATCCCCGGCGCTTAATGACTGCGGGGTCGGAATTCCCGTGACCACACCTTGCAGCGGCCGTCATCATCGCGCGTTCGGTCTCGGCGTGTGCCGTGTGTCCTCGTCGGGCTCTCGCGGTGCGCACCGGCGGCAGTCTCACGCTCGGTCTGCGCTCGTCCCTCCGTATGGTAGCACTCATGAAACATCGCGCACCAGCTCCTTCGTGATTAATATTAATGCTGTTATCCTCGCCCGCTCCAGCGCTTTGTCTGCAAAAACGCCCGCGTCCTCCACCGTATTCCCCCGATTCCGTGCATTCGCCTCCCTCCCGTGTGATATCAGCAGCGCCGTTCGTAAAAAATCCGTCCTTGTTCATTATCTGGGCCGGATCCGTAACAACTGAGGTGGCATCGTGCCATTCGCGGAACGCCTGGGCCTCTGCTACGCTGCTTTCCCTGTCTGAGCTCCGCACTGGGGCAGCGCTGGTGGCTGTAGCCGCAGCGGCCGAGCTTCCGTCAACGCTTACGGGCTCACTGCAGCCTCCTCCCCCGCAGCAGCGGCTGGCGCTATGCGGACACCCGGCCCCGCAACTCTCCGCTCCAGGCCCGGCAGCATTAGCGCTCATTTTATTCCGATTGCAGTAATAATACATCCCTGTGTCGTTGTCATGGCCGGGTGTGAAGCGACGACATACAACGAAGCTCCGTTTACGTAGTTTTTCGCTTTCGAAAGGAAGACGGGCTTTTCTTTTCGCCCGTCTTGCCTTTCCCTGCACTGTTGGCTGTCTCCAACACTCCCTTGTCTCACTGAGCATGCGCCATGCACTGGCACAACCTTCAGTAAAGAATTAGGGGCATTTCAATGTTCAAAACTAGTTCCCTGCACGCGCTTTGTTTTTTTTCACACACCCTTCAATATTGCGTGCAGTATTTAAAATAATTATATATTTTAAAATGTACAAGGTTTAATCTATCAAACTTGTCTTCAAAAAAAAAAAAAAAACAAAAAAACAGGATGCAATCTCACGCTTGAGGCTGTTTTGAAAAAGTAGTGTTCAAGGATATTTTGACATTCTTAACAATGAGTACAAAAATGAAAAAATGTCCAAAAAATTCTATTGCCACATTAATTGATTCTACTTTGAGTACTGGTCTTAATGGCCATTCTACAGTATGTACTGCGTAGTATGCAGTTAGGTGTCGTTGGCGCCTTTTTGGGTTTAACCGCTAGAGGCGCTGTCGAGTTTTCAGTGATTCTGGGTTAGCGGAGGGTAATTAGCATGTAACAATGGCTGCTGTGGGACCTACGACAAGTCAAGCCAGTTGCAGCTTTTCATTGAGCAGAAGAATGGACGGTGGACCGTGCTCTAAATTCTGGGAGAGCCCGGAAATAATCTCCCAGATGGAAACAGTTCGCAGTTGGATTGGAAAGCATTATAAAAAGGTTAGCGAGCTAATGTTAGATAGCAAGAGGACCCCCATACCCGAAGCTTTCTTTGATTTATTTTTTTTGTTTTGTTTTTTACAGTCTTGCTCTTTTTGTCGCTTTCTGTGTCTAATTAACGTCTTAAACTGACTCTTAAAATACTATTTTATATGGCGGTATTTTGTCTGTTTGCCTTATAACGTTATAGTACAGAAATGAGAAGCTAACTCGACAGAAAACGTAATTGACAGGAAAGAAGTCACAACTATGCTAGCCTCTGTAACATGTTAGCAACACGGTTATGGTTATATCCAGCTCCACAACTACACCCTTTTATTCATTAACTTAACTGATTTGTAGTTTCAAAATGACGCGATGTTAGCAACATGCTAGCAGCTTGAAGTTTGTGGGAACAGGTTTGTGTTCAAAAGGTGTTTGTTTACCTGTCTTGACTGACACACCCCCTCTCAGTGCCATGCCATCCTTGCCCAATATCCACAGCGTACGTAGGTTACACGTATCATAATGCGTCTGATGTTTTAAACTAGATATGTATAAACCGGAACAGCGAATAGCAAATACCATTATAGGCCTCTTTGCATTTGTTGTGCAGTTTTAAGAGTAAGATAACTTATTAATAGTATTTTGTCCCCGCCCTCTCTCAAGTATGTGCAGACTGATGCTCCCTCCAGCAAATCTTTGTCTGGTTTGGTCATCCAACTGCTGCAATTTCAGGAAGAAACATTTGGCCGGCGAGCAAATAACCCAAGCTTCACAAAACTCCCAGTAAGTTGCTGCTTTTCCACTTCTTTCTCTGGCAAGCCATACATAAGCACCTTTATTCCTGTAAATTTATGTATGTGTTTTTTCATCTGTAACTTGATGGACTGAGTCAAAGCATGACACCTAGATTTGGAGAATTATCAGTGATCCGTGAGAGTTTGTTTCAGCATTGTTTCTTTGTCCTCAGGCAAAGTGTTTTCAGGATCTGAGGCCTGGCGGTGCTCTCTGTCATATTCTGGGATCGGTTTACAAGTTTAAAACAGAACAGGGCTGGTTAGTATTAATTCCGAATGGTGCTGGATGGTATAATGGTGGAAAATGTGTTCAATGTTTATGTAGAGATTCTAATGTACCATTTATTTGTACTTATTTTTTTTTCTTTAATGTGTAATCTTTATTTTTAGGTCCATCAAGTCTATATATGTATACTTTACCATTCAAAAGATTGTGGTCAGTAAGTGTTTTAAAGAAGTCTCTTGTGCTCACCAACACATTTACTTACTTAAAGGAGAACGCCGGCGCAAAATGAACCTTTGGTCTAATAACACATTCGTCCCTCCCTAGTCAACCGTTCTTGTTTTCATGATAATCGAATGTAAAAAATTTTATCTCTAAAAACTGTTTAGCGTATAATGCTAGTAATGGGAGCATTTAATAAGTAAAAAGAAATCGCTAGTTTATACCACTAACAAGACTCAAAATAGCCCCACACTAACCCTGTAACAAAGGCAGTAATAAAGACAGTTCACTTCATGTATACGGGTGGCGCCATCTTTGTAAAGCAGTCTCGACAAGTCGAACCACGAACGATGCTAAGTGAGCTGAACTGTATGAAGTTCAGCGAACTTCTGAACTGTATGAACTGCGTTCATGGTTCGACTTGTCGAGACTGTTTTCCAAAGATGGCGCCGCCCGCATACACGAAGTGCACTGTCTTTATAAAATATCTTCTTATTAAACGGTCTACTCTGTACACCTACTAAGTTCTCAATGCTTCGTTTTGCAGGTAGGGACCCTCATTATGTTATTGTGTTAGGGTGGGGCTAATTTAAGCCTTGTTAGTGGTTCATTTGGTGCCGGAGTTCTCCTTTAAAAATAAAACGGTAATATTGTGAAATTTTATTACATTTTAAAATTGTTTTCTATTTTAATATATTTTAAAATGTAATTTAATCATGACATGAAGCTTAATTTTCGGCAGCCTTTACAGTTGTTGGTGTCACACGATCCTTCTTAATTTATTCTAAAATGCTTATTTGGTGCTCAAGAAACATTTGTTTTTCGAATCAATGTTGAAAACAGTTTAATAGGTTTGTGCGAATTATGATGCATTTTTTCAGGATACTTTGATGCTTAGAAAGTTCAAAAGAACAGGATTTATTTAAATAATGCAAATGTCTTTGTTACTTTTGATCAATTATTATTGCTGAATAAGAGTACTAATTTCTTTAATAAAAAAAAAGTATTTAACCCCAAACTTGGTAGATTGATACAATGGTAGTATTTGGTAGAATGGTAGTATGACTTTAAATGAACTGGAATGATGATATAATTATTTTTTAAATTGTACTGTTCCATGACATTTTGGTCATCATACCTCCCCCGCTAAATGTATACTGTGATTCATTATTTAATAATATTGAGTGTCGGATAAAGATTGTCAATTTGATCTCATCTTGTGTATGATATATCTTTTTTTTTTTTTATCAAAGGAGACGCTTCGATTTTCAGAATCCATCCAGAGTGGAACGCAATGTAGAGATGTTCGTCTGTGTGGAGAAAACTCTCATACAGGTATTTGTGCTTGGATCACAAGCAAATCTAAGTGTGGTACAGTATATGACCTCTTTGTTTTGTTTTTGCTAGAATAACTTATTAAGCAGACCTGTGGTGTACCTGTCCCCTGATCTTGAACAGAAGCAAACACTTAAACTCAAAGACATTGTTGTGCGACATCAGGTCAGTGGAAAAACTAAGAAATAGAGAAATATAATCATTAACACGCTTGATATACAGAGAAATTTTGTAGTCTAGTATTCTTCTTAACACACACACACACAAAAACTATTACTTTTTATAATAACGTGCAACATGTATGCCATATACTCAACTATTTGCCTTTATTGAGCACATTCCTAATATGCACTTTGTTGATTACTGTATACACAATTTGTCTTGCCTTTTTAGGGAACAGTGACAGAGGAGAGGTCACAAGCCACCCACCAGGTATACCCATCATCCTCCACAGCAGATGAAGGTGTGTATATTTTTTTAAAACATAGCTTTAGTTCTGGCAGGTCACATCAGTCAAGCTTACATCAACTGACTCTCAGCTGATCCATGTCTACCTATAAAAGGAATATGACATCTATCACAGCATCCGTATATAGGTCCATTCAGTATTATCAGCTTTATCGTCTTGCTCAGGAGCTAATTACCCTCCATCTGCTCCTCCTTTTGTTCACTGTCAGGGCTTGGCTCTCTTATATTCCTCTTCGAGTCTGAATAATTTATCTTGATTTATGTTGTTCCGTGAAATTATTATGATTAAGACAATTAAAGTAACCCAATTGTGCTAATGTAAAGGGTCCTCATTTTGTTTTGGGGGTCTTCTACAACAGGTTTACATGCATCAAAGGTCAAAAAACATTTTAATTTTCTCATAAAATGCATAACACCACCACATTTTCAATGATTCTCAAACGACTCGTCGAATGAATCGGTCTCCAATGCTTCCAGTGCCTGTCTGAAACAAACATCTATTACCATACCTGGGGTCTGTTTTAATAAGGAGGTTCAACCAACTCTGAGTCAACTTGAACTCTGAGTTGACTTACCCTGAGATGGGAAACTCTGAGTTTTCGGTTTCAGAACAGTTGAAATGAGTTAGTTCAATCAACTCTGAGTTAAGCACGTGCACCATAACTATAAAAAAGCCATTATCAATGGAGCGCAGATATTTTGAGTCACCATGGCAACAGCGCCAGACAAAAAGAGGTCTGCATATTTCTCACCAGCTGAACTGGATGAGCTTCTGCATATGGAGAGTACGAACATTATATTGTTTGTAAGTTATAAGTTTACATTTTAATTACTGTTGTACAGTGATGGGTGTAATTAATTACCAAGTAATCTAAATACTGTAATTTAATCAAACAGATTACTCTTAATTCTTCTGTAATTTAAAGTTAAATTTGATGTAATTGTATTAGACTATAGAACAATTCTGTATAGGCTATTTAACATACATTTTTAAAAGCGATATTTTTAATGTAACCTTCTCCCTCTACAGACTTTGGTCAATTCAAGAATAATTCATGCAATTGTAGGCTATATTGATTATTTGAAGGCATTAAAAGTGCTGTTTCTTGTCTCTCCTTGTATTGTTTAAGTGTTTATGGTTGACACAAGTATTAAAAGAACATGGCAGCAGCTGAAAGTTAAATATAAAAACATAATTCAGTTAAGTAAGGCTTGAGCATATCATGGGTGTAGGCTACCAGTGTCTAGCAGTGCAGCAGCATTTACGGCTGAGGGAATTCCTGGAGCTCGGGACTTCAGAGGACTTTTATTTTTTATATAGGCTAATTTTGATATTTCCATTTATTTTACTTTGGGCTAGGATTTTTGTTGGTCGCCGCCAACTCAATACACCAGAAATTATGACAAATAGTGTTATAAAGTGTACTCAACCAAATGGTCATCACATGACGATGGGGATAAAGAGCTTCTGCTGCCACCGAGAGGCCTACAGATGTAATGTTAATATTATGTGTCTACACATCAAACAATCTACACATTCACATTTTTTTTCTCACATTTTTATGTGGAGTAGCCTATAGAATCTAAGTTTAAATCTATAAACGGGTATTCTTATCTCTCCCCGTGCCCCCAGAGTGTGGAAGAACAGCAGGAGGAAGGTCCATCAACTTCTGTTGCACAGATCAACACAGTTCAGTGATTTTCAGTAAATGCCACAGTTTAATTATGTAGAATTTGTTTAGAACTACATTATGTAACTCTAATCTACTACTGTATTTTCAGTTGCCAGTTAAGGAGTTATATAGACTTTATCTTATAAAAAAAAAGATTGATTTTGTTAATAAAAATGTTCTGAATGAGGTGTTTAAACAGCACTTCCACTTTAAAAAAGGGGAGGAGACTGAAAGAAACTCTGGGTTTACTGAAGAAAACCTGCTCCTGACCAGGTTAGGTTCACAGAGTAAGTTACCATGGTAACTGACTCTGAGTATAAGTTACCACTCTTTTAGAAACGGGCTTGACTTACTCTGCTTTCTCAGGTTTAACATACCCCCCATTCTAAAACAGAAAACTCAGAGTTTCCCTCATTTCAGGGTTAACATACTCAGAGTTTCCTCCTTTCTGAAACAGGCCCCTGAACTTCAGCTCTGGAGGCTTCCTCAGTCCTTAGCGATTGTACACACTGCATAGTCAGTCACAATGACATCGATTTTACCATATCAATGCAGCGTGAGTCCGATGATGAAACATTGGAAGAACTAGTTATTCAACCCGAACCTCCATTGCAATCTGCATTAATAGACACCGTTTTAGGTAATAGTGGCCCACGGCTGCTTATCAGAAGCATTTCAGTACGACAGTAATAACATGAGTTAGCGGTTAGCCAGACATCCACACAATATAAAATGCAAAATTACGAATTTTGAACAACCGGCAGTAAGTTTATACATAAATAATTAATCATACTTGCAGGTTGTAATTTTTTGTGCACTTTAGATTGTACAACTTTGCAGAATGTTTACATTCACAAACAGCTATATTACACATTGAATGAAACGGAATATTTGAAAAACCATAATCCAGGATAGAACATTACAGCCAATCCAAACTGCATGCTACTTATCAATAATCTTTGATAATAGTGGTCCTGACATAATTTCATCTTTCTGTATGTGCAGGAAGGATGGATGTATATTTGAAGAGTTCAGATGCAAAAGCCTCTAAATGCCATTTGAAATTTTCTTCTTTAATGATGATTTTTATCAAACTTGTATATTTAAGTTCAGTAATTTCTTAAATAACAATTAATAGGTAATTATCATTGCCATTTAAGTGAAATTACTGAACTTAAATATACAAGCTTGATAAAAATGATCATTCTAGAAGAAACTTTCAATTGGCACTTAGAGGCTTTTGCATCTGAACTCTTCATTTATTGGTTAAATGTGCTGCATCTTGGTGTATCTGTAAAACTGTTCATATCTCCCCATGTATAACATTCACTATTGGGCCTTTTCCAGAAGAGTGGTTTCGACCAGTCATGCGATTGGATCGTCATGTGATGGTACATTGGGGCATGTGTCCAGACAGGTAGAGAATACATCACACATTCGCACAAGTAATCTAAATGTGCAGATTAGAAAATGGGACAGTTTGCTCTGTTTCCTAATAATGATATATGTTTCATATTTTATTAGTTATGACTCACTTAAATCAGCAAATGATATAGATGGAGAAGTGGAGGAACCTCCCAACCCAGACAGGTGCTTGAAGGTGAAAAAAATCTTTAAGTATTAATACCTTGAGTTCCCATAATCTTTGCATGTCTTGTTTGTTGTTGGGTTCCAACGATGAATAAAATGAGGGATCCACGGATATACATTATTGTTGTTTTTTTTTTTTGCCAATACTGATTTTAACAAACAGCTATTGGCCAATTCCGATATGAATTTGTCACTTGCTCAATTATTTGAAGAAGTATTATGTCATAACTTCTATGTCATGTGTGAATATTTTCTTGAACACTTATTCCTCAGGTACATACCAGATGGATTCTTGACACTGACACATATAATGAGTGGATGAACGAGGAAGACTATGAAATTGACGAGAATGGGATTATCATGAGTTTCCGCAGGCGTATCTACCAAAGCACAGAGGTATGTTAATTTTTCTAATTTCATGCTAATTTTTTTAACTCCGTTGTTTTGCCAAATTGATTTTAGTGAGTTTGTAGTTGCAGTTTGTTTGTAGGTTTGTCCTTTAGACTCTTTTATTTGTTTTGTCTTTCACAAGGAACAGAAACCTGTGAAGAAGCGGCGGCGCTCCCCCTCTCCACCATCCTCTGAGTCTAAGAAGAAGGGAGGAAAGAAAAGGTAAAAGAACATCTCTTACTTTGTTGTCACTGCTCTCACATTTTTCGGTCACCTATGTGGGAAGTCAGGGAGCGTTAGTGGCTAAATCACTGTAGCTTTTTCCTTTGAAAGAATGAATCAAATCCCCTGTAGTTTAATTCAGGATTACATTTGATTCTTAGTAACTTATTTATGTTGGTGTAACTCAATAGCTTAGGGGTGTATAAGAGGCGTGGCCAACCAGAAGAGGCGGAGCCAGAAGAGGATCTCACTAAAGACATGGAGGATCCTACGCCAGTCCCCAACATGGAGGAGGTCGTTCTGCCTAAAAATGGTAAGGTTCTTTTTTTCTACTCTGTGCTTAGAGCTCATGTTGATGTCGGAGTGTAACATTTATTTCTCATTGGCTACAGTGAACCTGAAAAAAGACAGTGAAAACACTCCAGTTAAAGGAGGCATTATGGCTGATTTAGGTACGTTTGTTTGTGAATATGTTCAGTTTTCAGTGAATTCTGTTTGTATTCATGTGATTTCAGTAGTAACCTAGAATATTTGTGTTCCTCTCAGACGACCAAGAAGAGGACCTGCTCTCTGGTGTCAGAGTAAGTCAGTTTGTCACGGTTGCTTTCTGTCCAGTCTACCACAAAATCTACATCCAGAATAGCCTGGGAAAACCCATACAACTTCCAGCAAATTTAGATTTGCTCTGAAAGTTAGTCTGGCAGAGAGCTCATTCAAGCCCATTTCCAATCCGTCGAAATCGCGGCACCAATCAGAAATGTTCGGGCGGGCATTACACGATGACAACAGCCGTCAAACATCACTCATTCGAATCAGCTATCGCATCTGTTTTAAGCGTTTTGAGCAAAGAACAATGTTTCTCCGCCGGCCGCCGCTCTGCATACGCCATCTCCTTCATCGCTCTGATTAGTTTTAGGTCTGCCCGCGACGTCCGTTGGTGACGCCCCTCTGGAAGTGATTGGTCTATGACGCTTTGCCAGACTCAGTTACAACTCGGGATGGGTACCGAAACCCGGTATTAAACGGGCCCCGGTGCTGGATTTTGAAAGACCGCTGTATCGATAAGCTCGGACGTTATTGGTTCTGCTGTCGGTACTGGAGAAATTAAGTAAATACACGTAGTTTAAAATTTATTCCTATAAAGACGTTATCTTGAACATGTTTATCTCGCCAGCCATTTATATATATAAACTATATTTTGTTTATATATATTATATATTAAATATATATTATTTATATTAAACTATATTAAACCATTTGTCTGTGATGCAAATTTGCTATTCGCAGTTCAGAAGAGAGAGAGAACGACAGCCCTTGCTTAATGAGTGACAATGAGGACAGAACTAAACATTCAAACAAGGTCACACACTTTAGATCTGGGATATTATTCTAATTTTATTTTAGATTTCGGCTTCCAAAGATTATAAGAAGATATTTGAGATACACCAATTAAAAACGAGACGCATGATCTGTCCAGCGCAACTTCCTTCACTTCACAGCGCTGCGCTTTCAGTTCTTCCTAAACCCAAACGTGCCGTCAGAATCAGCACGATCGGCATTTGTTGCAAAATGCTGTCTCTACTGTTGCTAGATCATAAAATGCCTATTAAAAACACAAAAACCTGCGCAAGTTCACAAGGCGGTGCGCGCTCCCTAACAAGAAGAGTATAGCCTACTTTGGACTTCGTGTGTCCTAAACTATCAAATATACATAAAAATGTCAAAATGACCAGCTCTGAGATTCACTTAAACACAATTATATCTTAAATGGACCTAAATAATAGGGAGAAAATGATGGTGCTTCAGTTACCGATTAGATTTGCTCTCGGTCTTAAAGGGGCAGCAGTCTAATAAATCTGCTGACGATTCAGCCATTAATGCAAATCAAACAACAAAAGCACTTGAATGAGCAACTTTAGATTTAATAAGCATTCATCTATCTATGATAAACTATACAGTGCTATTTTACATTTGATTACTAAATTAGATTTATTTTCAGACAGAATATATTAGGCTACCTAAAAAGTAATGTTAGTAGACCTTCCGGAAATTAAAGCACTGTGTATATAATTTGTATCTTTGATTAATTGTATCCTATCTTTTGTATATAAAACAATAAAAGCCTGCGCACTGCTGCATAACAAATAGATTTTTTTTCTTCGTTTTGTTAAAGCATTACTGTTTAAAAAAAATTTTACATTTCAAAATATAAAGTTAATAAAAAAAAAACACCAAAAAGAACCGATAAGAATACCGTTAAAGTACCGGATCGATAAGCAGTATCGGTAAGAGTAGTAATACCGATAAAACCTTAACGATACCCATCCCTAGTTACAACTGAGAATGGTCTGGTTTTAACCAGGCTACATCCAGAACCCAGTTACAGTCAAATTAGATCAACTACATTCTTTAAATATGTGAGTTCTGACCTATTGTGTGTGTAGGATGAGGAAGAGCAGAGAGAGTTTGGCCGTGGGATGGAGGGGGAGGAGAGCGCCATAGAGCAAACGCATCACATCATTGTGCCCACCTATACCTCATGGTTCGACTACAACTGGTGAGGGTTTACCTGAATGTGTCCAGATTACACCAACTCAAATTCTCAGTTTTACATGGATATCAGAGCTGAGGCCTAGTGCTCTGCACATATTCACGCTTTTACCGTTCTTATGCATTTTTACATAGAGTAATGGATTGTTTTGTTATATATGTGTGTGTGTGTGTTAGTATTCATCATATAGAGAGACGAGCTCTTCCTGAGTTCTTCAATGTGAAGAATAAGTCCAAAACACCAGAAATGTAAGTCAGTGTGTATATGCATACATGTGCATGCTATCTGCATCAGATTCCCCATACTGAACTGAAAATAAACATATTCATATTTTGTTTGTAGATATCTTGCATACCGCAACTTCATGATTGATACATACCGGCTGAACCCTCAAGAGTATCTGACCTCGGCCTCCTGCAGACGAAACCTGACGGGAGATGTGTGTGCACTTATAAGGTGTGTGTATTCACTTGTATCTTTGACATCTGTGCATAAAATTATTTGCAATTCATTTATAAACTTGTTGATGTGCGTTTTAGGGTTCATTCGTTTTTGGAACAATGGGGGCTGATAAATTATCAGGTAGATGCAGAAAGTCGACCCCTCCCCATGGGACCACCCCCAACGCCACACTTTAACGTTCTTACAGACTCACCGTCCGGACTTGTCCCACTACAGCACAGACCCTTACAGGTATTGACTAACAAGAAATTCGTGCTTAAAGTAAGTTTCCACACTGAACACAGTTGTTGCAGTCCGGGTACTTCTTCTGCAGCGTTGGTCTGGTTTCACACCGACTTGATTCTATCGAACCCTGGTGCATTTACCGTATTTTCCGCACTATAAGGCGCACCGGATTATAAGGCGGACCTTCAATGAATGACCTATTTTAGAAAATGTTTCATATATATATATACCTTCATCTTATGCCATCACAAGTGTGCACTGCAGTGCACATAATAGAAAACAGAACGCGTGCCACAGTTCCATTGCAACCAAATTCAGACCACCTTCTTTGGGCTCCCGTGTCTGTATGACAGCTTTCACGTTACCATTTTTCATGCAAACAATTCCCCTTTTCAGACTAAACTGACAGTGTGAAAGCACCCTGAATCATCCCCTCTTACATTCATCCAGTCCTTGTCACAAAATAAATCCCAAAAGTGTTTTGACTGTATGTTTTTGTAGTTAATACTTATCTACTTACTGTGTCTAATAAAGTGACATGAAATATGGATTTCAGTTGAAAGCAATCAGTTGCCTAGGAAAATTTTAATGTTTAATGGTTTAATTAAGTTTAATGGTCATTCTACAAAATGTTTAATAAATGTGATAAATTGTTTATTTGTTGTGTGTTGAAAGGTTTCAGCCTCTCAGCACATGTTGCATTTCCCAGAGAAATTGAGAGAGAAACCGTCTGACCTGCAGAATTTTGGTCTACGCATTGACATTTATACTAAGAAACATCCAAAGGTAAAAACGCAAACATTGTGTTTGCAACATTCGTTTTCAGTATTGCTGTGCTTTACCGGAACTTTCTGGAATCTATTGATTGCATTGGGCTTCAGCATCTCAATAGTGCGTGCTTGCTTCCTGTCTTAGTTTTTTTCTTTCATTCATCTTATAGAGTAAAGGTGCAAATGCAGGGAGAGAATGGACAGAACAGGAAACACTCTTGCTTTTGGAGGTAAGCCATTCAAACAGTCAACAAGATTTTTTGTATGCTTAAAGATTTGTATTCATGGGTCTTCAACGGCAGTACTGCAGGGAATATTAACACTAATACAACAAAATTTTTTTTAAGAATCTATAATCCAACTACATTTCTATTATCCTTTCCTCATTTATCAGGTACAATTATAATATAATCTATATGGATCTGTACATTTAATAGTAATTGTATAATAATAATATATTATTATTATTACTTTAATAATTGTCATAATATATAATAAGAATAATAATTGTATTATTGCTTAGCAAAAAAAAAACTTGGTAGGCTACAAAATAAAATATGTAAATAAAATAAAATGGGTTCTGTGCATATGTTATGAAATGTCGGCTTTATAATGCAACAAGTTGCGTCTGATATCACATACACATATATGTATACTTCCCTACTATACTGTTTTCATATGCAAAAAAAAAAAACAGTTTACAAAAAACAAATTACAGTTCTCATTAAAGAGTAGGCAAAAAGTATTTGGGTAGTATTACCTACTACCACCGGCGATATTCTAAAGTGCGCATACAGTGGACACTTCACAATCCCATGAGACTACGGGAGAGGATTTGTGAGTGACATTAGCTGCATTTCGCGCAAATTGAAAATACGTCCAATGGAAACGTGTCAATGTCTGTATTTTGATGTTGTCTTGGTACAAATGATATGGTTTACTCTGTTTAGGGAGGAGTGTGTCACCTTTTAGGAGTCTTGCATGAATGAATGTCTTGTTTTGTTTTGGCTTATATATTTAGCTGTATAGCACTACTGCATAGCATTTTTTTTTTTCTTGTGTATTTGTTTTTTTTTTTTGTTTTTTGGCTTTTGCTATTTGTTATGTTAAATTCAAGCTGCTGTAAGGTCAGTTTTTTATTTGAATCTAGAATCGAGGACCCCCTCGAAAACGAGATGGCTCATCTCAAGGGGCTATTCCTCTTTAATAAAAATGTCAAATAATGTAGAAAAAACTCTCATATATTGCCAAAAAGTTTTTTGCATGAGGTGGTTTTTCGGGCAATTCGAAAAAGGAATATTTTGCAGAACTGCGGTCACATGGTTTACGTAAAAGTCGATCATTCTTTAAGGATGAAGTGGTATGTTTGAATAGAAGAAGAGACAGTTTTTTATTAAAAGACAAAAAGTATTACGGGAATACTGGATCCTAAACCTACAAACTTATGCATAAACCTACCAACATCCGTTGGCATGATTTTTGTAATGATTTATCACGAAAGGAAAAAGTTTTAGTCGCATAACGTCGATTTTTGGAAACGCCGTCATTTTGCCATCGTTTTTTATCAACATTTAAACAAATATCGCAAACATTTGTAAAATCTGTAATTCAGGCACAACTGATGCTGGTAGGTCACATGATAAGGACAACATGGGCAATGTTGTATATTCATACTAATCAGAACTTATTTTTTTAGTGCTTGCAAATTAAGTACTTATTCAAATTAAATACCTACTCAAGAGAGTATGCGATTTTGGATGCTGCCTAAACTTTGTGCAATGGAAGTCTCTGCTCTGTCCATTCAGAGGCCCAGGGCCTGATAAAGGTCGTCATTGTTTTTGTATGATATATCTCTTTTCTCAGGCTTTGGAGATGTATAAAGATGACTGGAATAAAGTGTCGGAGCACGTGGGCAGCCGCACACAGGATGACTGTATTCTTCACTTCTTGCGGTTGCCCATAGAGGACCCGTACCTAGAGAACTCTGAAGCCTCAATGGGTCCTCTGGCTTATCAGCCTGTTCCCTTCAGCCAGTCAGGGAACCCTGTAATGAGCACTGTTGCTTTTCTTGCATCTGTGGTGGACCCTCGAGTGGCCTCCGCAGCTGCCAAGGCAGCTTTAGGTAAGAGTTTTTTTGTTAGTGTGTGTACTGATTTGAAGATATGTGTGCGGTGGTGAGATAAAATACGTATGCAATGTTTTGACTGTCTTTCAGAGGAGTTCTCGAGAGCAAGAGAAGAGGCCCCACCAGAGTTATTCACTGCTAGCTTTCACAAAGCACAGAGAGTTGGGCATAATTTAGATCCGGCCTTTATGCTCCAAACAGGCGGGATTGCAGGACTTGATGACAGTTCAGAAAAGACTGGTACTTGTCTCACTTGTTTGTGTGTAATGTTTTTTTAAAGTGATGTATGTAGTCACAGCATCAAAACTCCTCCCACGAATTCACATTTGCAATGCATGTTAAAAACAGCTGTATCAAATCATAAAACAAGCCATTTTAGAGTCCTTGGAATGGTCGTACTTGAAACATCCAGGGGAGGGCAGTAAATGAAAGAATAATTTTCGTAATGTTTAATGTCATTTTAACAATCACCTTAAATTACATCTATACACCAAAGATTACATAATAAGGTTTATGTTTAACATTATGAATATGACTCTATTAATAATTCTCTTTTTCTTTTTTTTAGATGGGAGTGGTATAGAAACAATGAACACTGAATATGATCAGCATGAAAAGGTATGAGAAGCTTCAGATACAAATAATCATCCATTCTGCTGTTTTTTATAGTCTTGCTTTACAAATCTTAATAAGGAAAATGGTATTGTCACTGAGCATGTATTGTCTGTTGTAGCTTGAGGGTGACAGCATCTTGGGAGAGGGAGCGCGTGTGAAGAACGAGGAGAAGGAAGAGAGTGAAGGAGAGAGAGGAGAGGAGAGCACAGCAGGTCAGAGCATAACTGATGTTAAATGGAATTCAGTATGCATAGTATGCAAATTTTCTGTATGTGATGCTATCTAACATTTCTCCCTAACATTTCCCCCTAGATTTGTATAACAATGTATTTGCCAACTATATTTGGATTTAAAAACAAAGTGAAAACAAAGTAAACCTGTTGCTTTAATATTCACAAAGCATGTTAGAAGTGCTTTGTGGGGTCAATAAGATCTTTTCAAAATATAATTTATTCCTGTGTGCTGTTTGGCAAAGCGGAATTGTTTGCAGCCATTACTCTAGTTTTCACATGTCAAATGATAATTCAGAAATCATTCTAATATGCTGATTTGGTGCTCAAGAAAAAATTTGTATTATTATTATTAGGGCTGTCAGTTTAACGCGTTATTAACGGCGTTAATTTTTTTTATCTTTTTGTTCTAGCAAACTTTGTAGTTTTTTCACATGCTTTTGCAACAGGACGCGGCATGCGTCCTGATCCATTTCGGCGTCTCCCGCTCGTCATCCACTCAAAGCCGTCTCGCAAGCCCATGTGTGTTTGCGGCGTGCCTGTTGTTTTGTTTCCGTTCTAGCTAGATCCGCTTGCGCTTTGGTGGAAGAAGCAACAAAACGTCCTCGCGCAGCGCAAGCCATTGAAATGAATGGGTTCAGAGCGCAGCGCGAGGACGATTTGTGTCGCACACTCTCGTTTCGGCTTATTGCGAGCCGGCCAAATAGTAACGTTACGTTTTGAGTGGATGATGAGCGCGAGACGCCGAAATGGATGCCCTAAGATTCTGAATGGAAAGTTTACTTTTAAAAAGTTGCCAAATTGTCCTATTGACAAGACCAAGTGATCTGTGTGTTTTGTCATTGTGAACTGAGCGATCATCATCGCAGCATGTCCAGTCTGAAACACCACTTGATGCTTGATGATGGTCAACACACACACACACACACACACAGATGATGCGAATTCTCCACCCCCTCGTCAATATCAGGACCTAGTCAGTGTTTCTTTCACCCTTTTATTGATAGACAGTGTTACATTGTGTTAGAGATTATTTATATATGTTAGTGTGAAATTGAACACTATTCCAATGTTATTCCAATGTTAATGTCATTTGCACTAAACAAGCAAATCCACTTTTCCATGTTGACAAGATCATTAAAATGAGAAAAAAGTAATGTAACAAAAAGAAATCAAAAGACATTTAGAATAGATAAAAATGTGCGATTAATCGTGAGTTAACTATGACATTAATGCGATTAATCGCGATTAAATATTTGAATCGTTTGACAGCACTAATTATTATTAATGTTGAAAACTATATTTCAATATTTAATATATTTGTGGAAACAGTGATACAAAGAAAGTAAAAAAAAACTGTATTTATTTAAAGTGGAAATCTTTTTCTTTAACAATGTTGTTGCTTTTACGGTTGAGCTTGCTGTTTAATTCCTAAATAAAAGTTTATTTTTTAATTTCTTAAAAAATAAACAAATCTAATTAACCCCAAACTTTTGAACAGTAGTGTATGTATGCTTTTGCTCCTTACCCGTGTCATCTCTGATCATCTCTTGTTTATTACTTTTTAGACAACTAGTGAGAAAAAATGAGTAGTCATACAATCCCTACTGTAGGCAGTGTGATGATTTCTTTAAATTTCATACTCTTTGTATGTCTTTCCAGAGGAGAGTTTTGACTTGTGCCTCACCCAAGGGGATGGGGAGGAGATGAAGAGGAGGGTGGAGCTTGAGCTGGTGGAGGTCAACATCGCAACAGCTGCTGCTTCAGCACTGGCCTCTGCAGCTACCAAAGCAAAGGTGAATGTCAAACCTCATTTCATGTGACCCCTAAAGAACCGCGATCATTAACAGAGACCAAAAAAAAGTGATTCAGCTGAACTCACTCTTTTTCTTCCTCTTCTGTCCCTCTAGCACTTGGCTGCAGTAGAAGAGAGGAAGATCAAATCTCTGGTGGCTCTGCTGGTTGAGACTCAGATGAAGAAGTTGGAGATCAAACTGAGACACTTTGAAGAGCTAGAGACCATTATGGATCGAGAAAAAGAGGCTGTGAGTCAGTGTGCCTCATTGAAGCAAGATCTCTTTAAGTCTTCAGGAAACCTTTGAGAGTACTCTAGTTTCTCTCTTAATACACTGTTTTGCGACCTGTCTTAATGCCATTAATTTATTTTTGGAAGTTATTTGGATATACACATTTTTTCGATTTATCATTTTCATTAATCTCCTAAATGGATGGTTCACCCAAAAGAGGCTGTCTTGTTTACTGTCAACAGCATTTTTTTAATTTAGAGATTTCAGGATGTTTAAACTTAATATCTGTATGTTGATATCTGTATGTTGTAGCTGGAGCAGCAGAGACAACAGTTGTTGTCAGAGAGGCAGAACTTCCACCTGGAGCAGGTAAAATATGCCGAACTGAAGGCACGACAGACCGTGGAACCTCAGCAGCAAGCGGGAGCCACACAGAACAGCAGTACTGCATACAACCCTCTTCACCAAGGTACACCCTTAGGCCCATAGTGTTCTTTGGCTTTTATGCGTATGCGAGGGTCTGCATACAGTGGGCGTGACGCAAATTTCGTCACCAGAATAGTACACGTGTCACCTGTTTTTTTGTAACCGCACATTGAATTTGTTTTGGACTAGGGATGTCAATTTTCACAAATTCCCATGAACGATCGTCGTTTAAATTAACGATCAATTCATCGATTAATCGTTAGCCTTAATACTGCAATATGTGTCGCTGCAGTGGCATATGGCCACAGTAGGCCTGCTCAAAACGCTATGTTCCTGAACAATTTAATGAGATTATTAAATCTAAATAAAGGGCTAGTGGGATTGTAAAATGTTTCGATGTGATTGATAATTAAGTTATTATTTAATAATCAAATAAAACGACTATATAATGTGTCACCAACCGCCTCAGATGCACTTGTCAGAATGTGTGACTCTTGTGGACTTGCTCTTCTTGGAACGACGCACTGGAAACGGCAACTAAACCCAATGATTTCACTACGAATGAATAAAATAGTGTTCTCATGTTATGTAATATGACAGTCCCAAATTAACGTTAATAATTGTAATTATTAGTCGTGCATTCTGCTTGAGTGGCGCGTGCTGTATGCATAACCATTGAACACTTTGCTAGCGCATTATTTAACTCAAAGAAACGCATCCTAAATGAGATTAATCAGATATATACAAAATAAACATAATATTACAGTTTATATCTGCACAAAATGACGTGAATGCACAAGTGAACATTACGTGCCATTCAGAATGACTCATGTTGTGGACGCGCTCTTCCTGGAACAACGCGACACGGCAACTCAACCCAAATAATTCAAAATTTTTTGTAACAATATTGTTTTCTTTATAATGTTATGTAATATGACAGTCCCAATAGTCATTAGTCGTGCATCGCCATTTGAGCAGCGCGCGCTAAAGATCATCATGTTTTATTAGCGTCAATTCTTAACCAAATACATCCAATATGAGATAAAGCAGACATAGATACGCCATCTGCGTACACAAAATAAACTATTAAAACTTACATTTGCACAAAACAAAAGGCTGCGAATGCACACGGCAACTTCTTGTCATGATAAAGGTGTAAAATAGTCCCAAACATAACTCCGGCGCGCTCGCTTACATGTTTCGCGGTTGAGCAGCATGCACACGCACGCGCATGCTTAATCGATGATCGATAAGTTTTATCGATTAAATGTATTATCGACAATTAAACGATCGTCGATTAATATCCTCGTTGACATCCCTATTTTGGACTAATCAGTTGTTCCACAAAGAAGCTACTTGGGGTGGGTGATATGACCAAAATCTTACATCATGATAACGAGTCATTTTATTTGACGAAAATTATATACATCACGATATAGTTATTTTTGCTTTAAATAAGGTAATGATATAAAACAAATCTGATCATTAAAATTTCATAATTCTTTTCACCATTTTCAATATTTAAAAAAAACTTGTACTTGCCTAAAAAACTCTTAAGCTTTCTGAAGACAAGTAAATTGTGATAATTATCACAAAGCTGGCAACTTTTATTTTAATAAAAGTTGCTGCATATGGTGAACAAATTTTGATTACCAAAAACCAGGACACCCAGCAAACAAATGATACTTGAAGATTACTCAAAGATGCTTTATTAATTTCAATACAATTAAAATAGGCTATGCCCCCTCTGTGGATAGAGAATTGTTATTAAGACACAAATTCAGATAGGCTTCTCAGAGGATACTCAACATGTTTTATGACAGGTTTAAAAAATAATGAATGAAATAATGATAAAAAATAATGCCACGTTTGTATTTGAAATATAAATATATAAATATTAATTAACTAAAAGAAATACCTTCAAATTGAACAAAAATACCTCTCTCTAACTTACAAAAACGAACTAATTTTCTTCCTCTTTATCCTGTTTTTCTTCCTCATCCTCCTTGTTTGCCCATCTCCTAGGCCTATATTTTGCTGTAGCCTAAAGCTGATCTTTCCCAGCGTTTTTTTATTTTTTTTATTTTTTAAACCAGGACATCACTTTATAAAAAAACGGCCAGGACAGGACGTGAAAACAGGACATGTCTTGGGATAACAGGGCTGTTGGTCACTGTTCACCCTTTTGCTGCATAACTTCTGATTTTGAAATAAAAATAGTGAGTGTTTGTGGTACAGCTCACGCACTGCAAATGCAGTATATGTGAAAGCACTTTAGCGCGTGCTGCTCCTGCACCGGATACGCACCGCAACACTCACCGCATACGCACTGCACACGGAGTATGTGTGAAACGGGCGTAAATGTTGAGTGACCTGAAACCACTGGATCCAATCAAGTCGAAAAGTTTCATTCGGATATGCGTCACAAAAGACAATCGCAAAGTCAGTTTCTTGTCAACCTTAATAATATTGTGTTCTTTGCATCCCTCTCAGGACGTCCGGTGGGCAGTACTGGTGCTGGACAGATGATGGGTGCTGCTCGTCAGCCTGGAGCTCCCAATGGCATGTGTGAGTAACACATGTCACAAGTCTAATTCTAATCAACACTGGCACAGTGTTTGAAAAGTTTCATTTTCTTTCCAACCCAGACCAAACTCCACCGTCATCACAGGCTGATGGCCCACCCCCCATGTAATGTCCACTAACGGACAGACAGTAAGATCTTCATCGCTTTGAAACCCAAGCTCACAAGATCACATGAAGGACACGGTCACATCATGTACAAGTTACAACATTCACCTCTACAATAGCACTTATTCTGTGTATATTTAATATTTTTAAGCATTGATTCTGGCAAGGATATGATTTGAGGCTTTTCATTGTCTTATCTGTCTGTACTAATGTTTGTAGATCTGTTTTTGTATTGCCACCAAGCACTAAAACAGTTGTGGCTGAATAAATCTTTTAAATGAAGTTATAGTTTTTTTGTGAGTTCATCTATTGAAGATTTTACTTCAGAATATTTTCTGATTCTTTTATATTTTAAATTTGACTGCTTATCCTCTGCTTAATTTAAAACTTTTAATTTGTGATTAAAGTTTCTCGCAAATTTTGCGGCAATGAACTGTTCTTAACTATGAAGAAAACTGAGCTGCACCATTCCTTGATCTGTTTCAGATGTATTTTTAACTTCTTTAAATTTTTAAAAGAAACTCACAGATCACTCCAGTGCACAAGGTTTTTTGATAAATCTCTAAAAGCTCTTTGCCATACGTATGAGAGTGAAGGGGATGGAAGCTGTGGAGCTCATAAATGAGATGCAAGGGGAGATTTTCAGAGAAAGAAAATACTCATTATGGATAATAGTTGCTTTATTTCCATTCATGTATTTTTTTCTGTTTCACTAAAGAAAGAATTACATGCTTGGAACAACATAAGGGTAAGGATTATTAGTATTATATATATATATATATATATATATATATATATATATATATATATATATATATTTTTACAAATAGTTTTTGATACTGAAAAGCTGAAGTCCTAAAACTGAAATAAATATAAATACATTTTTAAAAATTATTTAAAAAATAATAATAAAAAATCTTAATACATACCATATTTCTATATAAATTATACTAAAATTACACTGGTAAGAAGTAATAATTTTGATCATTTCATATTCAACCAAGATACTGTTAAGTGTCCATATTTTCAGCACAAATAAACAAACTGCTTATGGTATGTGTGGACTGGCGTATATGAGTGACCCAATTTCAGATGCTTTGTTTGTGGGACCCGCTTGCTTTATTTTTTTGCCGTCTCAATCCAAGCAGCTGGTTTCTGTATGTATGCTCATATTTATTTTTTAAAATATTTGATCGGCATTTGATGACAGTAAATTAACGATATTTACTCCTGAGTTGATTGACTTTTGCAGTGATTCTATCAGACATGATAGAATTGGGTGTCTCAATCAGCTCCTAGTTCAGTAATCAGGGCACTGTTGTGGTAATGACACGCATGCGCAGATGACTTCACACATCAACAGTTCGACTTAAGCGTGTGCGCGCGAGGCGTCCGCTGGAATTACCGTTAGTTGTAGCGTGCAAATATTACCAAAACACTCCGCTTCCTTAGTGAATGACTTAACTGGCTCTCATTACCAATAAGACATATTTAAATGTCTTAGCGTCTTGTTGGAGTTGGATAAGAGATGACGGGTTCTTAGCGACGCATAAGGTGGCCTGAATCTCAACCCCCTAAGAGGAATAACAACTGAAGACAGACAACATCCGAAGTTGGCATGTAGTGCGCTTCGTCACGCATTTGTTCCAAAGAGATTTAACTTATGTTCTGGATTATTGCTCAAATTACTCCCTCATGACTATATCTTAAATACGAGATCCAGCTGGTTCAGTTAAAGTGTTTTGAAGACCGTTTGTCATGATGAATTCCAGGCGCACGTTGTTTTCTACGGTCTATGTTTGGGAGTCGATGGTGCTGTCCAGCGTCCTGCTTCTGCACATCATTCCTTTGTGTGCTAATGGTGAGTACATGTTTGAGTTGTTATTATTATAGAATATTTCTAAATGCGTGTCTTCCCTGCGTTTAACAGAGACCTTCTTTGTGGATAGTTTGTGACCTGTTGGAACCACAGCCTTCGAAGACAAATAGAGAATAAAGTGTACCTCACTATCAAACATTTTTAAAAAGTATTGCTTAAATATTGTTTTCGGCGAATTGAGTCTCTAAAAATATCACTCAAAAACAGTGTTCATATATGAATTACCTTTGGCTATGCAGAATATTTTTTTTACATAATACATAATTGGGAATTTAGGAACTATTTATATTTTAAAATATGAGAGAACATTTCATACTACCTCATTCTAGTTCTTTTATTCAGTTCATTCAAGTTTAATTTTTGTTATTGGCATTTCTATAAATATATCTTCAATGTATTTATCCGTGGTGGCTAGTCTTGGACCAAATAACTTACACGTTTTATAAATTAGCAGTATTTTGGTTCTTACATTTTTTTTTTACACTGTTGCTTTTAAATGCCAGGTGAAGATGAAGTAAATTGGCTGCGGTCTACCAAATTTTCTCATTGGTGGGGTTGACCTGCATCACACTATTGCCTTGGCCAAACAAATGAATGTGTAAAGAAGGAATTTATCATTTGCATAAGGAGCTTTTAAGAGTTAGCTGAACCTCTGACCTCTTGGCTGACTTCCCAAAGTCTATGTAGCCTATTATAGCATCACTGCATGCATCTTTCATTAACAAAAGACGTTTATTATGCATGTGGGCTCTGATGATAAAACTGAAGCACTTTGTTGAACTCAAAATGGCCTTATAAAAAGTACACAATTCAAACCTTTTAGGTTGCTTTTTGTGATCAAGTCATTTAACAAATTCAGTGGTCTGGTTTTTAGTTTGCATTTCTTCTTCTTCTTCATTCTTTATTTATAAACAACAGTTAGTAGTACCAAAGTGCTGTAAAAAAATTCTAAATATGAATTAAAATAAAGTCAAGAAACACAGAATAAAACACAGGACAACACCACACAAAATCACATAATAAAAAATAATGCACAAGAGCTCATCCCTCTACAACATGAATAAGAGGACATATGGAGTATATAAAATTTCAAAAGACTTTTAAAAGCGCCTATAGTCGGAGCCAACCTAATAGAAAGTGGGAGCGTATTCCATAGCTTTGGGGCAGCTACAGCAAAGGCCCTACAGATTTTGCTTTTGTAACTACTGCAGATTCTAGTTTGATTTGAGTTAGATTCTAGTTAGATCTTTTTTCCCTTTAATTGAAATTCCTTTTTTGGAAGTGAACTGGATTGGATTGGATTGGATTGGATTGGATTGGATTAGCCTTTATTGTCTCCTAATGGAGAAATTCATCTTTGGCCTTCAGGAAACAGATGCAACACAGTATACATTATACATAACACATAACACACAAACATGAATTACAGATTATATTAATGTTAAAAATGAATGTCACACCCGACATGATTAAACATAATTAATGTCACACTTAAATTCTAACCCACACACCCTAGTTGATCGTTCAGTATTTTAATAGAGAGCGGTACAAATGAAAATTTAAACCTATTTAATCTGCAGTTTGGTAACCTGTACCTTCTGCCTGAGGGCATCATCTCATACTCACTGCATAGGACATGATTCGGATCGTTGATTATTTTAAAACTATGTTTCTTTACCGCCTCCACAAAAAGCTCATTAAGAGTAGTCGATTGCACTTGCCCGATTATTTTCCCTGCCCTTTTAATCAATGTTTGGAGTGATGATTTTAATTTAACTGACAGGTTACCAAACCAAACCACCATACCATATCGAACAATTGACTCAATAGCTGCCTTATAAAACAGTATCATAATATCCTTGTCAACTCCGTGCACTCTTAATCTTCTTAGAAAGTGAAGACGCTGACATATTTTTGAGGAAACATATTCCACTTGATGTGACCATTGTAACTGTTTATCTAATTGAATTCCTAAATATTTATACGATGTTACTTGTTCAATCGGAACTCCTTCAATTAGAATAGGGCTTAGGTCACCTATAGACTTAGGATCAAAAATCATTTCCTTAGTTTTATTAACATTAAGGAGCAAGTTATGCTTATTGCACCACTTCACCATCTCCTCTATCTCCTGTGTATACATACCAATATCTGAATTTTTGTAAAGTAAACTAAGGATGGCCGTATCATCTGAAAATTTAATAATAAAATTATTACTCTCATCATTATTTCTGCACTCATTTGTATATAATATAAAAAGTAAGGGCGAACTTACACAACCTTGCGGGGCACCTGTACTAATGTTAATCATATCAGAAAGGGTGGAGTTAACTCTCACCTGCTGCTTCCTTTCTGTCAGAAAAGAACCATACCATTTAATAATGAAGGGATTCACTTTCATCTGATGTAGTTTACTTAACATTTTCTGCGGAAGAATACAATTAAAAGCAGAACTGAAATCCATAAATAATAAGCGAACATAACCTAATGGATTTTCCAAGTGCTTTAAGATGGAGTGTACAGTTGTAATTAAAGCATCCTCAGTACCCCTGCCATTATTATAGGCAAATTGGTATGGGTCCAAGAGATGCTGTACCTCACTTCTTAATTTACCAACCATTATACGTTCCAGTGACTTCATCACTATAGAAGTCAGCGCTACTGGTCTATAGTCATCATTTTGCTTGGGGCATGATTTTTTGGCCAACGGGATGACAACTGATGTCTTCCAAATAGTGGGAATAGTACATGTATCCACAGAAAGTTGAAATAAGGTGCACCAAGCTGGGGTTAGCTCATCCGAGAATGTTTTTAAAATAAAAGATGAGATACCATCAGGTCCGCTGGCCTTCTTGCTATTCAACTTTTTAAAGACTGCAGTGACATCTTTAGGTTTAATTATTATTCTATCTAGTATTGGATCACATGGTATTGACATAGACAGCTCTTTGCAGCAAGTCACATTTGTTTCACCATTCAAATCAAAACGTTTATAAAAGATGTTAAGATCATTTGCCTTATCAAATTCATTCTCCACACTTAATTCCTTCTGCCCAGAGTTCATATTAGTCATTTCTTTCACCGTGTCCCACATTTTTTTGGGGTTATTCCTTAAAAAGGCTTCCCTAACTTGTTTACTGTGTTCCTCTCGTGCCTTCTTCAGTTTCCCCCTCAGGTCTTTTTGTATTGATCTCAGTTCCATCAAATCATTATTCCGGAATGCTTGCTTTTTCCTCCTGATCAGTTGTTTAATTTCTGTAACTTAGGGTGTACGCATGTGGGGATTGGAACATGTAAATGGCACAGTTCCTCTGACATGTTGCTGGAATTATTGATTAACACACTTCCTGGTAAATGATGATTGACAGTATTGATTAGCTAGACTGCAGAAGGTGACTTTAAAGTAGTATAACATGCAGTTTTTGATAGCCATGTTGATACCAATATCTTGGAGAGCAGAGTGTCCGATGTATATTATACTACATGAATAATATGCATAATAATAACTGCAATTCAATTTACAACATATTTGCTAAATAAGAAATAATTTATATTAAAAAAACAATGAAAAAAAGTTAAAATAAACAGATTTACCCTAGACACCTCTTGATTCTGTGATCATATTATAGTATATTTCACACATAAATAGGTAAAACATGAATAAAAAGGTAAATGCTATAACCAGTGCACTGAGTAATCTGGGAAGTTTGTGTGCACTGAGAATCTTATTTTCTCAAATAAAGACCTGGGGCCCGTTTCAATAAGGAGGTTCAACCAACTCTGAGTTAAAACTTGAACTCTGAGTTGACTTACCCTGAGATGGGAAACTCTGAGTTTTCGGTTACAGAACAGCTGAAATGAGTTAGTTCAATCAACTCTAAGTTGACTGACTCTGAGTTAAACGCGTACTTTAACGCGTACACCACAACTATAAAAAGCCATTATCAATGGAGCGACGATATTATGAGTCACCATGGCAACAGCGTCAGACAAAAAGAGGTGTTGGGTGTAATTAATAACCAAGTTATCTAAATATTGTAATTTAATTAAAGGGATTACTCTTAATTCTTCTGTAATTTAAAATAGAATATGATGAATTTATATTAAATAGGCGACTGCATAAACTATAGACCAATTCAGTATAAAACAATAGTGGATTTAACATACATTTTTAAAAGGTATATTTTTATGTAACCTTCTCCCTCCACACACTTTGATCAATTCAAGAATAATTTATGCAATTGTATATTGTTAGTTTGAAAGCAATAAAAGTGCAGTTTCTTGTCTCTCCTCCTTGTATTAATCAAGTGGTTGAGGTTGATATAGGATTTAGTAATTAGTAATAAGTAGACCAATACTTTCTAGAGATAGTAATTATTACATTAATCTAACTACACCCTTGAAGATGTCATTTGTTGTTAATAATTCATAACTATTTTAGAATAACTTACTGTTATAATATCAGAGGTGAAACTGGAAGGATGTTATTCAACCTAAAGTAGGCTATATTACTTTGATAAATTTTTACTTAAGTAAAAGTAAAAATACCAGTCTAAAAATCTACTCAAGTAAAAAGTAGTTAATTTAAAACATGAGTAAAAGTTGTTGAGTAACTTGTTTAACAGTGGGGGTGGGGTGGGGGATTCCCCCATGTCGTAACGTAAGAGAGTTTCACAGTATGATAACGGCCTCAGAAAATATCACGGTTTATGGTATTAAACAATTATTAAATATATAAACTGCATTAGTAAATTACGGTTATTATTATCATCAGTTAAAATGACAGTTAAATAAATTAAACATTTGTTCAATAAAACATATGTAATCAACTAACTTCTAGTAATCAACTAACTTCAATAATTGATTATGAATAAGATTAACATCTTATTTTTTATCATTAATAGCTTATTAAATTATGTTTGAAAAATAATTGAGTTCTTTTAAATATTTTTTTATTCCAATTTTTTAATGATTTAATATAT